ACCTACCATAGGGGGCCTGGCCTCCACGCAGGTACAAATACACACAGACAGCCAGATTTATTAAATTGGATTCAGTGCCACCACACTCTGCACTCTCAGTGTAGGCTCACCCACCATAGGTTCACTACTATGCGGAACCTAAAACTATACTTGTATCCACCATACCATGTGCCCTATTTCAAACTCCATGCCTGCCATTACCAAACAATTACACTACTGTAATTTAAGATTCCTTCCTGAAACAACCTATACCATGTATCATAGTTACATAGCTGAAAAGAGACTTGTGCCCATCAAGTTCAGCCTTCCTCACAAATGTTTTTGCTGTTGATCCAAAAGGCGGCAACAAACCTAGTCTGAAGCAGTTGCAATTTTGTAACAAACTAGGAAACAAATCCTTCTTGACCACAAAATAGCAGTCATATATCTCCTTGGATCAAGCAGTTATTACCCCACTAATTAGAGATTATATCCCTGTATGTTATGTTTTTGGAAGTATTTATCCAATTGCTGTTTAAACATCTGTATGGACTCTGATAAAACCACTTCTTCAAGCAGAGAATTCCGTATCCTTATAGTTCTTACTGTAAAAACAAAAAAAAAAAACAAAAAAAAAACACCTTTTCTTGTAGGATACACTTTACACCACCAATTACACTAACTCGAAATGCAACACCGCAACAAACCCCTACAACTCTCCACTCGTCATTCGATATCCGAAATTCTCGATTTCATTCTGCATCTACTATGCAAGGTCTCCCCCCGAGAAGGTCCAAGCATGCTTGCTTTTTATTACAAGATGTACTTTTAGAAAGTGCAGCTAGTTTAGGGATTTAGAACATCATAAACACGCAAACAGTGTTTTAAATGGTTTATTTGAAGTTTTATTTTGTTGTTGTTGTCCCCCAAGATGTATACCAGTATAAAAGAAAATCTAGATACTTGTAGGCACGGCATAACATTCCACAATTAACATATCTGCTTGTCTGTCTGACAGAGTCCTGGAATACCATTTATTTATGGTTTTAAGCACGGAGGATGGAGACTTTATACAGCCAGCTTTTCCCCTTGGATATGTATGGTGGCACCAGCCCTTAAATGACATTCAACACACACACAAATCCCTCTGATTTTCCGAGACACAAGAAAATTATAGCTTGCCTTAAACTTAATTAGGCAATCGGCCAATATTAAAATGCAGAGAGAATGCAACGCACAGGAAATAAAGGCTACTGAAAACCCACACAGACAGGACCCAGTATCCAACATATTTTCCCCCACTATTACAGACTATGGTGAGAGGGGGTTGGGGATAGAAATAGAAGATAGTATTTTGTCTTTCATGCCTCCCATTGTGAAATGCAGGAATAAAATAAAAAGCAGGGCATTTTTACACCCTGCCATAATTTCATGGGTTTTCCTGTCCCTATTTTAACATTTTGTATAGCAATAAAGATTTTTTTTTATTTATTTTTTTTAAACCAGCAAAATGCTGTCTCCATCTTTGAGTGCACGGATGATCTAGGTGAATGTCATATTAATGGAACACTCTTGGCACCATCACCACTTTGTTTTCATGAAGTGGTTATGGTGCACAGTTTCACCCAGTACCATCAGCTTTAGAAATAGACACACAATTTTGAAGCATTTCTCATTTTAGGCAGCTGACTCTTGCAGGTTATTACTGCTGCCCAAACAAATACTTCTGTATTTGCCGAAGAGAGAGGAAATTGGACCGAACCTTTCAAAAACAGTTTAAGGGGCATCTTACTTCTCTGGAGCATACACCATTGAATAGAACACAAGAAACCACTTGTAACTTCTGGTAACTTATTTTCCTTCACGAGATGCTGCATTTTCTTTCAAGCTGATATTAAATATTTAGCAAGTGACATCATAAATAAGCTCAGACAAGGCAAAGCCATGCAAGCATTGCAATTGAGGAAGGGAATAGAAACATTAAATAGTAGAGAACCTACTAGAAGAATAGTAGAAGGTGTCACTTGAATAGAAAGTGACCACAAGGTTAAATTTCCAATCCACTCCAATAAGATCTTAAAGGAGAAGTGGTCTGGGTGCCTAGAGTGGTCATTTAAGAGTTTTTTTCCTTTTATGTTTTAGTTTTTTGCTTCTGGAAGATCACACTAGGCTCTGTCGTAACCAGTGCTGTATATACTGCCACGAGGGCTTAAACACATAAAGGGGTAGATTGCTATCTCTTCAGTTAGTTCTCGTACTGCCAATCCATACCCGTTTGGAACTAGTGTGGTATGCTTTATTATTAACTATCTATTATTGAGCATCTCACTCAGGGCTGCTCCCCCTCATATCAGGCTACACTGTTTAATTTGTCCTTGTACTTTTTAGAGTTACTAATAAAAGTTCTTTTGTTATTTATTATTTTCTCCTTTAAGATCTTATTGGAGTGGATTGGAAATTTAACCTTGTGGTCACTTTCTATTCAAGTGACACCTTTGGTTCTCTACTATTTACTGTATTCCCTAGGGTTATCCCCAACTTTTCCAGTCTAGGTGACTTTTTTTTTGTGGGTTAGGTCCGGGATGAGGGTGTTACACTAAACCCCTATCCTTGATCGCTCCCCTTCTTTTCTTTCAGGAACAGAAGCATTGCTTCATTTCTCTTCTTTGTTTGCTCTCTCTATGATGCAAAAAACAGAGCCTACAGCAATGACTGACAGGGAGCCAAGATGGAGGTGCCCAGTTGTGGATTTCTGCATTTGATTTTTATTATTCACAGCTCACAAATACACGCTCACTAAATATGACAGTGACAGTTCCCATTTAACACTTGAATGTGGGAACTCCATTCAAGACACAAGACGTGGCCATGGTGCCTGGTGTATCCCTTTAAAGGGACACTCTGGGGCTACATAAAGAAAGTGATCTAACCCCTAAAATGACTGAATTGTGCTTTGAGACTGCAGTGGCACTAAAACAGCTTCATTTAATGTACACTATTGTGTTAAGAACAACAACAAATGTATTCCCAATTCTATAGTGTTCTAATTAACGTAGTTGGACTATTGGACTACCTTGTGCAAACCAGTACTGTCTTTAATTACAGTGCTAAAGAACATGCTATTCCTTGATGAATAACTGTAATAAGATTGAGTTCAACTCTGGACACATATCTACATGTTACCTAATCTCCCTAAATGTGTTGTTTGCCTTTAACAAACGCACCCTAAAATGTCACCAGGTAACTGGAGCATCACAACGACCCCAAGGTAAGTATCAAAAAGCAGTTTTGAATTGGTTCCTAAATGTTGTACTTACAATGTCACCAACATGTGACATTATAGATAAGACATCAGACATTGTTCAGCCCTTTAATTAAAGAATATATAGTTGTTTTTTGGTTTTTTAAAGTCACTGTATCACATTCATGGTAGATCTAGAATGATGATGGCCTTTTCAATTTGTCTGTAACACAATAAATCACTAGCTTTGTCCAAATATTGTTCTATGTATGGTTTGTAAACTTAAAACATCTAAACATTTTAATAAATATCAATGTCATTTGTTGATCAGTATTTTACTCTTTACTCACAGCATCATAACACGTTTGGCAGTTATTAAATGGATTTAAAAAACCACAGGTAAAGCTTCTAAATACCATATGTACATAGAAGCATTAATGTATTTAGAACAAAGCAAAAATGTTTCTCTATCTATAGAGTTTATGGTATTCCACGCTTCAAAACCTGAATGTGAGGATATAACTGCAAATGAGATGCATGTCAATCTGAATTTTAATTTCTGAATTGCTTTACATTCTAAATGTAATAATGAGATGAGTGCATTTAAAGAATGCAAAATTTGACTTTAAAGGCAGTCGAAGTGTAAAAGATTTGTTCACAAACTTGTCAATGGAGACAAATTTTGATTTACCAAACAGGACACAACAATGTTCAGCTAGAAAGTGATATGGTGAGCAGTTTAGATAAAGATAAATGAATGGCTTGAGACAGTATTGGGACACATGCATACAAATAAGTGAAGGTCTATGAGAGCTGTACTACATAAATGAATGGCTGAGATGGTACTGAGAGTACTGGGATACAGACAACGAATGGCTGAGAGTACTGGGAAGTCAGGGATACAGATAATGAATGGCTGAGAGTACTGGGAAGTCAGGGATACAGATAATGAATTGCTGAGATACTACGGGAAGTCAGGGAAGCAGATAATGAATGGCTGAGAGTACTGGTAGCCAGGGAAGCAGATAACGAATGGCTGAGGTTACTGGGAGTCAGGGATACAGATAACGAATGGCTGAGAGTACTGGGATACAGATAACGAATGGCTGAGAGTACTGGGATACAGATAACGAATGGCTGAGAGTACTGGGATACAGATAACGAATGGCTGAGAGTACTGGGAGATTAATATAATGAATGGCTGAGAGTACTGGGAAGTCAGGGATGCAGATAATGAATGGCTGAGAGTACTGGGAGTCATGGATGCAGATAATGAATGGCTGGGAGTCATGGATGCAGATAATGAATGGCTGAGAGTACTGGGAATCAGATAATGAATGGCTGAGAGTACTGGGAAGTCAGGGATACAGATAATGAATGGATGAGAGTACTGGGAAGTCAGGGATACAGATAATGAATTGCTGAGATACTACGGGAAGTCAGGGATACAGATAATGAATGGCTGAGAGTACTGGTAGCCAGGGATGCAGATAATGAATGGCTGAGGTTACTGGGAGTCAGGGATACAGATAACGAATAGAAGAAAGGGATCAGCGCTCTCTATCTATACAAAATACAACAGAAACAATAATAAATAAGTAAAAAGTGGCAGCACACCTAAAAAGTAGGGCTCCCTCACAGGCCTTACAACAGAAATGGTACAGAAAAAAGAAAGGAAGGCAGCGCCACTATAAACCACATAAATTAAAAGAGCACAGAATAGGCAGACTAGAATACAATATATATGATAGATACTAAGATATATATCCTTGTAGAGGTGAATACAGTCTTTTGTAGTGGGGGATTCTTCAGAGTGGTGTAGATGCGATGTACAAAGACGCATCTACACCACTCTGAAGAATCCCCCACTACAAAAGACTGTATTCACCTCTACAAGGATATACCTCGTTGTTTGATTCATCTACCAGTCAGACTATTTATTCTGGACTTCTATTTTGCTTAGTATCTATCATATATATTGTATTCTAGTCTGCCTATTCTGTGCTCTTTTAATTTATGTGGTTTATAGTGGCGCTGCCTTCCTTTCTTTTTTCTATACAGATAACGAATGGCTGAGAGTACTGGGAGATTAATATAATGAATGGCTGCGAGTACTGGGAGTCAGATAATGAATGGCTGAGAGTACTGGGAGTCATGGATGCAGATAATGAATGGCTGAGAGTACTGGGAGTCATGGATGCAGATAATGAATGGCTGAGAGTACTGGGAGTCATGGATGCAGATAATGAATGGCTGGGAGTCATGGATGCAGATAATGAATGGCTGAGAGTACTGGGAATCAGATAATGAATGGCTGAGAGTACTGGGAGTCAGATAATGAATGGCTGAGAGTACTGGGAGTCATGGATGCAGATAATGAATGGCTGAGAGTACTGGGAGTCAGATAGTGAATGGCTGAGAGTACTGGGAGTCATGGATGCAGATAATGAATGGCTGAGAGTACTTGGAATCAGATAATGAATGGCTGAGAGTACTGGGAATCAGATAATGAATGGCTGAGAGTACTGGGAATCAGATAATGAATGGCTGAGAGTACTGGGAGTCATGGATTCAGATAATGAATGGCTGAGAGTACTGGGAATCAGATAATGAATGGCTGAGAGTACTGGGAATCAGATAATGAATGGCTGAGAGTACTGGGAATCAGATAATGAATGGCTGAGAGTACTGGGAATCAGATAATGAATGGCTGAGAGTACTGGGAATCATGTAATGAATGGCTGAGACTACTGGGAATCAGATAATGAATGGCTGAGAGTACTGGGAGTCAAATAATGAATGGCTGAGAGTACTGGGAATCAGATAAGGAATGGCTGAGAGTACTGGGAATCAGATAAGGAATGGCTGAGCGTACTGGGAGTCAGGGTTACAGATAATGAATGGCTGAGAGTACTGGGAATCAGGTAATGAATGGCTGAGAGTACTGGTAATCAGGTAATGTATGGCTGAGAGTACTGGGAATCAGATAAGGAATGGCTGAGCGTACTGGGAGTCAGGGTTACAGATAATGAATGGCTGAGAGTACTGTGAATTAGATAAGGAATGGCTGAGCGTACTGGGAGTCAGGGTTACAGATAATGAATGGCTGAGAGTACTGGGAGTCAGATAATGAGTGGCTGAGAGTACTGGGAGTCAGGGATACAGATAATGAGTGGCTGAGAGTACTGGGAGTCAGGGTTACAGATAATGAGTGGCTGAGAGTACTGGGAGTCAGATAATGAGTGGCTGAGAGTACTGGGAGTCAGATGAGTGGCTGAGAGTACTGGGAGTCAAATAATGAATGGCTGAGAGTACTGGGAATCAGATAAGGAATGGCTGAGAGTACTGGGAATCAGATAAGGAATGGCTGAGCGTACTGGGAGTCAGGGTTACAGATAATGAATGGCTGAGAGTACTGGGAATCAGGTAATGAATGGCTGAGAGTACTGGGAATCAGGTAATGTATGGCTGAGAGTACTGGGAATCAGATAAGGAATGGCTGAGCGTACTGGGAGTCAGGGTTACAGATAATGAATGGCTGAGAGTACTGGGAATCAGATAAGGAATGGCTGAGCGTACTGGGAGTCAGGGTTACAGATAATGAATGGCTGAGAGTACTGGGAGTCAGATAATGAGTGGCTGAGAGTACTGGGAGTCAGGGATACAGATAATGAGTGGCTGAGAGTACTGGGAGTCAGGGTTACAGATAATGAGTGGCTGAGAGTACTGGGAGTCAGATAATGAGTGGCTGAGAGTACTGGGAGTCAGATGAGTGGCTGAGAGTACTGGGAGTCAAATAATGAATGGCTGAGAGTACTGGGAATCAGATAAGGAATGGCTGAGAGTACTGGGAATCAGATAAGGAATGGCTGAGCGTACTGGGAGTCAGGGTTACAGATAATGAATGGCTGAGAGTACTGGGAATCAGGTAATGAATGGCTGAGAGTACTGGTAATCAGGTAATGTATGGCTGAGAGTACTGGGAATCAGATAAGGAATGGCTGAGCGTACTGGGAGTCAGGGTTACAGATAATGAATGGCTGAGAGTACTGGGAATCAGATAAGGAATGGCTGAGCGTACTGGGAGTCAGGGTTACAGATAATGAATGGCTGAGAGTACTGGGAGTCAGATAATGAATGGCTGAGAGTACTGGGAGTCAGGGTTACAGATAATGAGTGGCTGAGAGTACTGGGAGTCAGGGTTACAGATAAAGTGAGGTCATGCATTCTCCCTGCAGGTTACGCTCAGTTAATCCATCCCATAACTCCCTGGATATCCTCTTACTATTAGTCAGCCCAGGATGAGCTGCCAGAGGAGCCATCCTCCTCCTCCCTCCTCAGCATCATGGCGTCCCAGCAACCACTGCTGTCTGCGAACCAGAGCCCAGCCACACACAGCCCGCAGCCAGCCAGCCAGACAGACACACTGCCCGCCCTCCCCCCCTACCGGCACCAACTCCTACAACCGCCATCCATCCCGCCCGCCAGCCCGCTGCCGACCCCGGGGATTCCCGAGCAGCCGCCGCACTCACCATCCTCTCCTCGGCGACTCTCCAGGTTACCAGGGGCAACTACGTCACCCAAGCCACTGTAACGCATGACGCTCCACGCCATCTCGGGAAACCCCGCCTCCGACGTCGGAACGTTGAAGTCAAAGTCTGCCCTCACGCCCAGTAAACCACCGCGCATGCGCAGTGACACGGCTCCGGCTGGCAGCGCTGCTGAGCTCAGCATGTCCCCAGCACATGTGGGCTGGGCAAGGTCTCACTCTCCCATTGGGCGTTCCCGCAGCGTCCCGGCTCCTGATTGGTCAGTCTCTTTGGAACCGTCGGCGTGGACGGAAGGAGCTTAGCTGAATGGGCAGCAGTGCTGATAGGAGTCAGACAGGGGCTGCAGGTACAGTATGGAGGGATCCCAGCGTGAACATTATTATATCACAATATATTAATACATAATGAATGGCTCACACCTGGGGGAGGGGGGGGTGAATACTTTAATAAATCCATAATTAAATAAAGGCATTAATTAACCCAAAAATAAATACATTAACCCATAATTAAATAAATACATTAACCCAAAATTAAATAATTACATTAATTAACCCAAAAATAAATACATTAACCCAAAAATAAATAAATACATTAACTCAAAATTAAATAAATACATTAATTAACCAAAAATTAAATAAATACATTAACCCAAAAATAAATAAATACATGAATAAACCCAAAATTAAATTAATTAATTAACCCTTAATTAAACAAATACAATAATTCAGGAATTAATGTGAACACTCTAACTTATATAATACAATATTAATAGATGGGATAATCAGAATTAGTCATTGTGTTTGCTTTATAGTGGCCAGATCCACTTTATATTCATGGATATCCAGCCATTATTAAAGCTGTTGGGTTGGACAGGAAAAATGCTGCCCTGAGCCTGGTAGCAGGCTAATGTTACAAGCAATAAATTAGTTATAAATGTAGGTCTTTGGGGATCTCCTTATTTATAACAATCTATCATCCTCCCTGTACTATGTTATTATCGTATGGCATGTTATAAAGTGCAGGGCAGCAGCTTTCCTGCACTGCCAGTCAGAATGCCCCAAGTTATTTGTGTCCAGGGAAAAAACTAGTAGGTCTGGCAATTATAATTGGCTTCATGTTGATATAACTAGCACTGTAATATAAATCTACCTCACATGCTTCTCTGTTTGTTTGTTTTTTACATGTTTTTGTGACTCATAAATATGTCTGGATCCTAAATTCTTTTAAAAAGAAAAACATACTTCTCATTGAATTGCAGTGTTTTTCTCTGTCTACGCTTAGACATATTTGTACAAATCAAAAAACAAATACAGGTTGCGCCTAATGACCAATAAATACTGTAATTAACCAAATCGTTCAAGAATACCAAGACAAAATATTTTTCAACAGTCCTGGTTATACTTTTTTTTTTTTTTTTTTTTTTTTTTTTACCCAGAACTGTTTCTGTTTTCAGTTGTGCATTGTTTCTTGGGGCCTTTGAAGGAGTCCCCTTTCTCACGGTTGGTTGCCGTAGGTAAGTGTTGTTTAGATATATATACATTATTTTGGGTTTTTTCTGCTTGATATTTATACAAATATCTTATATGTTAACACTGATTTCCATTCGTTGTTTAGCTTGTTTTTATTTTTTTTGCAAGTCCTCTTTAAGTCATAAAAAAATCTTTGTTTGAAATAAATACACAGCACAATAAATATGAAGCAATAATTAGCATTTTAATGTTTTGCTTGTTTATATAATTCTATGCAAATATGAATTCATGTGCTGAGAAAGTGGGGAATGGAGGCATGCAAAAAAAATGGTATAACTTATTTGGTATTTTATTAATCCGAATAATTCCTCCACTAAATAGACTTGTGGTGAATTTAAAAGACAATTGTAAAGTTTAGACCAAAATAGCTGTACTGGAAAATATATTTAATTTAGGATTTTTTTTCCCTGACATTAACCTAAACATTTCAATTCAATTGTTGTTTCACAACAATTCACTGTTTAGTGACATAAACCCATTAATATTTTTTATCATAATTTATTAACTGCTAATTTGAACATTAACTTGTAATTTATTGTGTGTTTTACCAGTATATAATTCTGTATCATAAAACACAAAAAGAAAAAGTTTTCTATCACGTCACTTAAAAAATAACATTAATTGAATAGGGTAACACTGAAAAAAATCTTGGTTTCATGCTATTGCACAGTGATTGTGGAGAAGTGAAAACAGATTGTAAAGATTTTAGGTCAAATTAACCAATTTGGGGTTGGAATCTGTGGCCTTTTCTGCTGGGCTTTAAAAGCCTACAATTCTCATTGGTTCACGATTGTGGTTTATTGAATAAATCGTGACACTCCGGCTGCATGTCTCCATAAGCCTAACCTTGACCATGCAGCACAGCTTTTCAGGGTGATAGTGGTTTCCGTGTGAACTATTTCACCTGCATATCTAAGGTACCAGTACTTTTTAAAAAATGGTTTTATGCGCAGTTGGATAGTGTGTATGTATGATGCATTCTTTAACCAAACAATGTTTTATTTGGTTACACGTCAATGCAATGATTGCTGTAGTAAATATGTATTTGTTAGAATGACAAAACAATTCACCACTGTGCCAATTAAGTAAAATGGAGACACAATCTATAGTCCTTGACCAGAAGTTAAAAATCTAAGTTGTGTGTACATTGGGGCTATCTCTAAAACAGCTTGCAAAAGCTGCAAACTCTTGTCTGAAGCCTTTGTAATCCCCTCTCTTTTTACCCCGCCCAGACTTTCTGTGGATGGCCATTCAAAGACTTTCCAATGCAGTTTAATAAGAAGTATTTGCAAGGCAGGTTCTCTGGCAATTGTGGCCTCTTGAGTTTAGCTCAACTGTGCAAAACAACCAGGAAGGAAATAACTAGTTGTCTGATGGCCAGAGGTGTAACAAGGTTAAAGGGACACTGTAAGTAGCTAGACCAGTTCATCTCATTGAAGTGGTCTGAGTGCAGTGTCTCTTTAGTCTTGCAAAATAAAACATTGTTTTAGAAATACAGCTTTGTAATTCATAAAAGTACCAGATTCTAATGAAATCTGCACTTTTTGTAAAATGAAAAATAGTAGCCAGCCCTCAAGGCTCCCCAACTTCAATTGGGATTACCCAGTTTTGTTTAACCCCTTAAGGACACATGACATGTGTGACATGTCATGATTCCCTTTTATTTCAGGGGGGATCCCTTAACCCCTTAAGGACACATGACATGTGTGACATGTCATGATTCCTTTTTATTCCAGAAGTTTGGTCGTTAAGGGGTTAAGGTGTTTTTTTTAGAAGAAAAAAAAAAACCTTAGTTCCAACTGGGTAATCCCAAAATCCTGGACTGGAAGGGTACCACTGCTTTAAGGTAAGATGTCGCCTAGGTACTCCAGTCCCCATAATGACTTGAGATTTTATAGGTACTGGAGTGTCCCTTTAAATATATTGGGCTCGACCTATCATTAGCGTCTAAATATGGACAAAATAGATATTGCTAATGTGGAAGCGGAACGTCTGCGTTTGCAATAGGTTAGAAAGGGACTGGGCTTGAGGTGCCTTGACAACCCAAGTTTTGGTCAAACAATTTAAATATTGTTTAACCCAGCCTAATAACATCATATCTGCTACATATCTGGTTAGTGTGCTTAACAAGCCACTTTAATAACACATGGTTACTTTTTACTGACCTGTTTTTAGCAGTGAGTGTTTAGCAACCTCACCGTTTTAAATAATGTGTTCGCCATGTACGATGAAGCTGGTCTGTTCTGATCATACTTCTGAAAAAATAGATCGTTTTTGTTTCCTCCAAAGATTACTGCTCGAGACATGTTCTTTGTGTATTAACAACTGCATTCTCAACACAGCAGAAAAATGTTGCAAAGCAATTGATGTGATTCATTTCATCATAACATGTTATTAATCAGGAAGAATATATATGATTTTTCTTGTTTGTCAACCCTAGAGCTCATTTAAAAATGCAGAGATTACAGTGAAACATTAATTAGGTACAGTTCTATTCAAAACAAATACTGAAGCAGTACACACTACAACAGATACATTTTAGTTTCTAGGCACAATTTAGATACACTCTCTTCCGATTTGTGTTAAAAAAAAATGTATGTGATGCATCTTCTACTTGTCTCACGTAGGACCTTGGGAAGAGTCCAGTGGGGATGTTTTATCAAGTTTATCACAATGTATTCAGTACTTGGCTTTTTCTATAATTGAATAGTAAATAAAGAGAAAATGGACAGAGGTTATAAGAGTAAAAAGAGATGATGCTTTGTTTTGCACAGTGGGTCCCTATTCTTTCTTGTACGTAATTTTGGTGTCCTGTCAAAAAAAGGTTGAGAATGAGTGGTTTACTAGAGCTTTATCATAATCCGAATGTAGCTTAACATGTCTTTGTCCTGTTTCCATTATCTTAGAACAGTCATCATGGAGGTGAATATTTCCAAATTTAACATCGATGCCCCTCGATGGGACCAAAGTACGTTTGTTGGAAGGTTGAAGCACTTCTTCAATATCACAGACCCCAGGACGGCCATCGTGTCAGAACAGGAGCTAGACAGAGCAAAAATGCTTGTGGAGGCATGCAGGTAAGAGCCAACAATACTGATTTTTTTTTTTTTTTTTTCTAATTTAAAAAAAGAGATAACATAATTTTGAAGAGTCACACTAACCACCATAACTACTGCATCATAATTAAATGCTTAATTTGAAGAAAAAAACACTTTGCTGTCTTTTCCTTCTGAAAGTGTTTTTTTCTAGAGAGGAATGTTTCGGGCGAGGTTGGTTGTTTTTTTTCCATGTGTGGGACTGCCTCATTCAGCAGTCAGTCAACCTGTTGGGATAAATGTATTTATTCAGCTGGCAGTATCAGTGTTAAACAATCCCAGATGCCTTGGACAGGATGCTAGTGGCTGAATCACTTACGTACAGTGTAAAAGCTCCTGCTGGTTTAATCTATTGTGGGGTTTTTAAAAGATTTCTTTAGAAGGGAGAGAAAGTCACAGTGAGAATCTGACTGAGACTAGATGGAGTTGTGGAATATAAATCCAGTCAACCCCAAAAAAAGATTTATATAGCAAGTCACGCTTTTAATGGACACAAAAATTGATACTTAAAACAACACTTAAACGAATACCGCTCTACAATAAGCATTTTTTTTATTGTATGCAAATTTTATAAAAATCTATGAGAGTACATATCTCTATGGGAAACTTTGTAGTGGAGATTCCTTCTGTGCGAAATGTGAAGCATTTGATTAGACAATGCCTGCCATTAACAAGGAAGTAGGTGATGGGCAAAAAGGAGACAGATCTTCATTAGCTGCAGAGACCATGTCTGAACTAATAAAAGATATGGGTCTCTTTAGGGCTTAGCAAGCATTTTTGCAAATTTTAGTAAATGCATATTTATTGCAGTGATTAATTATAGGCATGAAAAATATATGCATTATTTAGACATAGCTTTCACATCACTTAAAATTCATTTGCTTCAACAAAAGATATATATATATATCTCTCATTGGAATGTTCCTTAAAATGTTTAGATTACATATTTCACTCACATTCTTTAATTTTGTCAATGAGAGCACTGTGTAGTGGTGATGGTGCCACAAGTGCCGTAGCGCCACCCCAATGTTTGCAATCAAACCGTTTTGGAATGGTTTGACTTCTAACCTGAGCTACGTCAGGCTCTCTCCAAATCTCCACTGCTACTTACATGGAGCCAATAGCCCAGGCTTGTCTTGGCAAACTGGCTGAGAGTGATCAGGTGACACCCTCAGCTACGAGAACGGACAGGATCTCCTGGCTCTCTGTCTGCTGTAGTGAAGCAGTAGAAGTCAGGCCATCCTAAAATGATTTATTTTCGTACATTGGGGGCGCCATGGCGCTACTGGCACCATAAACGCACTGTAGTAGTTATGGTTTCAATTGAAATATCCTTTTGTCCTGTTACAGGTGTGTTTACTTACTGCAGCTCTAATCCTCCTATTATCACTACTTATGAGTTGTGTCCAATCCCATGCTTCACATAAAGAACGCCAATAATACTTCTCATAGAGAAAAATTTAAAACAATGCTACTCCGTGAGAAGAGCTCACTTCCACTTTGAAATACAGTTCAAAGCAAGTGAAGCAGGAAGCCCCTTCCAGCAGTTTGCTTAACAGCCACTAGGTTAGTGATGGCTAACCTTGACACCATGTGTTCTGGAATACATTTCCCATGATGCTCAGCTAGCCTTTAGAGTCTAAAAGCTAGCTGAGCATCATGGGAAATGTAGTCCAGAAACAATTTATGGTGTCAAGGTTACCCATCACTGCACTAGATGTTACTAAGGGGATTAACAATAGGCACTTTTATAAAAAAATAAGCCAGAGGGGAAATGTAGTTAACCCCTAAAGCACTTTTTATGCATGATCTCCCCGGATTCTTTCTCCATTATAAAAAATACTTCTTGATCTGTATCTTGTATCTCATGATTTCTAGATCTAGAGTTGGGGTTCTTTTGACCTCAACAGCTATTTGTCTGTTACAGCCTGACCCGGTACTGCATTAGGCTAATCAAATTGGGAGATATTGTGATAAAGACATCCAGTGTGCTGAGCATGGTTTGAAAGCATAATCATCCTGTTATGTTATATTGTTGTACATTAATGTATAGGTGAAAAATTCCCCGATTTGGTATTTTTGCTTGTTATTGTTGGGCTGTGATTTTATTTTATGACTCTGTTGCTCTTTTCGTTGGCATTAAGTGTATGTTTTGTCTATCAGAGCAGGCTCTGCACCACCAGGAACTAGCATAGAACAGCTACATTATGCTAAAAAGCTGTACGACTCTGCCTTCCACCCTGATACTGGAGACAAAATGAACCTGATTGGTAGGATGTCGTTCCAGGTCCCTGGAGGAATGGCTATCACAGGCTGCATGTTACAGTTTTACAGGTACGTGGGGGATTTCTGGGATGGCAGTGGTACTACTCCTTGCCGTATGCAATGGACGTGGTGCTCTATAAAGCAATATTGCATCCATTTGTGTGCGCAGCCTATTGCATTAGGGTGTGCACCCTAAAGCACAAACACACGCCGCATGTGTGTGTGTGTGTGTGTGTGTGTGTGTGTGTGTGTGTGTATATATATATATATATATATATATATATATATATATATATATATATATATACACACACACTGTTGTGTGTGTGCTGTTAGTGTGATGTGTGGGTGCTGGTAGTGTGCTATGTGGGTGAGGGTGCTGGTAGTGTGCTATGGGTGAGGGTGCCGTTTGTGTGCTGTGGGTGAGGGTGCCGTTTGTGTGCTGTGTGTGAGGGTGCCGTTTGTGTGCTGTGTGTGGGGGTGCCGTTTGTGTGCTGTGTGTGGGGGTGCTGTTTGTGTGCTGTGTGTGAGGGTGCTGTTTGTGTCGTGTATGTGTGAGGGTGCTGTTTGTGTGTGAGGGTGTTGTGCTGTGTGTGTGTGTTTGTAAGGGTGCTGTTAGTGTACTATGTGTGTGAGGGTGCTGTATGTGTGAGGGCACACCTCGTGCGCACGTCTATGTTAGAAGCTTTCACTTGGCATAGATGTCATTTATGGGGTCTTGGCTCCTGTCACTGTAGAGGTAGGTGGCAATTAGGTTATGGCTCTGAGCTTAATGTTCTAAATCCAATTTCAAATGTGAGTCTTATTGAATGCAATGGTTTTAACAATTCCACAGACTCTAAATTTATTTGTGTGTGTGCTGATGCGTGTATATATTTCTCTGCATTTTCTAAAATAGCAGTGTTAAATAAAGGAGCTATCCTGACTTAGGATCAAAAGGTCAAATAGGACAAAAAAAAACCTAAATAATATATTAATTGTATGATAAGACATATTGGAAGACAGAAGGCAAAAAAGGATTAATTGGAGGGTGAGGGAATGGTAGAACATTCACCTCTCTGGTTTATTCCTAAATATTTAATAGTCCTGAAACCGTGTGTGGCCTTGTCTCCCACGGTTATCCACATGTTTTGTAACACTGGATAGGGAGGAGGGAAAAAAAAGCCTTAAAGATTGCCTGCTTCCGATACTAAACTGGGGCATGATAGTTTATTTCTGTGAAGCTAAACTCAAGTGGCAGCAATTGCCCAGAGCACCTGCCTTGTAAAGACTTCTCATTTAGCTGCAATGGAAGTCTGTGATTGGACAGAAAGTCTGGGCTGGGTTAGAAGGGAAAGCTTGCAAAGGCTGCAGACAAGAAATCTGCAGCCTTTGCAAGCTGTTTCTGACATACCAACAATGGAAAACAATTCATGCTTAAATGCATGCATGTTTTCATTTGGGATAATTAAATAGTGATATATAATTTTAAAAACATTGTTTGGGGATTTGGGCAGTGGAGTGTCTGACAGTATTTGATCAATGATGACAAGTCCAAAGATATCCTGGGAACAAAAGAGATTTTAATTTAAATTGGAGTTCTTTGTTCTTGGTGGAATTGTCAGACTTGGAATAGTCAGGGTTTCTGTAATTTCTTAAGTCCTCCTTTGTCGCACTTTGTGTTACTGACCATGTCGTGTATTCTCGCACACACCTAAAATATAAAATAAAAAAGGTACATAAGGAATTGTGAGGTATATAACTTGCATTGAGATGCTATAGGCACATATTACCCATTGGACAAGAGAATTCATGACATCTTTAGGAAGAATTACTAGCAATTATACCGCTTTCATTTACAATTTTTCACAAACATGTTACATATAAAAACAAAACTTGATTTTCAAAGACATAAACCGCTTGTAATCGGTAAGTTGTCTTTAATAAAAGCTCAAATGCAGCTCTAACCATCTGGTATTCTAGGAGTCACATGGTTAAATTCCAATACTGTCTATTCTCTCACATTTGTCCCCATGAGACTACAAACTGGGACTAGAATCTACATTATGTTGTGTGTGAAATTTTACAGTAACACAGCTGTTTGTGACATGCCTGCTCACAGCCTGTGTCCCAATGAATCTGTTAATCATTGCCAAAAATGCTAAGTCTTTTTATCGTGAAGGTAAATAAGGGCAAGAAGGCACATTTGCACTTAGTGTTGGCAAATAATGATGCAATCTCTCTCATGAGATCTTATTTTAGATTATCTGCTGTTACATTGGGTATAACCCTCTCCTGTTAAAGTCCATAAAGCATGCATAAAATATTTTTCAATTGTTTGGGATTCTATAAAGAATCTTTTGTTTGTTAAATAATCTTGAAGGAACATGGGTTAGGTTACAGATATTTTGTTTTTTCTCAGTGTATTTATCTTGCACTTAACCTCGTTCCGTTTATTCCACCCCCCAACTTGCGTTGTTCCTTTTTGCTGCAAAATACACATTCCTGCGGGGAAAAAAGATGTGGATCATTTGGATCCTCTACACATTAGGCTTAAACAATGTTTAGATGTTACAAAAATCTTTTAAAATCAAATGTATTTGTTTTAAATCTGCTGATACAAGAGGTACCATCACGGATGCACAGTGGTGATTGGAGGCCCACTTCATGTACCTAATGTGCCAGTCATTGCGGATTACAGCTGGGGGGTTGAAACGACACCCAGAGGAGAGGAGGGAGGAGATGGTGAGTGACGCTGATGTGGGGGGGGGGGAGACTGTGACCGAAGAGGCATAAAATGGGATTTTGAATTGGCACTGAGGTGCAGGAGAGAGGACTGTGAAATGAGACAGAAGAAATAGGACATGAGATAGGGAGGAATCTGTAGAACAGAAAGTGAAATGGGGCAAAGGGACATTTTATATCATTTCTGCTTTAACTGTATAATGTGTTTGGAATATGTTAATCATATAGGTGCTTATTTTTCTTTCAATGTTTAACACATGTTCTCTTGGGTTAATATTTTAACAGAACCGTTCCAGCTGTGGTATTTTGGCAATGGGTTAACCAGTCGTTTAATGCGTTGGTAAACTATACCAATAGGAATGCAGCGTCGCCCATTACACCAAGGTAAGCGTTTTGTTTCCTTTCTTTATGAAGCTACAATGCATGTGATCGCATTCAGCTCTCCTTGATATAAATAAGTGACGGCTATGTTTGGTACTTATATATTATACTATCCTAGGTCGAAATACCTACATTTAAAGGCATTTAAATGAGTCTTTCTCCATTTATGTGCAATAAATGATTTATAATGGTAGTTTACAGCTGTGCCCACATTGTGATGTAATGTATGCAGAAGGGGATTTAACATTAATATTAGTTTTTTATTCTGATTCTTGTACATACATTCACATTGCAACGCATTATATTATATATCTGTATCAACTGACTCTGACACACATATTTTGCAGTTTGGATTACCTGTAAACAGTGATACAGGGCCGGGTAAAATAAATGTGGATCTATCGGCAGAAAGAATCAATTGGTTTCCATGGTGGTTTTTGGACTTTGCCTCAGAAATTGCTCTTTAAACATTACATCAAATGTCTAATTTAGGACACAACGATATCTTCTCTTCTAAAATGTTAATTATCCCATCATATAACTTCTGTCTATGGTCCCTTACCTAAACTCCCATATTCTCTGCTTGTTTCTCATTCTCTCTAATGCCTCCTATGTACCTTCTTCATTTAGGGAGAATGGGGTGTATGGGAGTTGGTTGAAAACTCCTGTAGCTAAATTAATGGATCTTACATTTTAACCCTTCCTTTGATACTCTCTTGAACTCATAATGGCCATTCAAGATGCAAACTGTATTAATTCCCATGTTTAAGCTAAAAATACAATCGATCATAGTTTCCTTTTTAGAAATTGTGTAAGATCAGGCATCATCAGCAATTTTGGTGTGTGCAGCTGCCAACATTTACGTGAACTATGCATCTTTTTAATGCATCTACATGCCATCAAGCAAATTGGGAAACAAAAAAAAAAAAATATATATATATATATATATATATATATATATATATATATATATATAACAGGAAATCTCTAAAGATTGTGCAACTCACCCAGGATGTCATGAAAAAATATCCTACTAAGCACAGGCAGTATTGTTACTATTTAAATCTGCTGTCTGAATTTTCGAAGGCTCACTTTGCAGTGAAAGATATGTCAACATACAGATTATATAATATGAAAAATCAAACCTTTTTTTAAAGTTCTCTTTGGCAATCTTTCCTTGCAGATTTTGAGACAGGTGTCTGTTTTAGTTTCCACGTGTACTGTACTTTGTGTTTAGATTGATCAATCTGTTTTGTCCTATAATGCTGTGAAAATCTGTGAAAAGGGGACGAGTCACCAAATGAATGTGCCTATTTGTTGCAGTGGTTTCCATGGTGATTGTCCCACTTTTAGTACTTTATAGAACAGAACACATTGATAAATTGCACATTTGTGTTTTACATAAACTCACCCCCAAATAGAGAGAAAAATGTGTATAATAGAATGCTATAGTGTAAATATGGTTGATCGTAGTAGCCTTGATTTGCTAATGATTTTTAGCGGCACTTAAACATCTTATTGTTCCTAAATTAGCATTTCTTTATTCTGTTATTTTGAACATGTGCATTTTCCCTCCCCTCATTTCTGTCTTTCTATTTAGGCTAGAGTTAAGTATTGTTGTTTCTGAGTAATTCTGTATCAAACTATTTGCTTTATTTTTAGCCAGATTGGGGTAGCCTATGTGACTGCCACAAGTACAGCATTGGCCACCGCCGTAGGATTGAATCTTTATACCAAGGTATTGGAATGTTTCATCTCCGCGTCTTAGAGCGCAACTGATGGATACATTGGATTTATTTTTGCTTTTTATGCCATTAGTGTATTGCATTGTTTTAGCGTGTGTCGATCAATACAACACTTTGTAGTCTACCCATTAATGTGTTACATATTCTAAAACTCTAGTCAACTGGAACAACTATTTAAATTGAAAAAGATGCCCAGTAAGGTCTTTCTTGGTGACATATTAATTACTTAGGCATGTAAAACCTGCAGCGTTGGCTAAAATAACAACAAATACAGTAAGGTTTTAAACCTATGGTGCTGTGCCAAGTCCGTGTGATATCTCTGAACAAATATTTTCTAAAAGTAGAGGATTCTGGGTGTGTAGGACTCCATTTGTAATGACAAAATAATTCTTTTTACTTTCAATGTTTAGAAAATTCCAATAACATGTGCACAACTGGGATTATATGATGGACATTGCTGAAAAACTGCATGATTATTTCTGTTTTTGTACAAAGACCACAACCAGAAGCAGAGTAACTACTTTATAAATCTAGCAGAGATCTTAAAGGAACACTCCAGCACTAAAACCCCCCAAAAAACACACATTAAAAGCTGGGGTATGGGGGGGGGGTTCCTACAATTCCATCCAGTACTTGTAGATAAAAGGCGTGAACGTACCCTCTAACCCAGTGGCAAGAAGATCTCTCTCCGCTTCTTCCTCACCACGAAGAGCACCCTTTTGGCTCTTTAATAGCTGGGCAGCTGCTGGGATGCAACTTTTGAAATCAGCACTTGTGTAAAGTGGCAAGGAGAGAACCACTTTATTAACCCCTAAAGAAAGGGTAGACACCCTTTGGCACTTCAGATGTTGTGGACTACATCTCCCATAGTGCTCTTACAGACATCCTGGCAAAACATCAGGGGAGATGTAGTCCACAACATATGGAGTGCCGACGGTTACCTGACCCTGCCTTAAAGCACATTCGCAAGCTGAAGTGCTTTTAGTGGTTTGGGGTGTTCCTTTAAGCAGCTTCTGGTTCATCTTCTCGCTTGTTGACCATCGTCCGTGATTGTGAGATCTGTTCTCCATTTCCAACTTCTCCTTCTGTGTTGTTGAGTATAGCAATACGGTTTTAGTGCTAGAAGAATGTACTATCCGTGGTGGAGAGGAGAAGGCTACTTTATTATCGTTTTTCTCCACCCCTCTCTAGTAAACCAGTAACACTGACATCTCCCCATTCACCTCTCCTTTTAATTGTCTTCTTGTCTCTGACTTGCTCACACATTGTTATGCAGAAAGCCAGTTACTAAGTTTCAACATTGAAATTAAGAATCTTTTTCATTACACCTTTCCATCAGAAAGCACCGCCTTTGATTGCTCGCTGGGTCCCCTTTGTTGCTGTGGCTGCTGCCAACTGTGTCAACATTCCCATGATGAGGCAACAGTAAGTAAGAGATTTCTCTGTTTTCTGCGACTTTAGAACATCTAGTAGAACTGTCTATTACTTCTCTGGTATATGCAGCTTATAGAATAGGACAACGTAACATTAGATCACATTTTTGTTATTGCTAGCAGAGAAAATACTTACTCCAAATTATAGGTATATCATAGTTATGATGTTGGATCACGTTACAGGAGAAGTCCATTTTATTGCTACGATCCTTGAATAATCATCATGATCTTGGAGTGCTGTATGTAAAGATTCCGTACATCTCAGCTCTACAAATTTCCTTATGCATAGTTTTAAACAAAAATCAATGGTGTATATACCATTCATTATCCGTTTGCAAGTATTGATTAAATATACTTTTCCCCCCTCATTATTTATATTATTTATTCTTTATAGTAACTTGTTCTGTTGTTTACGTAGGGAAATACTTAACGGGATTGCTGTTACTGATGAAAATGAAAATAAGCTTGGAAACTCAAAGGTAAATATACTTTTTGTTGTTTATAATTTGTTTGAAATCTGACAATGTCATAGTCATGGGTATAAGACTGTCGTGTACAATTCACAATATAAGCTGGTGTTATCCAGACAGACACAGGCTTGTTCCTGTCCTGCAATGAAAGTGTTAACTTGGCTTGGGCTCTGGAAAGAACTGTCCTTCAATTTTCACTTCTCGTTTTTAAAAGTTTTATTTTATTTAATTAAACTTAATGATACCATTTTTAAAAAAAAATTTTTTTTAATGATATACATGATTTTTACTTTTTAGATTCGCTTTTTTTCTGGCTGAGCAGCCATGTTGAATCAGACTGTACTGTTATCTGACCAACTGCTTCTCAACCGAACTTGCCTGCTGCTGTGATTTGTTCTCGGTCAAACTGCAGTCAAGTTAGGCTGAGCAGCAGTTGGTCCGATAACCGTAGATCTGTTTTCTGATCCAACATGGCCGCTCAGCCAGATAAAACCGTGAATAAGAAAAAAAAAAAATAATAATCAATGTACACCATTTAAAAAAATAAAATAAAATAAAAAAATGTTTCATTAAAATTTAATTGTTTTGTTGACCACTGTCCAATTAAGGAGGACTGAGTTCTACAGCTGAATATAGTGGTATAGTCCTATATTTGAGTGGGTAGCACTCTCTCACTAGTTTATCTGATCTGGACTGACTCATTGCAACTTCCTTTGAAGTAGTAGGGATCTGTAAATCAAAACCTTGAGTTTGTTAAAACTATAAAGTAAGGTTATGTAAATGATTAAGGATGCAAGTTACCTGTATACACATTATATGTAGATATCCTCTACACACAAGCTTATTTTATATTTTCAAAAACAAGTTAAGGGACACGCCAGACACCAAAGCAACTTCATCTAAATGAAGTTGTTATGGTGCAATGAGGCAATCTTACCTTAATGGGATAGAATAAACCATTCTCAAACTGTTTAATCCCAAAATTTCCTCCAGCAGCGATGTCCACTCCCGCCTTTCCTCCTCCCTTCTTCCCCGGCGGCATCCGGCTTCTGGATTTTCAGATTTAGGATGTGCAGAGTGCTGCCGTGCAGGGGCGCCACTAATTGGCTGAAAGTGGTAAGCTGTAAAACTGGCTTTGAAAGAAACATTCAGAAGCTGGATGCTGCAGGGTGGGGTGGACATTGTCACTGGAGGCAATTTTGGAGGTAAGAGTGTCTCCGGAGGGCCTCTTGACCCCATAAAAACTTCTTATAGAGGAAGTTGTTTTGGTGCCTGGAGTGTCCCTTTAAGGGCAAAATGAATAGTGCCAAGTACCTTTACAATAAGCTATGTTATAGGGCTTGACGATTTCCACGTACTACCAGGCACCAACCCAAATGAATGCATACACATTGCAATCGGACAATCCCATTAATGATTGAAAGAGCTTTTGTCCAGGATTGCACATTGAGATTACTTGAGTAGCCTGTGGAACAAATGTAATCTGCAGGTATCCCTCTATGTTTGGTGAAACTACAAATCCTATTCTGCTCAGCAATCATCCTCCATCCTGGGCTGGATGAGCTGACAGAGTTTTAGTTCCCCAAGAAATGGGCCGTTCTATTTTGTGTGACATTGATGTATTGAATAATCTATTTTATATTCGAGTAATGTAAACGTACACCTATTTCTTTTCCCCCATTTAATGTAGCATGTGCTTTGACTCACAATGGGTAATAATTTTTTGACGTGATTTATCAGTAAACAGCCACCCAATGCGGCTGCTTGTAAAAACCTCTTTCCGGCATTTTATTTACTAATTGTTATATTTTACGTGCTGTTTCAGAAAGCTGCTGCTAAAGGGATTAGCCAGGTTGTAATATCCAGAATCGCTATGGCTGCACCTGGGATGAGTAAGTTATTAATATATTTCCTGATTTAAGGTGTAAAACACATTTTAAACTAATGTATCTTAATTGTGATCTGTACTTTTTAATGAAACATTCCTTTAGCCATAAAGCTTGTGTCTAGGTGAGATCCAGTTCTACTTGAGACCCTTTAGTTTTAACCGTGTAGTTTTGTCAAAATATCTCCAGTGGCTGTCAGTCATTAGGGGCACTTCCTCCACCAGAACCAAATCAAAACTTTGGGGGTGGTGGACAGTGCTGACCACAATAGAAGGGATCACATAGTCCTGAAAAAAACCAACTGTTCTTTTCAGGACTAGTTCCATTTAGACAGTGTATATAACTTGTAACCACACAATAAGAATTTTAACATATTTTGCAAGAAAAAATCCCAATGATGACATCGCTGTTTGCAGTTGCCGGGTGGTGCAGGGGAGTGTAAGTTTTTATCAGAGGGAAGATAATTTTGCACTATTGTAGTGTGAGGGGAAACGGCTCTTGTTATACTTGTAGGGGGTTTGCCCTGATAAGAGGCCTCAGAGCCCCTGTCCTTGTGGAGAATGGCCTCTTTGGTTGTGTAGTAATGCAACTGCACCAGCACATCCCTTGGTGTCTCCCCTTCTTTTCATCTTGCTTTGAGAGCTCAATGTGCTCTATCAGTTGTGAACATGGACTCTGGGATGTCAGGCAGTAGGGGCTGAAAGATGCTCAGCATTACCTCCATCATAGGTCCTTCTCCCGCTGATTTGGGAGGCCCCGTATTTGTAGGTTACTGCTGCAAGACCTGCTAGACATGTCCTCAACAAGGATCTCCAACGATGTTGTACATATCTGCACGTCATTAGACCTGTTGGCCATATGGTTGTGGGCTGCTGTAACCACTGCCTCCACTCTGTGCTCTGGACCCGCTGTTCATGTGCCAAGGGCCTGTATTTCGGGTTTCACTACGGCTGTACTTTTTTTTTTTTTGTTTGGCAAAGGCCAATTCAGAGCTCTGGGCTCAGCCGTCCATTCAGTTTAGAGTCCAAGCCAAGCCCCCTGTATTTGTGTATTATTTTGGTTTTTTCTTCATTTTTTCATGAATAACGTTAACACGATCCACTTTTCTGACATCTGTTAGATAAACGCTTTCATAAATGATATGAAAAGCAGACATTTACTATAGTAGATGGAGTGACATACATCTGTGTTAGTTCAGCATGCAAGGAAATGCTTCAGATAGGGTCTAGGAACATAAAATGACAAAAAGAAACTATTTGCACATTACCATGCATGTGTTGGTGTCTGAGATGTCCCTTTAACAGTTTCTATACTGTACAATATGCCAATGTATGTATGTAACCTTCTCATTACAAGAAATAATTTATACATTTTTATTTTCTTTGTTTAGTTCTGCTACCAATCTTGATGGAAAGACTGGAATCATATCCCTTTATGAAGGTAACTTTTTATTTTTTTTATTTGTCTTTTATTGAGGTTTACAGCCACATAAATACACGTAAGATAATGAAAAAACGACTTCTACATTCCACCATTTACCTTGTTTGGCATCGAACCTTCAAATTTGAGTTGCATTATACAGTTTTAAAAATTAAACAGTTTGTGTGTTATCACATTTTTTCTAAGTCTTATTTTATTCTGAAGTGTATAGATTATCTGTAGTATAAACCGTATTTAACTAGATGTGGGGGGAAAGAAATGGAACGGTAAGAGGGGATAGGCAATATATCGAACGTAAATAATTAACTAGGAATACTGTGTAAATTCTATCTACGCCTGGGAGTTTGGCTCAGATCAAGCTCATGAGATCCAAAGTGACTTCTTTTGCAGATGAGCCTCCCCTATTAATTCTTTCCACAATTATTTTCATTCCATGGACATATTATTTTATGTCCCTGATTTAGTGGGTGATTCCTACACTTGGGTTTGGCCCTTTCCCTACGGATGGTCTTCTCTGCACAAAACCTTGATGCAACTCCCATGATTTTATTGCCCTTGACCACTCTTTTTTTTTGCCTTAACACCATTAACTTGTATTCAATAGTTAGGGAAACTTGGTTTACTATGTCATCCACTGTAGGGTAGTTCTTTGCACAACGCTGTCTAGCTAATAAATATATTAAGGATAATGTTATGTGGGTTATCACTCATCCTATGGTATTGGGCGTTGTTTTTGGTAGTATAAGTAACAAATAAGTTTCTATCGTTTACCCAGTAGAGCATTTAACACATTTTCCCCCTCGTTCCATAGCTTTTGTACTACTTAGCACCCTGACCATATGTAGTTCTCCATTCTTTATTACACTTTCAGCACTTGTCTGTAGACAATCCTTGAGTGTTGTAACCTGGATGGAACACCATCGACACCGTCTGTTGCAAGATTGTAATAGCTACTCTGTTTTTTCTTAGTCCAATCAAACTGGATTAACTTTAGTTGTGAAAGAGAAAGGCCCTGGGTGGTTATAAAGTTTATAAATGGGTACTGACATTTAAACAGAATTATCATTTTTATGGCTGATATTTGACCTACTCATGAAATAAACAGAATTTCCAACGTACCTATTATTTGTGTGATTTTTTTTTTTTTTTTTTGCTTACCTTTAAATTGTTGTGTTTTTAAGAGCCCCTTTGGGTTTCTCGTCAGTTGTATCCCCAGCATAGTCAGGTAGTCCTGTCTCCATTCGTAATTGAAAATAGATTTAAGATGTTGTAGGTTAGGTTTGTCTCTCCTGACATTAAGTTTATAGTATGAGTGTTGACTATACTCCAATATTGTGCTCTGTAAATTTGGCAGGGATATTAGTAGTTGGCTCATCTGCAAATACGTTAAGTTTGCAATCCTGTTCTCCTACTTGAATTCCATGTATGTTTTGGTTTTGTCAGATGGCTATTGCTAGCGGCTCCAAAGCTGCAATATAAAGCAGTGGAGGCAGTGGGTATTCCTGACGCGCATCGTTGGTTATATGGATGCTGTCAGATAAAAATGGTGTTCAATACCTGGGCTTAGGGTCGATGATATAATTCTTTTACTTCCCCGAGAAACTGATCAGGGAAATTAGACTTGTGCAGGACCACTTCCAAGAAAAGCCAGTTGAGGCGGTCAAATGCTTTCACTGCATCTTAAAGCAGAAGGATGCCTTCTTTGTCCAAGTCACTTGGTATATGTAAAAGTCTAGGACCTTTCTGGTATTGTCTGTTCCCATTCTTCATTTCACATACCCAACTTGGTAATCCCTAATAAGCGTCGGTAGTATATTTTCCACCCACACATATTTTTGCAAATAATTTAGCGTCGTATTCCGGAGTGAAATGTTCCTCCTTGATCTATCTTCTAAATCTATCAGTTTTGTTTAGTATTGCTCCATTTGGTGTTCTAGTTGTTGTAACTTGTCTGCCATGCTGTTGTGGGCCTCTGCATACTCCTCAAAGCTGGATTCCATATGTGCAGTCCTATTTTCAAAATCTTGGATGGTTTTCTGCAATTCTGATAAGAAGCTGACAAACCTTGCCATGATTTTATCTGCTGTGCTGTCCGACAGGGACCATATGACGTCAGTTGCGACACAGTCTGCAGAACTCTGCTCTTTTATTCTCGGTGGGCTTCATATTCATTTGCTTGTCCACCATCTTGTTCCACCTTCTCTGACATTTGCGCCTCTTTTCTGTCCTGATGTTCGGGTTTGAAAGAACTCTGACTTGTCCAACTGCTTCTTGTGGGCCATATCTGCAGGTTCCCATCATACATTATCAGCTCGCGTTAGGTTTTCTTCATAGGAAAACATTGTTGCTTTTCTGTGGGGATTTAGAAGATACTGGATGTCCTCATGCATAGTGTGAGGAAATCTAGCATTGTTAAATTCTGTGAAAGACCAGGAAGCTCCTCTAGTGACTGTCTGAGAAACAGCCATTAGAGACAATCTTTTACATTGCATGACTAAGGAGATAAGGATACTGCACCCAGACCTCTTCAATGAGATTAACAGGAAACTATAGTCACCAGAACAACTACAGCTTATTGAATTTGTTCAGGTGAGTAGAATCATTACCTTCAGGCTTTTTTCCGTAAACATTGTCTTTTCAGAGAAAATCCAGTGTTTACATTACAGCCTAGTGATAACTTCACTGGCCACTCCTCAGATAGCTGTTAGAGATCCTTCCTGGGTCATGGCTGCCTAAAATGCATCCAAACATTCAGTATCTCCTCCCTCTGCATGCAGACACTGAACTTTACATTGATTCAATTCATCTCTATGAGGAGATGCTGATTGGCCAGGGCTGTGTATGAATCATGCTGGCTCTGCCCCTGATCTGCCTCTTTGTCAGTCTCAGCCGATCCTATGGGGAAGCACTGTGATTGGATCAGGCCACCAATTCTGATGATGTCAGCAGGCAGTGGGCAGGTCTAAAGGAAACCGGGATACAAACAAGGAGCTGCAGACTTGAATACAAGGCATGAGAGGACCAGGGGGGCTAGCTGGTTGTTTTACCCTATAGGGTCAGGAATACATGTTTGGTGGTCTGAGTGCCTATAGTGTCCCTTTAATGTTATGATGTGAAATAAAATAGTTGTGGAATTAGGATTTCATAATGGCTCCCACATAATAGGTATGCGATGCATAATACTGGTGAAATGAAAAGTTGCAAAAAGATTTATTCTTGGGAATTGACTGGAGAGTTTCAGATATTAGGACCAAATAGCCCAGCGTGATAAAGGCCAAAGTTCTACTACATTCGTCTAAAAAGTGAGTTTCCCTGATCAATTCCTGACAATTCTAGTGAATAATGCTGTAAGGTTTATTCCGTAAACACCAAACTGAAGTGTCTTGTAAAATTCAAGACAAAATAGCCAAGCTGTGATTTTCAGTTGTTGGTTTTTTTTTTAACAGTTCAGCAGTTTTCCAGGTCATGTTATGGTGCAATTTACCCACTAGCTAAGCATCCCGTGCTTGTGAACTTTCCCCCCAGTGATAAAACATGTTGGGCAGATCTCCAAAAAATAGTTATTGAGGAACCATTCAGAAAGCGGCCATGTAAGTGATTGTATTGTTAAAAGTATCTTAGAATCAATAAATTATTATTATTAGAATCTCCATTTAAGTTCTAACTATATTGACTAAGGAATATATTTTTTTTAATAATTGGGCATACTTTGAAATCAGCAGTGCATATTTTCAGTCCGAGAACAAGAGCAACAGACAGGTCCCAAATTTAAAGTGTTTAAATATTGAAATGCAATGTTTGCTATGACAGATTCTTGTCACCCATGCATGCGCATTGTGTTCAAAGTACTGGCACTTGCGCATTGCTAAAAGCTGTTAGCAGTTTTCTGCAGTTTGCTGGGAAAATAGGTGCACAAGAGGTCTCATGTCTATGAATTCCGGTCTGTTGGCTTTGTGTGTAACTCTAACATAATCACTTATTGGGAGGTTAGTCCTTTGAGTAAAAACCTTAGCATTGTCGGGATTTAGGAAGGTTACAATTCCAGATTGGTTTACTTTGCCATGACAGATCTATGGACTATCACATGTCAAATTCAGAAAGCAGTGATCTATAAATGCATCTGTCTTCAGCTCATGTCACAGAACAAAGATAGTCTTACGCATGTCTTATTACACCAGTCTGTACGCTGAGCCATTGTCATGAACCTACAGTTTATCAGTTGAAGGGGATTCCACTTAGATCCCATTACAAACTGAATCTTCCTTTCCTGTAAATACCACCATTAATACTGAACTCCAATATCAAATAATTAGAAATCACAGTTATTACATTTCCTTGCTGCAACAAAACTGCTTGGGTTGTGCAATTTTGTCAGTTTTGTGTGTGTGTGTACGTGCATATTTTATAAAAGAAGCAACGCTTTTTGTTCTTTGCACCTTCACCCAAAGGAAAGGTCTTTCCACATCCCACAATCTTTTATGTAACTTTCCAAATCGTATCTGTAAACTTTATACTATCGACCTTTCTACAGACTATTTGGCCAGTGTATCAGATTGTTTAATATTTGCTATACATAAGAGATGCATTTATTGTTTGGATATATATTTTTTATTTTTTTAAAATTCTTTATTTTGGTAGTGCATTGTTAAGTACATAGGAAACATAAACATGTCAATAAAGACCAGTACAAAATGTCACAAGGAGTATTATTATACATGTTGAGATTGCTGCACTTTTTTGTTTTATAAGGGGAAGGAAAACATTAATGATAAGTAGTATTCAGCACTTGGGGTGGGAAAAGAGTGGATAGGATACTACCATAGGCTACGCACTGACTATGATTACGAGGTTCAAAGATTCAATCTGAGTATTGAAACGATGAGCTGTTCACAGCTTGCCGGTGGATAGGAAATGTATACATACAGATAGACATGTATTCAAGACGTAATCGCTTATAGTAAGGGGTGGAACCACCGTTAGTAGACCTGACTTTATGTGAAAGCAGGCTTGGGACTAGGTACAGGTCTTGAGTTAGATCTAGCGGATTCTGTGTTAGGGAGTTGGTGGTGTGAGTGCTGCCCTCCTTGTTTAAGGAGGGGGAGATGACTGCCTTTGTGCATGGGTAACCTCTCCGTGAAGGTGTTGCCCCTGACCAGGGGAGTAGCGGGGGGGGGGGGTGTTGACGATACGGTGACTGAGCATGTGTGGCTGTATAGAACCGGACTAGGGCCATAGATGGCATTGCGTCATGAATGCCTGGTTGTGTTATAGTGAGCCTGATCTCCCTATTCCTGGGTGACCAAGGTCAAAGATCGTGGCTTCGTGTGGGTGATGTTGCATTGATAAACAAAAGTATACAAAAAAAAAAGTACGGTAAAAACGTGAACAAAATCATAGCGGTAAAACTTTGTAACTCTGCAACTGTGCAGCCAGTGGGTTTGGGTCGGGGTTGAAAGCGTCCCTTCCAGTCAGGTGTCCGGCGGGCCGTCGGCTGCAGATCTCGGCACAAATGGTGTCACATTGGATGGGTCCCATCCGTGGGTGCGATTTGAGTCCGATGGGGCCGCCGTCGCCTCCTGCATATCCAGTGCTGCGAGGAACGCTGGGATATCAGTCCCTGTGGTTAGTTTTCGTGTGGTCCCCTTGTGTGAGACAAGGAGGGATCGTGGGGGTCCCCACCTGTAGGACACTCCTGCAGCCCGTAATCGGGTGGTGACAGGGTTCAGGGATTTTCGCCACTGCAAGGTGGCTTTTGATAAGTCCTGGTAAAAGGACAATTGTGAGTCCTCAAATGTGAGCGGGGTCTTGTTCCTTACCGCTGTCATTATTTGCCCCTTGTCTTGAGGTAGTGCGCAGCGGAGTATGACATCGCCTGGAGCTGTGGCAGTGGTAGTGGTGGGCGTCGGTAGGCGATACATCCCAGCGATGTTTATTTTTTTTTTCAGTGGCGGGTGGCAACACTGTGGCTAGTAGCCTTCTCACGTACTGTGGCAGCTCCTCCTGAGGGACGGTGGCCGGGATGCCCCTTATCTTAACGTGGTTGCGGCGGTACCTGTCCTCTTGCGCTGCCACCTGCAGTGATAGAGCCTGATGGGCTGCCTGTAGTTGGATTATAGATGCCTGCATGGTGGAGGTGTCTTGGCGGAGCACTTTAACATCTGCTTCAGTTGCCTCCAGTCTGCCTGTGAGTTGTTGCAGGGAGGATTTTAGGATGGGCAGGTCAGCAGCAAGTAGGCCTTGAATGTCCTGTAGCATGGTGTATCGGATTTGGAGGTCTTGTTTGGTTGCAGGCTCAGTGTTACCTGCTGATGCTGTGGGCTGTTGCTGTGTGTCCTCCGCTGGACTCTGTAGCTGGGATGTTGCAGGAGCAGCTGTGTGGGGAGACCCTGGTGAAGGTGGGTATTCGGCGGCCGCCATCTTGGCTGAGGTGTGGCGCTGGAGCATAGCTCCGATGTCCCTTTGTTCTGGTGCATTACAGGGTGTGGGTTTCTGGTTTCTGCGCCCCATGGATGTGTTGGCAGGTGCTGTTTGTGTCGGCCACAGCTCTGCTGCGTTTCCCTCAAGGTCCCCGCCCCAGAGATACTCGAGGTCGCGGTATGAGGGCTTGTGGTAGGCCCCGGTTTTGCGTTTTGCCTTTAGGTGCTTCGGGGAGTACTGGAAGGGCATCTGTGGGTTCAGCGGGGTGTCCCCAGGCTGTATCTGGTGTTTGCAGGGTCGGATGATGGCTTGTTATCGAGATATCCCTTAGATTGTATATTTGTTCCTCGGAACTGGGAGAAATGGCGTCCGGTTCAGTGCCAGGCTCCGCCCCCCTGGATATATATTTTAACTGTTTTTTACAAAGGTCAAGACCCTAAAAAGTGAAAATAGAAGCAATGAGCAGAAATATATAAATATATCTATCTAACTATCTCTATCATATCGCTGAGAAAGTGCCAAGACATGCATGAAACGCGTCGTCCAGGTCCTCTTTGAAGGTTTGCTGGGCCCCTCTCCAGTGTCTTCTTTTTTTTCTTTTTTTTTTTTAGTAGATTTTGCTATCTCCAGGTGCCTTTTGCTTTTCCCTGCTTCACCCTTTTTTCCTTTTGGATGCAGGGCGTTTCATTTCCACCTATTTGAATGTGCCTATCAGTTGCACACTGTCTTTTGGTGCACATATTAGAGGTGACATCTTAGGTGGGCTACTAGTTGCTGCCATTTTTTTATATTTTTTCCACTATCCAGTGGTATAATCTGCTTTTTTTTCTCATGCCAAATTTAATACCACTGTCAGGACTCCCGCTAGTTAATTTATTATGTAGACAAAAAATTATGTATAAGTGGAGCGCTGATAAAATAGAAAGAAAGGAGAGTAGGGTAAAGGTAAGCAAAATAGGAAACCTAACAACCTATGTAGTATAAAACATGTACATAAATAAAATATACCCTTCTCTCCTAATAGATCAAAACTGATTTAACTCGTACACTCAAAGTAGATAAAAATACACAAATTAATTAATTAATAAAAAGATAGACTAATATAAAGAGAAAACATTAAATCTCACATATAATATGTCTATAACAAATAATTAAACAACAGCCGTAAAAAAGTCATAAAAAAGTCCAGACCTTATTAGAATGCTCGGCGTCCCGAGTCAGCAAAGATGTATAAATGCTGAAAAAATAAGTCAAATAAAAGTCCTCTTTATAATCCAGGTGATGGCTGATAGTGGTGGGAGTCAGACCTCTCCAAACGCGTTTCTCCGCTTTGGCGGCTTTTTCAATGGGTGAGGTCTGTGTCTTTGTGTTCGCTTATATAGCGGTTTGCCGGCATTAATTAGAACCCGGCAAATACATCAGACAGTGAGTGTAACTAAAGTAACTCCTCTGACACAAAATAGTTTCACTGTATCAGAACAGCTCAGGAAAGTTATCCCTTATTTGGATCGGCATATTATATTATTCCTCTTTATTTACTACTGTTACCATAGTAACGCCCGCCCAAGCAGGTTTAAATGTAACTGCCGTTTCCAATTGGTTAAAAAAGACGGAAAACATGAAAGAGAAAGAAGACAGAATTACAGAAGTGTTAAAAAAAAATAAAAATAAAAAAAAAATAAAAAAAAAATAAATAAAATGAATAGGTGTTGCAAATATAACTTCTATATGCTCAAATAGTTAAAATATATCAAAACTCGATAACTGAGAAAAAGTACTCTTTACTTAATCATTTGATCGACCCATCACATTACCATTTTGTGTATGCTCCCGTTACTATAGTAACGATTGTATGAGCAGGTTTAACTCTATCTGCCATATTTATGTGACGTAGGATGACAGGGAAATGGAGAAATCTATTATAAAAAGATGATAATAATGGAATAGGGATCTCTCATTATGTCTACTCCTGTTAATAGAATAAAGAGATTTCCATGTTACAACTTGGATCACAATTTTAAAATATTAGGGCGATCTAACAAACCTAATGTTATAGCTTACACTAACGCTGCTTGGTATAATTAGATGAGAGATTCTAAATCTCAAATAGTATCCATAAAAACACTTAAAGGGGGAAATTTATCCCAAAAAATGACATAACTCAAATTCGGCATTTAATCCCTTAGGCTGCAACGTATCAAGTTGATATATCCATTTCATCTCAGTAATGCCCAGTTGTTTAGTATGGTCTCCTCCTCTCCAGTTTTTATTCACTCTACATATCCCCTTAAAGTTCAAAAGGCTCATATCCGAATTATGATGTTGTTTAAAATGGGCTGATACTGAATGTTGCATATAGCCTTTCTTTATATTCAACATATGTTCTCTAACTCTAATATATAGTTGCCTTTTTGTTCTTCCCACGTACTGGAGCCCACATGGGCACTCCAGTACGTATATTACGTTAGTGCTTTGGCAGGTGATATGTTCTTTTATTTTAAAAGATTCCATCTTTTTCTTATTGTTTTTGTTGGTAACTTCAAATACGCCTTTTGTTTGTTTAAACCTACTTTCTTTGCATGAAATGCAGTCCAGGCAATAGAAGAAGCCATTTTTCTTTGTTATAGTTGGAGCGTTTCTACCTTTATGGTGTTTGTTAGTTATTTTTCTACATAAGTTCGGTGCGCCCCTAAAAATAATCTTCGGTCTTTCCGGTAAAATACTGGCCAGAATTTTGTCTTTTTTCAATAGATGCCAGTGTCTTGTAAGAATCCTTTTTAATTGTAGGTTTTCTTTATTGTAATTCAAGATAATTGATGGAAATTCTTCTCCTGATTTTTTCGGTTGTGATTTATCTTTATTATTCAATAGATTAATGCGGTCTAAATTATCAACTCTACATAGTGCCTCCTCTATTTCATTGTCTTGATAGTTTTTCATCAGAAATTTTTTCTTTACTCCTTCCGCTTGTTCTCTGTAGACTTCAGAATCTGTGCAATTACGTCTCAAGCGTCTGAATTCATTGTAAGGTACGTTCTTAAGCCACATCGGTAGGTGACAACTTTCTTTAAGAATGAAGCTATTCACGTCTACTTCTTTAAAGTGCGTTTTCGTTTTAACTGTACCAGAATCTACATAGATAATAAGGTCAAGGAATACTATCTGTGTCTTGCTCCAGGTAGTGTTGAGTTTAACACCCCATGTATTCTTGTTTACATATTCTAAGAACTTGTGCAGGTCTTCCATTTCACCTTTCCATATGAAAAAAACATCATCGATATATCTCTTATACCTGTATATGTTATTATTCCAGGGGTGTTTATTCCAGATGTGATTATCCTCCCAGTCTCCCATGAACAGGTTGGCGAAACTGGGGGCAAATTTCGTCCCCATTGCTGTTCCCTTCTTTTGGAGGTAAAACTGATCTTCAAACAGAAAATAATTGTTCTTCAAAATAAAAGCAATCCCTTCTATTATGAATGAGATTTGATTGTCTTCCAGTTCTCCATATTTCCTTAATGCATTACTAACGGAATCACAGCCTTGTTGATGATCGATGATCGTATATAACGAAGTCACATCTGTGGACACTAGAATGTAGTTGTCTTGCCAAGAGATAGAATCTAGTTCCCTTATCATCTGTGTCGTGTCCTTAAGATGTGACTTTATCTTGGACACATATGGTTGCAGAAATGTATCTATGTACTGTGACAAATTTGATGTAATCGAGTTGATCCCTGATATTATTGGTCGACCAGGTGGTGCTATAAGATCTTTATGAATCTTAGGTAGAAAATAAAAGGTAGGGGTTCTTGGAAAAGGAATGGAAAGAAATCTATATTCGGACTCTTTCAGGATTCCAATATCTCTGGCATTATCCAGCATGGTTTTTAGTTCAATCTTTATTCCATTCAGTGGATCATCCGATAATTTCCCGTATGTATCGGGTTCTTCTAGTAATCTGATAGCCTCTTTTAAGTAGTATTCACTCGACATGATAACTACTCCCCCGCCTTTATCTGCTGGTTTAATGCAGATCTTTTCATTATTTGTTAGATCCTTTATTGCTTCTCTCTCTTTTTTTGTTAAGTTATTCTTTGAATAGTGATTATTTTTCATTTTCCTTATATCGTCAGTTACTAATTCTTCATACATTTCCATTCCAGCAGAGACCTGATTAATAGGATAAAATGTCGAAGTTGGTTTTAATTGACTGTGTTGAAACATGCTAAACGGCTCTTCTTTTTCTGGAAAATCAGGCAACTGATCAAAGTGCTTTTTAATGCTTAATTTTCTTATAAATCTTTTTACATCAATGGTTGCTTCGAATTTGTTCACATGCACTGTGGGTGCGAATTTTAATCCTTTATTAAGTGCTGTGATATGGTGAGGTGATAATGGAATTCCTGCAAGGTTAAATATCCCTACTGGTTGTTCTTCTTGTTCTTTTTCTTGCTTATCCATTGTTCTTCTTCCTCCTCTATTTCTTCTAAATTTGGCTCTTTACTTTTCGTCCTTCTTGGTGTCATCGGATGGAACCATGTGGTTATTTCTCTGGTGTTCCTTCCTAAAAAAACCGCCTCTCTTGTATTATTATGTATCTCAGCTTGAATCGTTACAATATTTTCTCCTACAGGAGTCTCCACTGCTTCCAATGGTCTTCTTTCAGAAATCTTTTCAGTTATCCTACCATTGTTCCCTCCTACAGAAGTCACCACTTTTTCCTCTTGTCTTCTTCTTTCAAATATTTTATCGCTTTCTTTGTCTTTATATTTACCATACAGTGCCTTTCTCTTATCATGATTGACGGTCAGTAACATTCTATGGTTTCTCTCATTTTGACCTACTGATCCTCTAGGATTTTCAAATTCTGTATTCTGTGTGTGCTTTATCTCCGATCCCTTTTTTCTTCTTTGTGGATCTCTACTGTTCACCTGGTGGTCTTCTTCTGTGATGTTTTGATGCCTTCTCCATCCCTCATTTAAACGTCTTTTTTCATTTACTGGTATGTAGTTCGGATTTTCTCTTTCATAATGTCTTCTTGACTCCTGGTTTACTCTTCCGTTCCATTTATGGTTTCTTCTCACATAGGCATGGTGGTTTTGATTCTCGTATTCGTTTTTTTTGAATTGTTGGTATGTACTTCTCTCTTGATTATTCTTCTTCTCATATTGTGAGTCATATTTCTTCTGGAAATTTCTGACTCTATCATTCTTATAATCATCCATGTCACGTAGGAATTTTTTCTTCTTAGTCTTCTTTATATCCTCCTCCAATCTATCTACGCTTTCGGCTATTTTTGCAACCCTTTCCCTTGGGTTATCCCCTCCTTCCATGGATTCTAAGATATTTTGTATTTCTTTAATTTCCTGGTCTAATTGTACCAACTTCTTTTTCCTACATTCAATGATAATATCCATAAAAACAAATGAGCAATCTTCCATTGTTTCATACCATCTATCTTTGAGTTCTAGGTACTCAATAGGAAACGCCGGATCTTTAAATAGCCTTAATCCTCGGGGAGTTATATTATCAATAATATATTGTTGAAGTGTAGCAACTTCCCATTTTAATTTTAATTCCTGTTTTAATAATCTTTCCAACTTTAAAAATAGGAAATTCCTATTGTGTTTTGTGGAATATTCCTTTAGTATATCTATTCCAAAACACCGGGTAGCGTTGGTATCTACCTTCTGTCTCAGTGTATTAATATCCATGACAGAGCTAAAAGAATACAATCTGCTGCTCAACACTAGTTAGGTTTAAGTAATAGAAATGTAGAAAAAAATTTATGTATATGTGGAGCGCTGATAAAATAGAAAAAAAGGAGAGTAGGGTAAACAGAATAGGAAACCTAACGACCTATATAATATAAAACACGTACATAAATAAAATGTACCCTTCTCTCCTAGTAGATCATAAAACTGATTTTACTCGTACACTCAAAGTAGATAAAAATAAACAGATTAATTTATTAATAACAAGATAGACTAATATAAAGAGAAAACATTACATCTCACATATAATACGTCTATAACAAATAATTAAACAGCCGTAAAAAAGTCATAAAAAGTCCAGACCTTATTGAAATGCTCGGCGTCCCGAGTCAGCAAAGATGTATAAATGCTGAAAAAATAAGTCAAATAAAAGTCCTCTTTATAATCCAGGTGATGGCTGATAGTGGTGGGAGTCAGACCTCTCCAAACGCGTTTCTCCGCTTTGGCGGCTTTTTCAATGGATGAGGTCTGTGTCTTTGTGTTCGCTTATATAGCGGTTTGCCGGCATTAATTAGAACCCGGCAAATACATCAGACAGTGAGTGTAACTAAAGTAACTCCTCTGACACAAAATAGTTTCACTGTATCAGAACAGCTCAGGAAAGTTATCCCTTATTTGGATCGGCATATTATATATATATTATTATATTTAATATAATTTCATAATTTTTAATAACATCATTTTAAACGTTTATCCAAAAATAATAAATAATTAGAAAGGTTTATCCAAAAATATTAAATCAAGGCTTATATTCCATATGCTGATATACTAGCAGTGATGATCACAATAATTGTGTTCCACTTTATTGATCTCCTGCGTTCCGAATGTATTCTCACACTGTCCCAGCACAGACGTGCATCATATTCTGAATGCAACATAATATCTCTGTGCAATTCACCCCATGGTGAGGCTTTATGGGGATAATGCCACTATGTGACACCCTGCTCTTTATTGTATCAGATGAGACAGGATTTAAACCATGTGTTTATTTTGCAGCCTATTTATTATATGTGTATGTGTAGGTTTTACGCTATATTTGTGTAAATATTTCCAATTTAAAATGTTCATATTTGTGCCTCGTTGCAGAACCATTTCTTAAATATATGTATTGTCTTATTATCAAGATATTAGTCATCTGTACTTTAATTTATTATTTTCCAGAAAATACGTTTTCTTCACGCCCCTTTGCAAGTGATTCTGGCAGGTGGATTGTAAGTACTATTTTTATGGGTTTCTCCATGGGAAAATGTTCATGCATCGGTATCTCTGGATTAGTAAATCCAAAGTATATTTCATTAAAAAAAGCCCATATGTTTATTAGCCATCCAGCACTCCTGTCCCTTTAAAAATATGTCTAGAAGACATCTAGCACATTCAAAGCCAATTTAGGGTATTTTTTATGGTTTTTCATTAGACTTTGAGGACAGGAGGTGGGTTTAGAACTTATTTAGTGTTTAATGTCTTTAAATTTATTTGTTATAGGGCCTCGAAAGAGTTAGCAGGGACCAAGGGTAATGGTCACCAAATATTCCAAAATGGAATGTTCATATCACAAGTGTTAAAATCCATTGGCTGATCACCAGCTTTAACCAATCGGCATCTTTATCCACTTTGTTTCATTTTGTAGTCAACTCATCTGTCAATTCCTATAACATGGATCAGATGGAAAACAGCACAGTCTTGGGAAATTAACCTATGTACGTTAAAGGAACACACCTAAATATATTCATAGAGAATGTATTTATTGCTGCGCCGCAAAGCAATCTGTGAAAGCAACCTCCTGGCTGTTTAACAGCAACTACGGTGCAACCTAGACACTATATAAAAGTGCCGATTTCTCTGGTGCCTTTATGAAGTGACAAAGGGGCTACACTAATGTCCAAAGCACATCAGTAGGCTGATGTTTGAGGGGGTGTGAAGTGTTCATTTAAAACAATCAGCCATTTGCTATTAAAGGGGCACTATAATATTAGGAACACAAGTGTGTATTCCTGACACTATAGTTCTAAAACCTCCATTAAGGTGGTTGGCCCGCCCTTACCTCGAGTTAGAAAGGCGACTTACTCTTTTTCCAGAACAGTGCTGGGCACCTGCATCTGGCCCAAGCTCTGATCCGCCTCCTTGACTGACATAACTGTCTGAGGAGTGGCCTCTAGATGTGCACCTGGGCTGTATTCTCTGAAAAGTTAGTATTAACAGCAAAACAACTGCAGGGACTGACTATACTCACAAGAACAACTACATTAAGCTATAGTTGTTCTGGTGATTACAGTGTTCCTTTAAGCGTCTTTTCCACTGAAGACCCTGGACACCGCTACTCCCATTCCTATGGTTTTGATTATTTCTTCATATGAAAGTTAAAACTTGTTTTCAGTATATTGAAATAGTCATTGTGTTTAAGATTAAGGCAGCCACCGAGGCTCGAACTCAGGACAATGAATTATCTCAACAAATGTCTGGGAAGAGATAACATTTGTTGGGCAGGTGTGTGTGTGTGTGTGTGTGTGTGTGTGTTTTAGTGTAGGCTTTCTACTCTGACTATAATTTTTTTTTATATTAAGTGTTCTTAAATGGAGATTGAGATTTACTGGTTTAAATAAAGTCTCTGTTAATGGCCCGTCCATGATCTTTCTCTTTGTGTATTAATTTGTTTTATGTTTGTTATATTTTGCAGCTTACTATTCATGGTTCCTGTTGCCTGCTCATTATTCCCACAAAGATGGTAAAACATTTAAAGTGTTTTTTTTTTCTTTTTCCATTTAATGATTATTTATATTGTTGCACTTCCAAATCTGTGTGTGATACCAGTGTCAGAGGACTATATGCTCAAAGTCAATAAATCCTAGTCTTGCAGGGTACATACAGAGCTACTCTTACACTGAGAGAAGGCTGAACACAGACTTGTAGACTATAAATAGGACAACCGTATATAATAGATGACATCCATATACCCAGTCTTTATACATGCCACCCAATATTTCTATTGGCCCAGCAGAGATGCATGTTTAGGGGTAATTCTGGAGACGTGGCCCAGGGACAGGTCTATTTGGGGAATTTATCGATATTCCAGACCTAGCTATAGCAAATTATGAAAATTAGCAAGTTAAGTGGACCAAAGTCAAGGCATTTACACTGTCACACTGTTCTAAATCCATGTAATGTAAATTCTAACAAATATCACTACCAGTTTTATTTGTATGGCACTTGTGATACATTTATACACAACAAACATTCTAACCCCCTACAAAAGGACAGCTAGGTAGAAAGAAAGATAACAAGGGATTTGGGTCGGAAAGAAGAAACGCCCCTCCAAAATAGGGAGATCTGGATGGTGTATAGTCTTGCTTGTTCTGAGCATTTCCCCCTTACATTTAAATTCTTTATCTCCCCAATCTTTCACTCTTGTTCGATTTTGGTGTAATCAAGTCCTATTTTCCCAATGTCATTATTATTGTGTACCCTTTTTGCTCCGATACAGAATTTGGCACCATTTTATTATCTCTGCAGCCCTTGCAATGCTTGTGTTGCCTTTTACCTGTCTGTCAACATTCCTTCTTTGGTCTGCGTCTCTTGCAGCAACCAGTTTAACCTTCTGTCTGTCTTTCACCCTTTGTTCAGTCCCTCCCTTATTCTTATTGCTTGGAAGGCACAGATGTGTTTGTAATAACCAGTTGGTTCCTTGCATGCCAGAGTTAAAAAAATTTGGTTTAACTGCATAATTTAAAATGATTGACATTTCAATGCATAGTGCATTTCTTGTGCAAAAATAGTACTCTTGCTTTCCAGATAATATTTTCTGTTGGGGGGGTGGGGAGGGGATAATAATTTTTTTTTTGTGCTTTTGCCATTTGTCTCTGTGGAGGTAAAACACTGCAAAATATGGACACAGAACAGGATGTTTGTTCTTCTCCCAACCCCCGAATGATGATATTTTGTCCCACCCTGCTGACATTGCTCTGTCGTCCACATATTTGTCTTTAACATATTTTTTGTGTAATAGCTTAAAGGGTTACTCCAACCACCGTGACCATTTCAGTGATTTGAAGAGGTCATGGTGGTAAAAGTCCAAATGTGCAGTGTTTCTGCTTTTAACACTGCACATACAGAGATATTTTGTAATTGTATGCTGGGATCTAGTTGCACCACCAGCACGCATGATATTGCCAGGCCTGTTCTGGGCTGCATAATGTCAATTCTAAGCATAAATTACAGATGTTGTCAGCACGCATAGCACACTGATAACAGATGTTAAAATCTGCTCCTTGCAACAGAATGCCTGCAATGAAACGCAAGCACCCGCGCCCTCCCTTGTTGTGGGTGCTCCCCCCAACTCCCTTTGCTGACCCAAAGGCTATGCATGCGCTCAGAGCCAGCGTGCGGCCCAAGTGACGCCTTTGTTCTAAACACATTATTTTAATATTTGTTTTGTTTTGTTTTTTCTTACAGTTCGATGGCAGTGAATTCCCTAGAGCCAGAACTTCGTGATTCTATCGTGAACAAGTATGGAGACAAAGTTCGCTACGTTTATTTTAATAAAGGACTATAGCAACATTAAAAAAGAACACATTGTTACTGACGGACAGTGTTTCAATAATAAGATTGGTGCTGCTTCGACTGGTCCTTTTCTACTCTCTTACCCACGTTTCTCTTAAACCAAAATGAGCCAAATTCAAATGATTCCATAGAGTCGACAATCTACATGTAATCTCTTACTTCTCAAACAAATGAATCATTTTAGGAACTTAGAACCATAAGGGAAAGTCTCAGAATTGCAGGTGTGTATGAACAAAGCTTCTCTTGTAGCTTAGACAACCTTATTTGCTGGCTGAGAATCATGTGAAATATATCTCACAGACTGCTGTAACGCCCAGCTTAACAATTTGAGGCTTTAGTTGACCTCCCTTTTTTTTAATGCACATTACAATGCAAAAACAAACCAAAAAAAAAGCTTTAAAAGACAATATAATACGCTTTAAAACAGACTTGTTCATATGGTTTCAAATCTAATGGGGTTCATCCAAATTATGGGCAGTTGGTAGATCATCTGTATTCCGTAAACACCATATGGAGGTAACATGAACAAACAAACCAGACATTGGACGCGCATGTTCGTTTGTTTCGTGATTCGGAGTTCTGTCTGTGGTGCTAGAAATAAAACTGACCATAAATGATATTTTTCCCCCCATCAATCATCTGACAGTCACTAAATGATGATTTTAGTCACAGATTAGATGAGAAGTGACCAAGAGAGTAGGAAAAAAAAGGTGGAGCAGTAATATATATTAATATATGAAAACCTATATATATATATATATATATATATATAAAATCCAGTATGCTTGCACTCCAGGTATAAATGACACTATTGCCCAGTGCAAATCCAGCTAAAATTGTGGGTATCCAAGTAAACGGAATGCACTCCAGGGTCTTTGAAATTATTTAAAAAAATGTAACTTGTAATTCATATAAAAAAAAAATAAAAGAATATACATCAACGTTTCGGCTCACATCAGGAGCCTTCCTCAGGATACCAAATATTTTTATTCATATATTTTTGATATGAATTAAAAGTTAAATTTTATTATAATTTCAAAGACCCTGGAGTGCATTCATATTGTATTATACATATGATATATATTTTTTAATAAATATAGATTTAATTTATATATTTTTTACTGCTCCTTTTTCCCCTCTGTTGGTAACTTTTTCTCACTTTATCGTTAAACCAAAAATGGTAAAATTAATCGGTGTACTGGGAAATACACTGGCCCATTTTCATGCTCTTTTTTTGTTGTTGTTTGTCCGAGTCATTTTCAGAAATATTTTACATGGACAATATTTGTTTGAACGAACCATCACTTGGACAAATATTGGACTACCTGAATTTTCTTTTTTTATGAGTTGATTCAGCCAAACCAAATGTATTCCGCCACGCACATGTCTGCTTTTAAAGTTCCTTTTTGTTTGAAGGTTGTACAGTTTCTGTATTGTCCTCTTCAAGGGCAATGATGTTACTGAAGCTATTTATCCTGGCCATTAGAGGGCAATAAAATATATATACTTTTGCCCTCTTTTGAATAAGAAATGTAAAAGGTTGGACATGATGTACTTGAGTCTATTTTAAATCTTACATAAAAAACAGAGAGAACTGGAATACCATATATTTAAAAAAACGAACTTTTTTTAGCCATTTAAAATGGAAAAGAACTGTCAATATTAAAAGCAATTCGGAATAGAGATCTTAATGAAACCACTAGAAATTGTAAAAGTATTGTGCAGTGCCATGCATTCTAAATAAAGGATTAACTTATAGCTAACACATAAACAAAAGATAGAGTATAGTGTGTAACTAAAGCGTTACAATGTCACACTTCTCGAATAACCGGGCTTGAGGAAAAAAATACTACTAATAAATCTGGTGTATATGAAATTCACAGAAAGTATACAGCAGAAGAAATAACTACTGCAAAAGGCAGCAGAGAAAACCAGATTTAAAAATAAGAATTGTACCTGACTCTGTGTCTTAAAGGGCATCTAACAGTTTCACTGGTCATGCCTTCAAGGGCACCTAAGCGACCAAAATAGATAATGACTATCTGTTAGTTCTAGTTTTAAACTAGTCTTAAAGCCGAGATTTAAAAGTCCCAAACAGAGTTATAGCATCAGAAGAGAATCAAATTCAGCGATAAATTAGGACTTAAACTGAGCCCTGCCACGTGTTTCACCAGTCAGATGGCTCTTCAAGGGAGAATGAACATCCAAAATGCTTGCTCTTAAATCAGGCACTCTAAGAAATAATTGGGCAACCGTGGTGTCCAATCAAAAGTCCACACATAGATCGATGTTGGATTGAGTCAATTGATATCTATGGAGGAGAGGATATGAGTGGAGAATGTTGGGGAGGGGCAAAAGTCTGATGTAAACAAATGTCAATAATTTAGTTTAATTGGAAATCAAAGATATTACAAATTGTGGCCTCTGTATGTACTGAATAGGTAGCTGTATCTAAAATATCTGTTTTATACAGCAGGTTGTCTGACAGATGACAAGACCTGTAACAGGTCACCAGTATATGCTATACCTAAAACAGGATATGATTCACTAAATGCTAAAGACCTCATTTAAGTATTAAAGTGTGTGTCTATAGCAGATAAAGTAAAATTATCAAAACATAAACAAATCTCCGTAGTATAATGAGAATTGAAATGATAATCTTAAAAAGACCGAAAGCTCATAATGGGTTGCTATGATACCAATGCGTAACAATAGGTCTCCGTTAATAATACAAACCGAGGTGGGTATAGATTGCCTGCAGGCCAAATATTTGAGAGACTCTAATGCAACATTTGGATAGTGAACCTGCATCGATGACAAACAGGAAATTGTTCACTAAATGCTGGAGACCTCAGGCAGCCGGCTATACAGTCCGGTAACGATGGGTAATCAAAGGGTCCTTTGGAATTAGAATGTTTAGGTAAGGGTATTAGTGGTATGGGCAATTATTTAACCTACTCACCCATACCTAAAAATGAAATATTGCATGAAGCGCAAATGGTCATAGCAAGATAACGTCCCTCAATTGCTAATTATTATTATGGTCACTAGAAGTTCTGAAACAGGTGGACAGCCTGAGATATCCAGTCTCAAAAGCAAAATTAACAAATGTACTAATGATTCCAAGGTGGATCCCTACATATGTCTCACATCCTTCAGTGTTAATTCCCCAAGGGGAAAAGTAAAAGTCCTCAGAATATAATAAGCAGCAGCCTGGATAACTGTAGCATTAAGTTACAGTAACTAGATCCTAATGTAGTAAGATAACTGGTGTATGTAACAAATGACCGTTGTGTTAATGTTTCCTTATTCATGGATGAAAAATGTGAAGTTAAATTCTTCGTTTTAACACCCAGGTGCCGTTATGTTAAATTCATAAATCCATTTAGATTCCATCTTCAACTGGGGCAGATGGAAATCCTCTTTCCATGAATTAGTTGTTGATTTCTCCGAAGCTTTGAATTGCAAGTTTTTTATTTTCCCATTGTGGAAATGTATAACATGTCGAGCTGTAGTAGTGGAGACATCGGGGTTTGTTATAGAGTCAATGTGTTGTAAGATCCGACGTCTAAATTGTTGCAATGTTTTGCCGATATACTGTAAGTATGGAGCTGCGGTTGATGAAGTAATTGATGTGTACAGTCGTTCCTGTTTGAGAGCATGTTACAGTTTGGCAAGATTTAATGTAGTCACATGCTTTACAGTGTCCACAACATAAGACCCCCTTGGTCTGTGTTAGCCGTTCCGAGTTCAGTTTAAGTGGCTCAAAATGACTGTGTACCAAAAGATCAGAATGATTTCTAGATCTGCAGACCGAAAGGGCTGGTGTAGAAGTCAGAACTTCCTTGAGCTCCTGATCGTGTAATACGATTGGCCAATTATGTGCCATAATCACTTTTTCTAGCTTAATAAAAGTTATGTTTTATTATATATATAGTATTCCAGTTCTGGGAAAATCACTTTTATCTCGCTGTATTTGTTGCTATAATTGTCTCACCTTTTTATCATTGCAATAGGAGCCGTATAGTGGTGTTTTTAGAGATATATATTTTTTTTCCCCATGAAGCCATTTTAGGTGCATTCTTACCTCTTCAGTGCCCAGAATCCCTCTGATAATAAGCTGTTGGAAAGTTCGCAAAAATGCATTCAATGTTCTTTTGTTCTTTTTGTTTGTTTTCAAACATGAAATGCAATCAAATTCTCTAAGTCAATTTAGCTATTCGCTCTGTCACAATGAATAATGCCTTCCTTGTGACAATGACTGCCACTGACTGTCTGGGATTTTGTACCAGTTTTATTCGTCTTGGCTGTCTTGTCACTTATCCAGCTTTTCTAAACCAAAACTACGAAAATATGTCTGCATCCCACTGTGGGCAGCTAATAATTTCACTTTCCTCCATGGAAATATGTCTCACCACTCCACAAGTAATTCTGATTTTGTCCATGTTGGAACAATGTTATAAACCATGGTATACGTCTCTTTGTATTTCCACACCAAATAAAATATTTTTAAACAAATGCCACTTTACATTTGAGTTATCTGCTTTCCACTAAAAAGTCTGAATTTTGGATTAATGTGCTCCACGGACAAGCGTGATCTTATATACTGTTAATATATGGCACTCCCGCTCTGGATCAACGGAGGAACAAAAAGTCCAGGTATAAAAAAAATATATATTTAATATTTTGTTTATTATTCTACTTAAACTTGTTGTTTTTTCCTTTGATCCAGAGCTGCTGTCTCTGGGGGAAAGGAGTGTGACCTATAATTGGGGCAATGCTTTATACACTTAGAGCCAGTGGTTCTTTATGAGGTGAGCACAACATATAGTGCCTTACAATTCAGATACCTAAGGATAATACACTTAAACGGACACTCCAGACCCCTAATGCACTTTCGTTTGCTGAAAAGCTTTGTGTGTCAAGAGTGTGTCCTCTTTTTTTTTTTTTTGCAAAAATTGTAGATTTTATTAGAAGTAGACACTTTTATAGAATATACTGGTCATAGCCCATTGGCCTTTTTAACAGACAAGAGCTCCTGTTACTTCCTGGTTGGTTAACTTATTTGCACTGAACTCAAGTAGCAGCAATTGCCCAGAGCTCATTGAGCTGCATTGGGAGGTCTCTGATTGGACAGCCACAGAAAGTCTGGGCGGGGTTAGAAGGGAGAGGAGGGTTTGTAAAGGCAGCAGACAAGAGATCTGCCGTTTTTGCAAGCTATTTTTAGATATAACTTCAATAAAAAATGCATAATTAAATGCATGCAGGTTTTTATTGGGGGTTATATCTACTAAATAGGGATTTTTTTATTCATTTTGAATTTGGGCAGTGGAGTGTCCCTTTAAATATGCTTCTTTTTCTTTATAGCCACAAGTCCCAGAGTACATACAGGGAGTGCAGAATTATTAGGCAAATGAGTATTTTGACCACATCATCCTCTTTATGCATGTTGTCTTACTCCAAGCTGTATAGGCTCGAAAGCCTACTACCAATTAAGCATATTAGGTGATGTGCATCTCTGTAATGAGAAGGGGTGTGGTCTAATGACATCAACACCCTATATCAGGTGTGCATAATTATTAGGCAACTTCCTTTCCTTTGGCAAAATGGGTCAAAAGAAGGACTTGACAGGCTCAGAAAAGTCAAAAATAGTGAGATATCTTGCAGAGGGATGCAGCACTCTTAAAATTGCAAAGCTTCTGAAGCGTGATCATCGAACAATCAAGCGTTTCATTCAAAATAGTCAACAGGGTCGCAAGAAGCGTGTGGAAAAACCAAGGCGCAAAATAACTGCCCATGAACTGAGAAAAGTCAAGCGTGCAGCTGCCGCGATGCCACTTGCCACCAGTTTGGCCATATTTCAGAGCTGCAACATCACTGGAGTGCCCAAAAGCACAAGGTGTGCAATACTCAGAGACATGGCCAAGGTAAGAAAGGCTGAAAGACGACCACCACTGAACAAGACACACAAGCTGAAACGTCAAGACTGGGCCAAGAAATATCTCAAGACTGATTTTTCTAAGGTTTTTATGGACTGATGAAATGAGAGTGAGTCTTGATGGGCCAGATGGATGGGCCCGTGGCTGGATTGGTAAAGGGCAGAGAGCTCCAGTCCGACTCAGACGCCAGCAAGGTGGAGGTGGAGTACTGGTTTGGGCTGGTATCATCAAAGATGAGCTTGTGGGGCCTTTTCGGGTTGAGGATGGAGTCAAGCTCAACTCCCAGTCCTACTGCCAGTTTCTGGAAGACACCTTCTTCAAGCAGTGGTACAGGAAGAAGTCTGCATCCTTCAAGAAAACATGATTTTCATGCAGGACAATGCTCCATCACACGCGTCCAAGTACTCCACAGCGTGGCTGGCAAGAAAGGGTATAAAAGAAGAAAATCTAATGACATGGCCTCCTTGTTCACCTGATCTGAACCCCATTGAGAACCTGTGGTCCATCATCAAATGTGAGATTTACAAGGAGGGAAAACAGTACACCTCTCTGAACAGTGTCTGGGAGGCTGTGGTTGCTGCTGCACGCAATGTTGATGGTGAACAGATCAAAACACTGACAGAATCCATGGATGGCAGGCTTTTGAGTGTCCTTGCAAAGAAAGGTGGCTATATTGGTCACTGATTTGTTTTTGTTTTGTTTTTGAATGTCAGAAATGTATATTTGTGAATGTTGAGATGTTATATTGGTTTCACTGGTAATAATAAATAATTGAAATGGGTATATATTTGTTTTTTGTTAAGTTGCCTAATAATTATGCACAGTAATAGTCACCTGCACACACAGATATCCCCCTAACATAGCTATAACTAAAACAAACTAAAAACTACTTCCAAAAATATTCAGCTTTGATATTAATGAGTTTTTTGGGTTCATTGAGAACATGGTTGTTGTTCAATAATAAAATTAATCCTCAAAAATACAACTTGCCTAATAATTCTGCACTCCCTGTAGATGACGGTTCAGCGCTAAATAATCTGATAGAAACTTAAAGCAAGTGGGGAAGCAGCAACTTATAAGTATGAGGCTACCTCAGAAAACCTCACAAAGAGGGAAACAGACAAAAATTGGTATATAGGTCGCGCTATAAAAGCAACGGGATAATGTAAACAATGGAAGTCCCAATAGCACTATATACGTCTCTTATCTTTTTATATATCGAGGAGCTTTCAAGAATCTCATCACCTATATCCAACCAGTGGGGGATTGATGCCACTGAATGCTAAGAATACTTGAGCAAGTTTTCTGCTCATAAATAGGTGAGTGCTTTATCTATTTATAGATTTCCACTTGCCCACCTGTTGACATTCTATCTGCACTATTGGAGTTTTCCTGTCTTTTTTATGTATCCACATATCAACAAGTGAACCAAGACATCTCCAGCACAAGAAGATTCAGATACTCATTGGACTCTATACATATCCAAGCATCCTACAGGTTGATTTAACATACAAGTCCCAGAATCACTGCTTGGGTGGTGTGACACCTTAAAGGCACAGAAACACAAACAATCATATTAGGCTCTATTATATGTGAGTGGACAATGTCACATGTTGTACACATAATGGGTGTTGCAATACTGTTTTAAACTATTGTTCAATATTTGGTTTTATTTGCATATATTGGCATAAGTCTATTCAAAGCCCTGGGCAAGTAATATTAAAAACCGCTCCACTTTTATACACTGTTTGATCTTAACTGTTTATCCAAACCTAATTAAATCATTTGAAGAGCTTATCCTAAGATATTAAATTGAGGCCATACTTATGCTTGGATGCTTAAATAATGCAGTCATACACAATGTATCAAAAAACAAAAGCATAGAAAAACTGTTATGTTAGGGCGGAATAAAATGTTCTATAAGAATTGGATAACTTTAGAGTAGCCATAGAACTGAAAATTAGACATTAAGGGTGCAAAGACAAGTCAGACAAAGGTTGCTGTCATAGAGAGAGTCCAAATTGAGTTAAAATTAGAGAGTAGTAATGCATAAATATGCCTTACTGAATACTCCATTTAAATTAAACTTCTAAATGTTGTTGCGAAAAATATTTGTCATTTTAACCAAAGTAGTTCTTTCCGGTTAGTCTTTCAGATAGGGAGTGATAAAATGCTGAAATATTTATATATAGTCATAGAGATTACCATCACATGCCAAACTTCATGACAGCTATTAGGTACAGTAACAGGAACTGCCTAAAAAAAAAACATTACAGAACAAATACATTTCTCCATGTGTGCAATAGATTAATTCAGTATAAAAGCACATTAAGAAAAGATTAGAAGTATCAAAGGAACACCAAAGTTATCAATAACATAATAGTTTTACGGCATCCACTTTAGAAACATTAAAAAAATATTGTCTCTTATCCAGCATCATCTCTGGTCCAATTCAAGCATTTATAGAGACGCATTGATGTGCTAGGGCGCATGAATGCAACATTTTCCAACTGGATGCTTCTCCGAGAGGAACACTATCCCAATACTTTTCTGTGCGAACATTTATCAGTTGTCTGAGACGTAGTGATTGAAAACGAGAAGAACTGTTATTTTCTTTTTAATGTCCTCATAAGGAAAAACCTCTAGTGACTGTCAGACTGGCAGTCATATTCTCTGACATAGGTAAACATTGCCTTTTCTGAGAAACGGCTAATTTTACATGGAGCACAGTGCCAGGACAGGGACTTTGCACTAAAACCACTACATTAAGATGAAGTTTGTTTAGTGTGTCCCTCAAACCGCCTAAGTTACCCCAAGTGGACAATCTGGCACATGCTTGGTAATTACAGTTTACAGCCAACCCGTTTTACTCACCTGATTCCAGCGCCGGGAGCCTCGTGAAACCAAAATGACGAAATAGGCGGGCGCGAGCAGGGAGCAATCAGAGAAGTGCCTTCTCTCTCCTGCAAACGTCAGACGTATTTTAATACATCTGACGTGTAGAAGGCCTTTTTAGGGCCCTACATGATAGGAAGTCCCTCTGGTGGCCGTCTGAGTGACTGCCACTGGAGGTATTCCTATCAATCAATGTAAACACTGTATTTTCTCTCATTAGATTGCCTGCAGGGAGCTATAGATCTCACCTGAACAACTACATTAAGCTGTAGTTGTTCATGTGACTATAGTGTCCCTTTAATAACTTATTTTCATTTTTATCCCCTTCATTTATTTTGACAAATAATGAAGTCCCTGAGCAGGTGGAGTTGCGGGTCTAGAGGCAGTGTTGTATGTAACAGCGGCAGGGAGCCTGAAGCAGGTTATATTTGAGAAATTCAACACCTACAAATTTAAAGAATAGTTGAAATCCTTTCGGAGGCATGTTTATATGGACTGCATAGATGTATGGGATATTTTGCACAATTGTTATTCATTGATGTTGAACTGTTTCACGTAGAAAAAAAATAAACAAGACAAGTTTGTAATCTCAATATTGACATTTACATGAATCTCATGAGCAATGCTCGGAACAAATTATTCAGTAGTACATGTAACACTGTATGACTGAGGACATCTACTGGTTACCGAGGGCAGTACACAATTCTTCTATCGCCTTCACAATATATCTTGATTTTATTTTCTGCTATGTAGCATACACAATGCCTGATCTAAACAATGCTTGACTTCAGTTGTAACTGTATGAATTATTATAGTATTAGTCGGAATAGCTGTTCCCAAGTAGAAATGGAATATGAGACTCCGTATTGTACTAGGTTTTACATGTCAGATATGTCTCTGTCCAACTTTTAGGCATCCTAAAATGAATTAATGACAAATATAAATAAACAAAGAAGTTTTGACAGATGTAAAATGTAATTCCCCTAAAACTCTGAATTGTAGCAATTTTACATCCAAGTTCCAGAACTAACGTGAAAGAAACCAGGCTGTTTCTATACCGAATTTTTCCAAATGTTACCATTTTCATTTTCATTAAATTGTGGCATCTCAACCACTAACACAATTTGGAGAAATGCAGAATGGTGGCAGGGCAACAAGCCAACCAATTTAGAGTTATTCACAAAAGTGATAATTACCCGGAACTCAAAGTAATTTAAAATTTAAGATCAGAATAGAAAACTGAAAACAGGGGACATGGAGAATTTTCTGTATTTGCTATTTTGGCTTAAATTTCGAAATTCACTTTTAATTCCAGATGATTTTCACTTTAGTGAATAACTCCAATTGAGTATAGATCAGAAACTAGAGGTAAGAAGGGAACCTGACTAAGGGCACGTTCCTGAGCCTCGAGTGGTTGGGTCTAACACAGCAGAACTCAGAGAGGAAAACTTGTATAAGAGAATTAACCAGGAATAGCCAGAGCTGGACACGTCAGAGATACAATAACGACAAGCCTGCTCGACAATAACTGATATCAGGAGCGGATAACTACCCAGATCAGGGACAAGGACTATCATGAGCAGAGCAGGATACTGAATGCTTATCTCAGAGATAAAATCACAGCAATGGTTCAGGAAGCTCATTCCTCTTCTAAAGTTTGAGTTCTGTTGGTTGAATATGAGGTGAATGGGTTGTATCGGTGGACTCAGGGTAATAGTTCCGACGCTCAAAAGGTCCTATGTTCGCGTATTTAGGTACTCGCAATGGTGATCGGTAACCATATTTCAAAGCTCTCCTCTATTTACAGGAACACTATAGTGTCATGAACACAATCAGGTATTACTGTTACTTTAGTGGTAAAATCACTATTAAGGTCTCTGCCCCCCCTCCTCACTTTTTTTTTTTTACTGCTATACTGTGCCAGTGTCGACATGGCTGGCCCTGCTTTGCCTTGCTTCTATGATAATCTTAGCCAATCCAATGATTTCCCATAGGAAGGCATTGGGATGCTATTGCACATGAGCGGCAAAATGCTGCGCTGATCCAATCAGCATCTCCTCATCGAGATACATCGCTCACTGTGAAGCACTGAGAGAGGAAGCACCTCTAGTGGCTGTCTGAGTGACTGACACTAGAGTTGTATCTTTTCTCTGAAAAGGCAGTGTTTACATTAAAATGCCTGCAGGGACTAGCTATACTCACCAGAATAGCTACATTAAACTGTAGTTGTGGTGATTATAGTGTCTCTTTAATGTCCTTGATCTTCCATTCAATCACACACTTTTTTGTGTTTTTACTTTATTGTTTCTGTAAATACCAACTTTTGTCAATACTAAATAAATGTAGCAATACTTAAGCTAATCTTGTTTTTCATTATATGTATTCACCCATTGAAGTTTTTAATGATCTTTATTGAAATTGACAAAAACAAAATGCAGCTATATTAATAAGTGAATGATCTACATTTTTTAGTCTGCGAAGGATCATAGGAGTTGTAGTTCTACAACATCTGGGTATCTACCTATTGGGCGCCGCTGGTATGTAGGCTTACTAACGCTCAGCCATATGCACACATTAACATGCGTGCTGGTACACACTAATGTGCATGCACAAACCTACATGTAATGATTAACACCTTAACATGCATAAATATAGGCATTCTGACACACTGATAGACACAGAAACAAAGTAACACACAGACACAAAATAAAAATTAAATTTTATAGTTATAATACTGTAGTTTTGTTGTAATTTCATATGATGTGTATGTATATATATATAATTATTATTTTTTTAAAAAAAAATGTATCTCATGTGTGTCAGATGTCATACTTTGGAAATAACTCTTATGTAACATAGCAGGCCAGGAGCTAAACCTGCATCCCAGGCACGACTAGCAGCAGCTGTTTTTCAAGTAACTCAGAAAACTAATGACTATTTTTGTTCTGTAACAGAATATTTGTATTTGTTGTTTTGACTTGTTTGCAGAGTGACTGGTATTAATATCAAGTAACTGAATATGCTGAGAGTTTTGACGGTTCCAAATAAGCAGGACACATGTTTAAACTTATTGTTCGACGGGATCTGTTTGTGCAAGTACTGAAAGCACCTAATAGCCAATTATTAATGCACGGTCTCCTGGTTGATCACATTTGGTTTAGTAATCAGAAACTCCCCCAAAAGCCTTCAGCGGAACTCACATGGTACGTACTTTTTATTTTATTTATTTTTAACCCCTTAAGGACACATGACATGTGACATGTCATGATTCCCTTTTATTCCAGAAGTTTGGTCCTTAAGGGGTTAAAATACTTTTTATTTATCAAAAATTAATACCATACAAAATCTTCATATCGAAATTCCAATATATCTGATATATGAATAAAGACATTTTCTATATTATCATATTTCATCAAACAATTAAAAACATACATCAGCATTAACATCAAAACAAATAAAAATAAATAGAATGTCAGAAATTGCTGCTTTGCTATAATTGATTAATCTTAGGATTATAGGGAAGAAACTGCATATTAAAGGAGCACTATAGGGTCAGGAACAGAAACATGTATTCCTGACACTATAGTGTTAAAACCACCATCTAGCCACCCTGGTCCCCTCATGCCTCCCTAAATATAGATATTTAAATATAAAATCTTACTTGTATTCAAGTCTGCAGCTGCTTATTTTGTCCCTGTTTCCTTTAGTCCTGCCAGCTGCCATCATCAGAAGTAGTGGCCTGATCCAATCACAGTGCTTCCCCATAGGATTGGCTGAGACTGACAAGGAGGCAGATCAGGGGCAGATCCAGAATGATTCAAACACAGCCCTGGCCAATCAGCATCTCCTTATAGAAATGAATTTAATCAATGAATCTCTATGAGGAAAGTTCAGTGTCTGCATGCAGAGGGAGGCAACACTGAATGTTTGGATGCATTTTAGGCAGCTATGACCCAGGAAGGATCTAACAGCCATCTGAGCAGTGGCCAGTGAAGTTATCACTAGGCTGTAATGTAAACACTGCATTTTCTCTGAAAAGACAGTGTTTACAGCAAAAAGCCTGAAGGGAATGATTCTACTCACCAGAACAAATTCAATAAGCTGTAGTTGTTCTGACGACTATAGTGTCCCTTTAATGCTAAATTAATTTTTCCTCTTTCCTTTTCATTTCCCTTTCCCTTCCCTTATTCTCTATATTATTTTTCTTTTGTTGTACAAGGTTTTTTTATATGTCCTAATTACCATACATTTTCTCCTTCTAGTAAATCCTGTTTTTGATCTTTTTAGCCATTTTGTACTCAGAATTCATCTTTTTGATAAATATTTAACCAATACCTCCATTGCTTTTGATCTTTTTTGTTCCTGTTTATTTGGTAAGATATTCCTTTCTCCATTTCCAATTGTGTAATTGTTTGATTCTTAAAGGGACACTATAGTCACCTGAACAACTTTAGCTTAATGAAGCAGTTTTGGTGTATAGAACATGCCCCTGCAGCCTCACTGCTCAATCCTCTGCCATTTAGGAGTTAAATCCCTTTGTTTATGAACCCTAGTCACACCTCCCTGCATGTGACTTGCACAGCCTTCCATAAACACTTCCTGTAAAGAGAGCCCTATTTAGGCTTTCTTTATTGCAAGTTCTGTTTAATTAAGATTTTCTTATCCCCTGCTATGTTAATAGCTTGCTAGACCCTGCAAGAGCCTCCTGTATGTGATTAAAGTTCAATTTAGAGATTGAGTTACAATTATTTAAGGTAAATTACATCTGTTTGAAAGTGAAACCAGTTTTTTTTTTCATGCAGGCTCTGTTAATCATAGCCAGGGGAGGTGTGGCTAGGGCTGCATAAACAGAAACAAAGTGATTTAACTCCTAAATGACAGTGAATTGAGCAGTGAAATTGCAGGGGAATGATCTATTCACTAAAACTGCTTTATTTAGCTAAAGTAATTTAGGTGACTATAGTGTCCCTTTAATTTCTTGCCAAGTTGGAATTTTTTGGGATATCCAATTTCTTCCAATTGAAGGTTTTACAGCAGTTAAATTATGTAATATCTTTTTTCATGATTATTTTGTTTCTGAAAGAATAAATGTAATAAACTTTAGAATCCGAAATCCGAAATTTTTAATTAATCTTTGAGAGATATCAAACCATACTGTTTGAATCTTTTTACATGACCCCCAAACATGCATATAATCAGCATACTGATCCCTACATCTCCAGCAATCATGAAGAGCATTTGGATATATATATATTTGTAGTCTGGGCAATATAGCCGTATACAGAAATCTAGCATATAATAACCATAACATTATTGAGTTGGAACCAGTCGGTTGTGGTGTGCCGGAACCGACAAAGCAGTAGGCTTGTAATAAAAGTGGGTAAAAGAAGATACCATAAGACGTAATACGGTTAACCACCTTTATTTATTTAGATAAGTCACAGAAAGCTTGTCTTAATTCTTTAACAGGATTAGGTATGTAGAGTGTGTAGGCTGAGGATTTCCAGTGACCCATTGCCTTAATAATGTGAGTGGGTACGTGATTAGCAGATGCTGTAGATGCTGCCCCAATTCAGAAAGAGTGACCTGAGAAATGATTGGGGTTTAGGCCGAGCCTAGTCAACAGTAGTCGTACATAAAGCATAAATTTTGTTGTAGTCAGAATGTTTCCATGCAGTTCGAGCAAAGGTTGTAGAGGTTGTTTGTGGTGTGAAAGAAAATAAGCGTCAAAACTTGTACTGGGCACCATTTATTATGAGTAGGATACAAGGGGATTTCAATAGTATGACATACGGTGCTGGTTTTTGATTGTTTTAAAAATAGTAAGTAATGGTCGTTATGTTTTTGCAAGTCCATAGTTCTTAGGTAGTCGGAGGTTGTAATGGTCCTTGTCGTGAATTCGTTGGGACGGAGGAACCCATAAAAAGCTAAATATATAGCTGTCTTTATTACGGTATTAGTTATGGGTTTGAAAGGATTAGTGAATGGAATATGTTGTTGTCTATGGGTAGTCTTTGTGAGGGGATGTGTGCGTCCAAGTACTGTCTTAATTTGATATGAGGCCAGGAAACCTGTAGCGTTGGGTTCTTGGATAAGCATGTGGTGCTGAATGCCCGTAAGGTACCGTTTTATAGTGTTGAATGATAATTTAAGGTTGATGTGGCAAAAAGAAGTGAAACCAAATATCGATTTTAACGTGAACATGTCGTGGATTTTGGAATTCAGTGATGAATTTCTTGAATACGTGAAAAGCCCTGTCCTATGTGTTCCTAGTGTTTATTGAAAGTGCGAGGTGAGAAATGTGACGTGTGTGATCTAACAAAGCCTCTAATCCATTTTCATGTCTCGGAAAAGTGGGGCAGGAGTTGCCAGTCTGGAAGCGGAGGGTAGTGTTGTGAAGAAATCCTGAAAACGAAATCGAGACAAGTGATCAGCACCGAAGTAACGAACAGGCTGTGCAGACGCCAGTGACGGGTAGGAGAGCCAGGGAAGCAACGGACCAGGAGACCACGAGGAAGACAGGTAAAAAAATCCAAAATGGCGATCTGAACCGGAAGTAAACGTTTCAGACTCGCCAGAACAGCAACGGTAAGGTGGGAGTGGATTGGCAGCCCTTTTAAAGGGAATTCAAGCCCCTCCCACAATTACAGGACAAGCCTTAAAATATATGGAACAAACTTTAACCTATTGAGGATCAGAGATGTTTTGGGATTCATTTTTTCCTGCAGTATATGCGTTCTATACAATGCAGAGTAGCATTTTACATGCATACCACTGAGTGACATGCAGAAGTGATGTGTCCATGAAAACATGATGAAACTGACAAACGTACATGGACGTAAAATTAAACTAAAATTTAGAAAAGCATTTTGGCCATTTTTTTTATGTTCTTGGAGTCTTGTGCATACTTCAACTGATACTTCCCAGCTCCATATACCTGCCTGTCCTAATTCAGAATATGCAGCTTGTAGTTTCACTTGCATACTGCTGTGTCTTTCTTCTTTAGGTTCCTATGATATCTAAAATTTCAAGGAAAATCTGGCATATTACAAGCCTTTTAGACTACACTGCAGGAAAGAGGTTTATGAGATATAATCCAACACCTCTGAATTGAATGAGAGCTTCCTGAGTGATGGAGCCACTGCCTGGTCTGACTAGTGATCTACTAGTGACTAGACGGGTTCTTAATGCACGGGACTGTCCTGTCTTGAGTAGCGAAGTGTGACGTAGGAGACATAACATGGTCGGACCACGCGCTGGTTACGCTGGAACTTAAAGACCAATATGACTTTAAGCACCAAAGCCCCTCGAGAATACAATCCACAATGTTACATGACACAACTTTTACACAAGACTTGAGGAGCTCACTCCAACACTACTTTACAGAGAATGACACACTGGGTTTCTCCACCAGCACAATATGGGTTGCGCACAAAGCTATAGCTAGAGGAATTCTTATAAGCAAAGCAACGTACCTGCGCAAACAGGCACAACAATAATTTCAAAAGTGGCAGAAGGAACTATACCACCTGAATGCCCAAAACCAGATCAACCCATCACAAGACTTAAAATCTAAAATTGTAACTAGGAGTCTGCATCAGCATGCCTTAGATAAAACAGGGCACTACCTACTAAGCTACCTACACCTACACCCAGGGAAACAAAGCTGGCACAGTATTCGCGCATAGCCTCAAGGCAAAACAAGTACAACAAAAAATTGCGTATCTTGTATCAAACACTGGGGGAAAAATCATGATTCCCAAAGAGATTAGTGACGAGTTTGCTAGTTATTACGCCAACCCCTACAACCTAAAAGAAGACCCAAACACGCATCAACCGCTCACAGACACCATTGACGCTTATCTGGACACGGTAGACCTTCCTAAACTAACATCGCAACACTCACCAATGAAATCACAGCGGATGAGGTCGAAGTTGCAATAAAGACCCTCACTCTAGGCAAATTGGCCGGGCCAGACGGATTTGACAACCTGTATGACAAGACCTTTACCAATACCCTGACTCCACATCTCGTAAAAACCTTTAGAGATGCAATTGCGAACCAGACACTACACAAAGACATGCTTGTGGCACCTTACATAAGTCAGACAAACCCCCTACCCACCCCCAAAATTTTAGACCCATATCATTGCTGAACACCAATGCCAAAATCTTTGCACAAATACTGGCCATCAGACTAGGGGCCCTCCTGCCTCACATAATCCATACTGGTCAGGTGGGCTTCGTGGCTGGGAGTCAAGGACCAGAAAATACATGCAAAATTCTAGACATAATGTATAGCCTTAACCAGCTCAAGATAGGGGGAGGACTCCATGTATCCAGGGCCGTCTTTAATAACGAATGGACCCTGGGCAAGTGTTTGCTTGGGCCCCCTGGGCCCTGCCGCTCTCGCCCCTCACTCCCTGGTATGCAATCACGGCATCCATCCCAACGCAGTGGCGGTACTAAAGTAGAATGAATTTTATTGGGACCCCAATTGCAAGGTTGGACTAAAGGTAGAACCCCATCTGTCGTGCAACTCCAACAATGCTTTGACAGCTGGGACTCTACCAATTTCCCATGCTTGCAGGGTTGTATTTAACACTGAGCCATGTTAGTATGTTTGAATGTAAGCATGTGTTTGTATGGAGTATGTTTGTGTGAATGTGTTTGTATGTGGTACTGGAGTTTGAATGCAAGTGTGCATTTATGTGTAGTGTTTGTTTTTGAATGTAGGAGTGTGCTTGTATGTAGTGTTGACATTTCAATGCAGGAGTGTGTTTTATATGTAGTGTTGAAGTTTGAATGGAGGGGTGTATTTGTATTTAAAGTTGCGGCTCAGATGCACAGGTACACACTCTGACGCACAAGCAGATACACAGATACATACACTGACTACATACAGATAAACGGGCACATACACTGACAGCCACACTGACACAGGTACATATATTGACACACACACAGACACATACACTGGTAGACGTACTGACAGACATACTGACACAGGCACATATACAGACATACTGACACACAGACACATATACCGACATACTGACACACAGACACATATACCGACATACTGACACACACACAGACACATACACTGATCAACATACTGACACACATACACTGACAGAAATACTGACACCCACACACTGACAGATATACTGACACCCACATACACTGAAAAATACTGACACACACACACAGGCACATACACTGACACACACAGACTGATATACTGACACACACACACACAGACATACTGGCACACAGACAGATATACTGACACATGCATACACATGCACTAACAGACATACTGGCGCACTGACAGACATACTGACACACACATACTGACACACACAGATATACACACACACATATATACTGACACACAGACAGACAGACATACTGACACACACAGACATACTGACACACACACAGACAGGCATACTGACATGCACAGACAGACTGACACACACACACAGACATACTGAAACACACACACACAGATATACTGAAACACACACACACAGATATACTGACACACAGACAGACAGACATACTGACAAAAACACACACAGACATACTGACACACAGACAGACATACTGACACACAGACACTAACACACAAACACACACACTAACACACATACACTAACACACACTAACACACAAACACACACTAACACACACTAACACACAAACACACACTAACACACACATACACTAACACACAAACACATAAACACACATTTTTTTTTTTTAAATGTAATCCCCCCAGCCTCCTTACCTTTTGGAGTGCTGGGGGGATTCCCTGGGGTCCAGTGGTGCTGCTGACCCCGGCGGGCGGGTGGCCGGTCGGGCAGGAAGGCGGGCGCGCGAGGGAGCACTCAGTGCTTCCTCTTCAGCTCCCTCGCGCGCCGCGTAGGGATGCCGGCGCCGGAAGATGACGTAATCTTCCGGCTCCGGTATCAGTGCGGTGCGCGAGGGAGCTGAAGAGGAAGCACTGAGTGCTCCCTCGCGCGCCCGCCTTCCTGCCCGACCGGCCACCCGCCCGCCGGCGTCAGCAGGGCCAGCCTCGGGGGGCCCTGGGGTGGCCGCCTCCTGGGCCCCCCAGGGGAAGACGCTGGCCCTGTGGGTGCATACCAGGGTCGCAGCCGCGACCCTGGTATGTACGCCACTGCCCTAAGTGCATGGGCCACCCGGTGGGACGGGAAAAAAATAAATTGATGAGGGCAGCGGGGCCCACGGGGCAGGTGCCTCGGGCCCCCCAAGAGAAACTGGGCCCGGGGCAGCTGCCCCGTTTGCCCCGCGTTAAAGACGGCCCTGCATGTATCCCTGCTTGCTGAGAAAGCATTTGACCGCCTGCATTGGAAATTCCTGGGGTCGTTTATGCGCAGATTCGGAGTCCCGGGTATGTTTCTCTCAGCAGTGTAAGCACTATATAGCTCACCGACAGCCCAACTACTGAACGCCGGGTTTCTCTCAGAACCACTCCAAATAACTAATGGGACGAGGCAGGGATGTCCGCTCTCACCACTGTTGTACGTAATGGCATTAGACCCATTGGCACACCGCATTAGACATAACTAATCCATACGGGATATCTGAATTGGAGGCACAGAATATAAAGCCAACCTTTTTGCCAATGACGAATTGCTAACCTAACACAACCCCAAATATCCCTCCCAAATCTAAACGAAATTGTAGTTTATGGAGAAAATTCATATTATAAACTAAATGTGCTAAAAACCCAGGCCATGGGGGTGGGAATGAAAGCGGACACCCTACAAGCCCTAAAGGAAACCTTTCGCCTTGCACTGGAGGAATGACCACGTCACCTTCCTGGGAATAAAAAACACAAAAAATTTAAATAATCTATACCAATCTAATTATGAAGCATTAAAAACAGAGCTGACTAACACGCTACGAAGTTGGGAAGGCAAATACTTGACATGGAGAGGCAGAATCGCAGCAGTGAAAATGTCTCTTTTACCAAACTCCAATACTCTTCAGAACTTTATAAATTAAATTACCTATGACCTTCCTAGACAATGTCCAGAGGCAGATAGTACAATTTATCTGGGCCAAAAAGAAAATTAGAGTAGCAACCAAAATTTTACAAAGCCCGGTTGACGAAGGAGGGCTGGGATTACCCAACGTTAGACTATATTACAGGGCGGCTACAGTGTCATCTATTCTGATATCCCATGACGAGCAGCGACCACTGCAATGGATGGAGATAGAGTCTCACTGGACACGACAAACAGAACTGAAATATCTGTTCTGGATACCCAAGCAGCAAAGACCAAAGCTGGAATCAATACTACCAACCACAGACTTTTTGCTTAAAACCTGGGACTCTGTTCGACACTTGATGTGCTCTAGCGCACCCTGGTCACCTGCAACGCCTATTTATAGTGTACAGGTAGTGCATCCAAAATTTGTCCACCGTTTGTGGGGTAAGGGAGGATGTAATCATATTCAACAATTGTACTCTAAGGGGTCATTGTTACAACTGCCAGATTTAGTAACTAGGTTTAATCTCCCACAAAGAGCAATCTTTTCTTATCTACAAATTAAATCGATATTACACGACCAAACACAGATTAACGACCCACCAGATACCATAACTCCCTTAGAAAAAAATATATCTGGACCACGACACTCCAAAGAAGGCGATGTCCCCCTGCTATAAATCACTACTTAACCGCACCACAACCACACCATACGTACATCAACAGGCCTGGCAGGTGGATCTCCACTGTATTATTGCCGAAAGTCAATGGAGACAATCCTTTACAGCCCATAGAGGAAGGACAGCATGTGCCATACACTTAGAACAAATCAGGAAAAGAGGCTACAGATGGTACATGGTGCCTGAGATGCAGCACAGCCAGGGGTATAATCGCACCACATTTGGTGGACGTGCACGCACCTCCGACCATACTGGAATAAAATGAAGGAACTGATCGCAGACCTAGTACAAACAGACTTTACCCTTAAACCCAAACTTGGGCTTCTATTTATGGGACTAAAAGATTTCCAGAATGATGACTCCATGTTAGTGTTCCATATCCTGATAGCGAGGAGGAAAAAAAAAATGCACCTGAGCCACAGATACCCTCTCCGCAGTGGAAAGGCACGATATAACTCTCTAGCTATATACATTTTTGCTGATACTCGCAGGTCTCGCGGACTTATGCTTTGCAATACTCCCACGTTGTGTATATATAGTGTATATAGTTAAAGTTAGCCCTGTGCTGGGGGGAAGAGGGCGAAACAACCAACCATAGATAGAAAGGTTAATACCCACAACCAGACAGAGTTGTATACATCCATGACTACCAGCGGTGATACTTAGCCATACACTGTAAGATACCTACCCGAATGGTCATACCTACTGCCCAGCCATGTTCCCGGCGAGGCGGGCCGCACGGGTGGAGGCCAGGGACGGCGACACCATGACCCACTCAAAGGCTAGCTAGAGAAAGCAAGCAAAATGTAGAGGCACTCCGCCCCTCCCCCCCACCTTTCACCCTTACCTCCTTACTAACTAGAGATTAACATAAAAGATAACTGCAGGGGGGGGGGGGGAATGATCGAACATAGGCTGGCCCATGACAAACACCAAGGCTTTGGGGAAAAGCTGGGATCCACCGACTTTTACGATTAATAACCAACAGGGTTTCACGATCAAGGTATGACCCTATTCTCTGAATGTATACCTTATCTGTTTTCTAAATGTGTCACATACGCTGTACTCAATCCAATGCTAACACTGGCGAGTATAATACCGGGTGAAAATATGTATATAATGGATGACTCTTTCCCCCTAGTAAAAAACCCTTTTCCCTTTCTGAACCCTTATGTTTTGACCTTGATGAAAAATAAAATAAAAATTGTCGAATTTAAAAAAAAGTTGTTACAAAACAGGCAGCTATTTTAATAATTAAGGAGCCAGGAACTGTGAGCAGAATATTAGACAGCCGCACCTCTCCCAATATTAGACTGTATAAATATTCAGTTAGCTTCAGGTGAAATTAACTTGGCAAATAACAAATAGCACATTGCAATCATAAATTACACAACGTCGTCCTGCAGGAGGAACTTTTTCGTATTAGATTTCAAATAAAGTAGAACACGTGCATAAACATCGCAAAGAGGTTTCTAATTAAAGCAGATCTGTCAATTCTCCAGCAAATACTATTGTAGACCTTAGTGGAGAAATGAGTAAAGTGAAGTAAACGCACTTACCTCTGCAGCTCCTCTTTGTCTAGGATGATGCCACCACCCTATGATGCTCCGCACGCGCTTCGACATGTGCAAGAAATGCCATACATATGATATAGCTTTCGCGCATGCTTAGAACACTAGGAATCGTACTTGATATTAGTCGTGAAATGTAAATATGACTGGCACATTTGGACTAGACAGATGATCTCATCTCTGGCTGCCAACTGAGAATATTGGTACACAGTGTAACTTGCAATAGGTGACCAGTGATAGCCCGGGAGTGTCAGCCAAAGTAAAACTTCCCTGTACTGTACGTTGCCTGGAGTAGAACCAAGGAAAAGTTCTGATGCGTACCAGGGGGACAAATTCTGTGTTAAAACTATTTAACCGTAAGGTCAGACAGTGCCCAGACACTCTTGTAACCATAACTATTTCATTGAGATGAAGTTGTTATATGATGAGTGTTTCTCTAATCTAAAATATTAAAGTTCCCTCGACCTGTTACATTAAGACTGTGTGTGGATAATGAGTGTCAAAACACTGAGCTCATACCTATATATCAGCAGACTGCTAGTTTGTTCTGCATTTTGTATTGTGTGGTCATGCGATTTCTGGGATATCCTGTACCGCTGAACAGTTTATGCACTACAATACTTGTTTAGATTATAAACTATTCTAATGCGTAGGGGAAATGCTTCACTTGTTGAACAAGTGACAGATATCTTTAGGGACACAATAGACAGAAATTGACCCACTTATTTAATGCGTTACTTAAATAATGTATTAAAAATTTCTTTACATTCCAATTTCTAAATGACTGATTTTATAATCCTTTGTGGCATTCTCTGTATCAAAACATATGCTGTGATACAAAGTTTTACAGTGTTAAACTTACCCTTTCATTTTAAAAAGACATTTCATTAATCCCGGGTTTCCCAATTACATTTTACTGTGGAACCCTTTGACATAGTGTATCAAAATCGTGGAACTCTCCCCCCGGAAATAAATTGCACTGTAGCACAAACCATTTCATTAACAGTGCACAATGTTTTCTTTTTTTTGCATAGTTTGTTTTTTAGTATATATACTCTAATTTCTACAGACAGTAAACAGATTGTAGTACTCAGGTGTGCTTCTGTGTGTAGAGTTGGTGTTTGCATAAAATACTAGCATTTTAATACAGGGCTTTGTATGTAATGTTTGCATTTGCATGCAGTGGTGTGTTTGCATGTAGTGAAGGATTTGAAATGCGGATGTACATTCGTGTGTAGTTTTGATGTGCGAGTGAAGGGTGTGTTTGAGTGTTTGTATATCATTTTGGAGTTGGAGTTCAGGGGTGTGTTTGTATGTCATATTTGTGTTTGCAGTGGGGTTTTTGCCCCCACCCCCCAAAAAAAGTTATAAATGTATTTGCACGTCAATGAGTGAAATAAGTATTTGACCCCTTCAACTTAGTATTTGGTGGTGGCAAAACACTTGTTGGCAATCACAGAGGTCAGATGTTTCTTGTAGTTGGCCACCAGGTTTGCACACATCTCAGGAGGGATTTTGTCCCACTCCTCTTTGCAGATCCTCTCAAAGTCATTAAGGTTTCGAGGCTGGCATTTGGCAACTCGAAACTTTGAGCTCCCTCCACAGATTTTCTATGGGATTAAGGCCTGGAGACTGGCTAGGCCACTCCAGCACCTTAATGTGCTTCTTCTTGAGCCACTCCTTTGTTGCCTTGGCTGTGTGTTTTGGGTCATTGTCATGCTGGAATACCCATTCACGACCCATTTTCAATGCCCTGGATGATGCAAGAAGGTTCTCACCCATGATTTGAAGGTATATGGCCCCGTCCATCATCCCTTTGCGGTGTAGTTGTCCTGTCCCCTTAGCAGAAAAACACCCCCAAAGCATAATGTGTCCACCTCCATTTTTGACGGTGAGGATGGTGTAGGCAGCATTCCTCCTCCTCCAAACATGGCGAGTTGAATTGATGCCAAAGAGCTCGATTTTGGTCTCATCTGACCACAACACTTTCACCCAGTTCTCTGCTGAATCATTCAGATGTTCATTGGCAAACTTCAGACGGGCCTGTACAAGGCCGGACTGGGAAGAAAATTCGGCCCAGGCATTTTTTAATTAAAGCGGCACACTAAAAAGGGGTCGGGGCCAGATAGGGTGTATTTTGTCATCACCAATGACAAGCACGCCCCATCACAAAGTGAGCATGTTGGTTCAATGCTCTTCCAGGGTAGACCATGCACAGAGCTCTGTTGAAAAGCTCTAGCATGAGAAAAAGACCCTGTATTTGTTCTGCACAGCGCAAGCAAATTTAATAACATGCTTGCACTGTGTTTGCTTGAAATTTGTCTCTGGTGTCTCCATAGTAGGGATACCAGGAGACCAAGAGACAAAAATGCTAGAAAAGCATATTGTGCTGTGTGTGTGTGTAAGGGGTGTAGTGTGTATGTGAGATGGGTGCAGTGTGTGTGTGCTGTGTGTGAGTGATGGGTGCTGTGTTTGCGTGAGGGTGCAATGTGGGTAAGGGTGCTGTGTGTGATGGGTGCAGTGTGTGCTGTGTGTGCGTGAGGGTGCTATGTGCATTTGAGGAAGCTGTTAGTGTCAGGGGTGCAGTGTGTGTGTGTGAGGAAGCTGTGAGTGTCAGGGGTGCAGTGTGTGTGAGGGTGCTGTGAGTGTCAGGGGTGCAGTGTATGTGAGTGAGGGTGCTGTGAGTGTCAAGGGTGCAGTGTGTTTGTGTGTGTGTGTATGTGTGTGCTAGTGAGGGTGCTGTGATTGTCAGGGTACAGTGTGTGTGTGAGAGTGAGTGAGCTGTGAGTTTGAGGGGTGCAGTGTGTGTGTGAGTGTGTGTGCTGTGAGTGTCAGGGGTGCAGTCTGTGTGTGGGTGCTGTGAGTGTCGAGGTTCAGTGTGTGTGAGTGAGGGTGCTTTGAGTGTCAGGGGGGCAGTGTGTGTGTGTGAGTGAGGATGTTGTGAGTGTTAGGGGTGCAGTGTGTGTGTGTGTGTGATTGAGGGTGCTGTGAGTGTCAGGGGTGCAGTGTGTGTGTGTGTGATTGAGGGTGCTGTTAGTGTCAGGGGTGCAGTGTGTGTGTGTGTGTGAGTGACGGTGCTGTGAGTGAGTAAGTGAGGCTGCTTTTACTTGAGTGATTATATCTCCCCTCCCTTCTTACCTTATGCCTGGGAGGGGGGATCCTGCTGCTGCTGCCATCCATCTCTGGTGGTCCTAGTGGTGAGTGAACTCTAGCCTGTGGGGCTAGAGTTCACTCTCGCGAGACCCGGAGCGTTGCCATGTCAACGCTCCGAATCTCGTGAGAGGAACCCGGCGGAGCTGTAACTTAGAGCTCCTCCGGGTTCCTCTCCTGGCTGTCTCCCTCACTCTCTCCCAGTCGACGCCTGCAATATACTGCATGTGGGCCGGTGAGGGAGAACTTTGATCTCCCCACCGGCCCGCTGTGGACTACTGCAGGGCTGGCACTCTGATAGTGCTGGCCCTGCATAGACCAGCAGGGGAGATCCTGTGATCTCTCTGCTGGCCTCGGCCCATGGCCACCGTGGCCCACCGGGCATTTTCCCGGTGTGCCCGATGGCCAGTCCGTGCCTGGGCCTGTACATGTGCTTTCTTGAGCAGGGGGACCTTGCGAGTGCTGCAGGATTTCAGTCCTTCACGGCGTAGTGTGTTACCAATTGTTTTCTTGGTGACTATGGTCCCAGCTGCCTTGAGATCATTAACAAGATCCTCCTGTGTAGTTCTGGGTTGATTCCTCACCGTTTTCATGATCATTGAAACTTCACGAGGTGAAATCTTGCATGAAGCACCAGACCGATTGACACTGACAGTTATTTTGTGTTTCTTCCATTTGCGAATAATCGCACCAACTGTTGTCACTTTCTCACCAAGCTGCTTGGCGATGGTGTTGTGGCCCATTCCAGCCTTGTGTAGGTCTACAATCTTGTCCCTGACATAATTGGACAGCTCTTGGCCATAGTGGAGAGTTTGGAATCTGATTGATTGATTGCTTCTGTGGACAGGTGTCTTTTATACAGGTAACGAGCTGAGATCAGGAGCACTCCCTTTAAGAAAGTGCTCCTAATCTCAGCTCGTTACCTGTATAAAAGACACCTGGGAGCCAGAAAGCTTTCTGATTGATAGGGGATCAAATACTTATTTCACTCATTAACATGCAAATCAATTTATACCTTTTCTGACATGTGTTTTTTTCTGGATTTGTTTTGTTATTCTGTCTCTCACTGTTAAAATACACCTACCATTAAAATTATAGACTGATCATTTCTTTGTCAATGGGCAAATGTTCAAAATCAGCAAGGGATCAAATACTTTTCCCCCCCTCACTGTACATACTTACACAGATATACATACACATTAACAAACAGAAACACACTGACACATACACACACTTGCACATACACACACTCAGAAACACAGACTGATAGGTGCACATACAGATACATACACTGGCACATGTTCACACACTGAAACACTGGCACATACACACTGGCAGATACACACACTGGCACACAGATACACACACTGGCACATACATACACACAAATACACATACTGGCACATACATATACAGATACACACACAGACACTTGAATACACACACAGTTACACACAGGAACATAAAAACACACTCGGACACACACATACAGATACACACACTGACATAGATACATACAGTCATTTACACAGAAACATACACTGGCAGACACCGATACACAGGCCTTGACGCAGAGATACACGCACTGGCACAAAGATACACACACTGGCACATACATTGACACACAGATACACACACACACACGCACACACACCTTCACTCAGATACACCACACACTGTTCATAATGTTTATATTTTGAAGCCTCTTGGCTTTTTTTCAGCAGGAGGGTGACTTCAAATGCTGCTAGCTGCTAGTGTGTGGTGGTGAGTTTGCAGCAGCTCCACCAGCTCTCTCTATTTCTAAGAAGAGGTTACAGGCTGTCCCTTCCTCCCAGCAGCCAATACTACAGGAGTCGCGGTCATAAAGGCCCGCGACACTAGACCGGGCCCCTGTCCAGCGATACCGATCGTATGGCCCTAAGTGCTTGTGCATATATGTTGAGGGGTGGACTAAAGGTGCAGTGTCATTTATGAAATATCGTGCTGGCATCAGGCTAAGGAAGTGGGTGCATATGATATCATGTTAGGTGTGAGCTTGTGTGCTCTATATAATTAGTGGGTGGATTAGAGGGGTATGCATCAATGCTGCTAGCCTCTGACCGAGGAGGGGCATGGGGGGGAGGCGGGGGGAAGGTGGTACGCCATATGGTGTCAGCTATGTGTGTGCCAGCCTAATCAGCCCTCGCATTTGCAGGCCTCGTGCCTGTGAGGGCACTGTGAGGTATTTGTGGGATCTTTTTGATGGCTTCCTGACAACTCGATAAAGCCATATGAAGGCCAAGCTTTTTTCCAGCCAGCTCAGAGGAGTTAGATCCCACCCATGTTATTTGAAAGAAGCAGTAGCAAAAACGATGGTAGGGACCTAAATAGGAGGCTATTCACTAATGTGAGTATTCAATGTGTATTCCCAGTTCATTTTTTTAATTTTAGGCCTCGATAGCCACACTTGAAATATAGGTGACCGAGAGAATGTGACTAATTTGGCAATTTTTCATTAAATTTAAAATTCACTTTGAATTCTCACTTTAACGAATAACTCTGTCAATGTGAGAGCATTTTTTTAATAAATCAGATTATAACGTACATTCCTGACCTTTTTAGAAAACACATACAGCAGATAGGAAGGGCGCCTTACTCCGGTCGTGAATTATCACGTTGCCAGTAGCAGAAGATGGGGTTTTATCCGGTTGATGGCATCCAATTGAATGGATTTAGGCAATAATAGAGTATTAAATCTTCTGCAAAGCAAATGATGCATTTCGGGTAAGCTTACGAGATGCGCCTTATGTTAATCTGACGGTGTCTCCTCTGGTCTTCCTAGGTAGGGGATCGAGAAACTAAAGGTCTCTAAGACCTTGTAGACCTTTGGTGTAGTCTGCTCCTGTGCCACTATTCATATTTATTTATTTATAAAACCTTTTACCAGGAAGGATACATTGAGATTTCTCTCGTTTTCAAGTATGTCCTGGGTCCACAAAACATTGCATTGTTACAATAGGGTACGATAAAATAAAATACAAAATATTAATACACAATATATAAAAAATTTAACATAAAACAGGTAGGAAATATATAATCAACCAGGACAGGTGCATTCTGTTTTGAGATATGTAGAGAGGGATCTCTTAAACGATTTTAGGTCTGGGGAAGATTTTAAAGTGTGCAGGAGGTCGTTCCATAATTGCGGTGCTCTGTCATAAAAGGAGGATCGAGACGCTTTCTTTTTGTATTGAGGTAGACTAAATAAAGTGTTGGTACTGGATCAGAGGTTATAGGAGGTAGGAACAGCCGGGGAGAGCATTCTGCTCAGGTAGGGTGGGAGTTTCCCAGAAAAGCTCTTAAACACAAGGTTGGAAAGATGAAGGGTGCGTCTCGATTCCAGCAACAGCCAGTTTAGTTCTTTTAGCATGTCACAATGGTGGGTCCTGTAATTACATCGTAGCACAAATCGGCAGAACGAGTTATATAATGTATTGTTTATTAAAGGTGGGTTTGCGGTGCAGGTGCATATACTACATCCCCATAATCAATGATTGGCATCAGCATTTGCAGTACAATCTTTTCCTTTACTGTAGGGCTTAGGCAGGATTTGTTTCTGTACAGGGCACCTAGTTTTGGATAAAGTTTAGATGCAAGTTTTTCTATGTGGAGGCAAAAAGATACACAAACCGGACTTTACATAGGACACGAGGCCATGCGTTTAGACTGGAAGAAAGAAGATTTCATCTAAGGCAAAGGAGGGTAGACGATGGAATGTATACTATACACAGTCCCTAGTGCCCAGGGATAGGGTATCAACTGTTGGCCAGCTGCTGGTTTCTCACTGTTTTGTGAATATGCCCCTACCTGTGGCATGGTGGATAGGGGCATAATAGATGAACTTATACTTCCTATAGTTATTTGTAGTTATGTTGACCCCCATATGCATTATTTTTTATTTACTTACTTTTTATAGTGACTGTTGGCTAGAGTGGACAGGACAGCTGCCACACACTTGAACCTAATGCTGCTGAGGGTTTGTTTAACCCCTTAAGGACCAAACTTCTGGAATAAAATGGAATCATGACATGTCACACATGTCATGTGTCCTTAAGGGGTAAAAGGAACACTATAGTCCCTGTCCCTATCCCCTTAAAACATTGCGATTTTTTTCGATACTCGTCTAGTGGTGTTTCCGCTGCACTGACCGAGTAAAACTTGGTCACGTGATGCGGATGCCCCATCGGAAAGCTTCCCTATGTCAATTAATTAATGCACGGCACTTGCAGCACATGTGCATTAGGTCCTCAATACTCCTTTATAACGAGCTTTAAGTTGGACTACATTGGAGGAGGCCCTCTTTCTTCGATGACACTGACTGGGGAGGAGTGGTGAGCAGGGCTGAGGAAGCCTTGGTGTTGGAAAAAGGTAAGTAAAATTTCATTTTTTCCCCCAATGTGTACGCCAAACTGGTTCTATTTAGAAATAAACTAAAATGTGAACTGAATATAAAAATGTCAAATTTAGGCCAAAACATTAATAAACTCAGCTATTGTCACCGCTTGACTATTTCAGCTTTATTTTGCGATTCAATTTTCAGATCACTACAATGCAGTGTTTAGTACATAAACCCTATTGTAACTCGTAGAAAGAGTACACTGCCTATGTTAGGCACTGTGTTGACTATAAGTTTGTACGTCAGACTTTCAAAACCAACTGTACTGATTGATTTCTGTTAAATTCAGGCCTTGTATAATTATTGTCTAGTTACTCAGCACAAATAACTCATCAGCAATAGATATACTGAGTAAAGTGATTAACAAAACCACTTAGTTTATTGACAAAACAATGAAATGTTGTAACCTGAAAATTGGATGTGCAAAACTTACATCAAAATTATCAACATTTCTCTAAGCTTTTGTCCGTTCTTAGACGCTCTCTCCAAGTTAAAAAGGTAATCCAGACACGGACCTTGTGCTCACCGTGCTTCGAGGCGTATCAGCTACACCTCGCTGACGAGGCCCAAAGAGGGCCGAAACGATTGTCTGGGTTTGCTGAATCTCTTGTGCAGAGAGAGAACTTTTGGTTCAGGACTGCTCTTACTGTGATCAGTCTGATATGCTTGAGAATATTCTCTCTCTGTAATGACACAAGTGAGCACAAACTATTGTGACTTCCGAGCGAGGATTTACCGAAGGGAAAGCTACTGATTTTTTTTCAGTTTTTGTCCATTCTCAGAGTTTTCATATTCTTTGTTTTTGTTGTAAAATTACCAACATAACCGACTTTGTAAATTAAAAAAAAAAATTCTACCAGATCCATCAGATTTTCCTGGACACATCATGCTGATGGACATATTTAGGAAATATTTATGCCCCAGAAAGGAAATCTGTTCTCTAATCAAGGGGCATCTGTAAGGAACAACTGTGTTGTTTAGTGCACTGATTTCCCTGTGGCAGCGTAAGAATTCTACATACTATATGGCATTCATGTTCTTCCTGCCATCACCTGAAGGGCACAGTTAAAAGGTGAAAGTGGATTTTTTTTATTACAGTGTCATTTTATGACAAATAACCCTGCAGGATAGTCTGGTATAAAGGCTTCTACATTAATCTTCAACCATAAATAATTTTCCTTATCACTTTCTATACAACAGCAAGCTGTCAACAACAGATTAAAATATGACATAAAAGAGTTTAAATCCCTGCAATCATTGGTTCTGTGAATACTCTTTATTTCAAAGAAATGAAAACAAAACCAATCAACAGCTTCCCACATCCTGTCCCTTTAAACCAAGTCAGCTGATTTATGCAAGAAAACAAGTAGACTACGCCTAGACTCCTGGTGCAGCCTAACCTGCTGGATTGGACTCCATAACTCTGGCGTTATGTTGAGGGTAAGAGGCTGCAGCTTGCTCTATGCCTTATACAGAGAGCCCTGGCTAGCTGAGGGCTGAACATGGCTCAGCCATTCTTATGATAGCTGCAGGGTATGCAATAGCCACTAGTATATAGCTTGTTTAATGACTCACAGCAAAGCAGCAGCAATGCATGCATTTCACATTCTATATTCTATGACCCCCTGTGGTATAATAACTAATTATACTGCATTGGGCAGAAAGGGAGGTTGTGTTCTAAATGGAACGTTGAACCATTAACTTCAGCAGCTGTGATACAATCATAACATTCTGTTTTAGGAAACTGCTGGAAACACTTTCATGTATAATAGGGCTACCGAATCCACCATGTTTTCTTGGCTTGTATAAATATATTACCTGCAGTATGCAGGATTCATGATCTGCAGTATGCAGGATTCATGACCTGCAGAATTCAATTGCTGCAGGACATTGATCATCTTTCTTTGCTGTGTGAAGATTGCCTCCTGAGAGAATTCAAAGTGGATTTCACATTTAAAGTGAGAGTAGCCGAGCTGGAAGCATATTGGGGAATATATATATTTATAAAAAAATATATATAAAAAAAAATATAAATTTTTTTTTTTTAAAGTTCAGTTATCTTCACCAAAATTTGACATTTACTTTGAATTCTTTCACTTTAGAGAATAATCCTATATGTGTTTAACGAAAGCACGAGCGGGCTAGCAGACCTTTAATTGTATTAATTATAAAGCGCCAACACATTCTGCAGCGCTGTACAATAGGTGGACAAAACAGACAAGCATTGTGTAACCAGACTAGTTGGAAGTACAGGAACAGAGGGTGTTGAGGGACCTGCTCAATTAAGTTTTACGTTCTGTGTTAATACATAGCAAGCAGCACAGGAGTGTCCATAGTAATAGCTATATAAATATACAGAATATTCTGTGTATAAATAACTGTATACTGGGGGGAGTTACTGGGACTTCCTGCTGCTTTATCTACAAGGGGATAAAATACTCATACTCCTAGTACAAATCATTAAAATTATCTCATGTTTGATTGAAATCTAATATACCCCAGATAATTAATTGTATTATTAAAATAAAAATCTTGGTGTTCTCATGGGTGTATGTCTTTTATTAGGCACAGTGATGGCAGAATAACCCTTAAAAAAATCTCTATTTCCCCCAAACCTCTCAGCCTGGCTATATCTAGGACACTGCTACTCTGCCACTCACAATATGTCCGCCAGACCCTGACATGCCTCTCGCCAATCACTGTTCACTTCCTGGGCCGGCCTCGGCCAATCAGCAGCAAGCTCTTTGTTTGCTTTAAAAAGCAACCCCAGGCTGCGCCCAATGGGTGCGCTGGATGTGATGCGTGGGCGGGGCCTGTGGGTGCCTGGTTGAGTGGATGTGCAAGTTAGGTGGCCCCATGAAAGCCTGTGTGCTGCTGCAGGAGCTGTTTGCTGCACCCAGGAAGGGCTGCAGGCTGGGGAGAGAGAAGGAACAAGGCATGAAGATGGCAGTGCTGCTGTCACAGGCTGTGCCCAGCAGCACCTCTGGCAGCATGGAGACCCAGGTGAGTGCTTCTGCTCCTGGAAAATGGCTGAAATAGCTTACATTCCTCTACACCAGGGGATAGGCAACCTTCAGCACCCCAGGTGTCCTGGACTACATCTCCCATCATGCTGTTCCACCATTATGGGTGCAAGTCCATTATGGGAAATGTAGTCCACAAAAACTGGAGTGCTGAAGGTTGCCTACCTCTATTCTACACAATCACAACAAGCTGGGGAGGCTAGGCTTATGGACACCACTGCTTTGGTGGGGGGGTGGAGGCTAGGGTCTCCATATTGGGACCCTCTGTTCTACACAATCACAACAAGCTGGGGAGGCTAGGCTTATGGACACCACTGCTTTGGTGGGGGTGGAGGCTAGGTCTCCATATTGGGACCCTCTGTTCTACACACTCACAACAAGCTGGGGAGGCTAGGCTTATGGACACCTCTGCTAAGGAGGGGGGGGGGGTCTCCATATTGGGACCCTTTGTTTCATTGATTACAATTCTCCCAATCTACTTCCCTTATACTTCCCCTACCTTTTGTGTCACTTTACCCCACATCCTCTAGCATGTAAGCTCATTGACCAGAGCCCTCAACCCCTCTGTTTCTGTGTGTCAAACTTGTCTGGTTACAATTACATGTTTGTTAGTCCATTGTAAAGCACTATGGACTTTGTTGGCGCTATATAAATATTATAATAATAGTGTAACTCTTCAGATCCTTTGGAGGTGCAGTGCCTTGTTGAAATGTTTTTTTCTTTATTTACATTCTCTTCTCTGATCCAAAATTGTAATGTTTGTGGGGCTGTACATGTCCTTTGGCAGGCAGCCTGCATTGTTTTTGTGTAGAGCAACTTACACAACACAGAGTTACAAGTCTTGCAGGGGGTTGTAAGAACTGAAAACTAATTTTCCTGTCATGTTTATACATCATGTCACTTGGCCATAAACAATATTGTACATTTTAGCAAAAGGACATAACTTTTTTTTTAAATATTTTTAATTTTTTGCTGTTGAAATTTTCTGTTTTTACTTTTGTTTTACTGTTAACAATGTTGTTGGATTTATTTTGGTTTGTTTTCCAGTGTTATAAAGAATTGTTCTTCAGTAATACTATTTAGAAACTGTAAGTGTGTGTGTGTGTGTGTATTTTTCATAGTGCCGTATTTTTAAGGTGAAAAGCGTGATGTTCTGGGGTAAACCTGTCAGGATTATTCACGAGGTGGCTTTTAAATTTAAGGTCAAATCAGAAAAATTCTCTTGTCAGCTACGCTTTCAGTTCAAGAGCTGTGGGCTTAAATTTGAGGGGGAAAAAAAAAACCTTTGAATTCTCACTTTAGTGAATCAACGTTAAATTCTCACTTTAGCTGATAACCCTGTAAAAGTTGAGAGACCGGTATGTTGGTTTCCATGACAATTGCTCCTTATTTACTACTTTCCTCAAAATACCACCTGTTTTCTCTTGATAAATATGACCCACATTCTTCTGTCTGCATTTACTCAGGGTTTGTATAATTATTTGAAGGTCATGTGATTATCCTCTAATGTAAATAACTTGCATCATCCAGTACCAGTGTTTTTTTTTTATTTTATTTTTTAAAATATATAAACGTCTTGTTGATAGAACAAGGCGTATAAATTCAGTGTTCATGATCTATTTCTGTGTATTGCTTAGTAAATTTACAAAACATCTGTCAGGCCTGACCAGAAAAAGGGGGATACCCCTCATCTATTGAACTACATAACCCATGATGCTTTTGTTAGCCTAAGGCTGGCAAAATATAATCTCTGCTTTTAGTCAACTTTTATCTATGTACTTTATTTGTAAGTTCATATAATATGTAATGTATTTAATATTTTTTACTTTCTATCATGAATATCTGATTTAAGGTGTGTGTGTATATATATTTATATTATTTATTATTATTATTTTTATTTATTTTTTATTTATTTTTTACAAATCTATTTAATAACCTAAATGTGGTTTTGTTACTTTTTTAAAATAATTTTTTACTATAATTTGTCTTCATTCAAACAATATGTAATTTACTTTACACAAGCCTGTGTTCAGAGGATTGCAAACTGTAACCTGTAAGAATGTTTTCAGAAGCCATTGTGAATGATTTTAGTGATTTGTTGTCCTATGGTGATCCAGTTCTGTGGATTTAGTTTGTTTTATTCTAATGCTATGCAGACCGAAACGTTACAATTCTAAAATAGCAAAAATAAAAAAAAGTGCTTTCTAGTTTCTCTGAAAATGTTTGGCAAATGTCCAGTTAGAATTATCCACTGCCGAGCAGTTAGATGTCTATGACATTTTATTGTTAAACATGTTAAGGAGTAGCACAGGTTTCCATAAAAATGATGTGTAGGTTCGCTTAGTAACACAATTTAAATTTTGTTAGCATTTATCTATAACATTACAGTTCTGTTGGGGTGTCTAGGTTTATACAGGGTGAGAATTCAAAGTTATTTCTAATCTAAAGGACCACTATAGGAACCCAGACCACTTTAGTTCAATGAACTAGTTTTAACCCTGCAGCTGAAAACATAGCAGGTTCAGAGAAACTGCTATGTTTACATTGCAGGGTTAATCAAGCCTCTAGTGGCCGTCTCCCTGAGCGGCCACTAGAGGCTGCTTCCACGATTTTCAGTAAATCGCACTGAAATGACGCTGCACGTCCTCACGGAGTCCAGCGTCAAATAAGATCCCCTATAGGAAAGTATTGAGTAATGCTTTCCTATGGGCGTGTTTGAATGCGTGCACGCCTCTGGCCATGCATGCGCATTCAACTCCACTCGGGAGCTGATATCGGCAGGGGGAGGCGAGGTCACCAGTGCCGAGGGAGCCCGGCGCTGGATTAAGGAAAGTGGCTGAACGGGTTTGTTTTCCTGGCACTATTGGATCCTTTTAAGGCTGAAATAGCAGAACTGGAAAAATTCACTGTCAGCTATGCTCCAGTTTGGCTAATTTGGCCTGAAATTTGAAATTCTCTTTGAATTCACTTGGTATTTTTACTTTAGAAAATAGCCCCGTTAGAGTTACTTGTCAGGAATTCAAAGTGAATTTAACATTTTTATAGACCAAGTAAGTTATATTTTTCAGTTAAGTTTTTGCCTAAAATTAAAACTTCACTTTGAGTTTGTGATTTTCTTTTCCCCATCATTTTATGGACTTATTTAGTAAATCACAAATTGCAGTGTATCAAAATTTGAATTGTTCAATTTAAGCAATAATGGCTGATCTGAAAACACTGCTGCTCTTGAAGCTTTTTTGCTTAAAGAGATATGTAGACACCAAAACAACTTTAGCTTAATGAAACCGTTTTGGTGTATAAATCATGCCTCTGAAGTTTCACTGCTCAATTATCTGCAATTTAGGAGTTAAATCACTTGTTTCTGTTAATGCTGCCGTAGCCACACCTCCCCTGGCTGTGACCCACGCAGCCTACATTTAAATAAAATTGTTTCACTTTCAATCCGATATAACTTAATTTAAAAGTTAAAAATCTCCTGCTCTGTAAATTGAACTTTAATTACATGCAGGAGGCTTCTGCATGGTCTAGCAAGCTATTAAAAGAGACTTTGCAAATAAAGGTGTAAACATTAGATAACTCTTTACAGGAAGTGTTTATGTTGGCGATCAGTCACATGCAGGGATGTGTGACTAAGGCTACATACGTAAAACATTGTAGTTATTGCATTTACAAACTTTATATTTGTGCTAAATAGTAATCTATCGTGTTTTAAACAAAGTGTCTACAAAAGTATTCACTAGATAGATCAGGGGTAGGCAACCTTTCAATAGTACTGTGCCAAAACAAGATATTGAATCCCTTGGTGTGCTGGTTCTATTTGTCTAAATTGAGGTGTGCATGTTGCCGTATTGTACTTGTGCTATTTATGGGTGCTGTGTTTTTTTTAACGTTGTATGGTATTTGTGTATGTAGGCTGTTATACTGTATATGTTCACGAGTAGTTTGTGTTAAATGTGGCCTGTGTAAGGGGGACTGCTTGTGAAATAGTGTCTGGCTCTTAACATGTATAGCTTGGCAGAAAGACGAGACGGGGTGGATATGATAGAAATATTTAAATATATAAAGGAAATCAACACAGTAAAGGAGGAGACTATATTTAAAAGAAGAACGACCACAACAAGAGGACATAGTCTTAAATTAGAGGGACAAAGGTTTAAAAATAATATCCGGAAGTATTCCTTTACTTAGATGGTAGTGGATACATGGAATAGCCTTCCAGCTGAAGTGGTAGAGGTTAACACAGTAAAGGAGTTTAAGCATGCGTGGCATAGGCATAAGGCTATCCTAGATATAAGATAAGGCCAGGGACTAATAAAAGTATTTTAAAAAATTGGGCAGACTAGATGGGCCAAATGGTTCTCATCTGCCGTCACATTCTGTGTTTCTAAGATTTATCGTGTGTGTTATTGTATGGGCTGCCCATGTGCAGGAGCTGTGGTGTGCTCTACTCCAGTGCAGAATTCCATTAACCGGTGCAGGTAGGACATTTTCTGAGTACACTTCCTCGAAGTGCTGAAATGCATAAATTGAGGATTGTCCCTCACCACCTGCAATCACTGCTTAGGTTGCACTAGCAGATTTCTGAAGTCCCACTGGGATTCCTGATAGGCCAGAGCCTATTTGTCTCTGGCAGCCTTGAGTGCCCTGCAAAGGCACCTCAAATGCCATGCATAGTATGCGTGCCATAGGTTACTGACCTCTGCACTAGATATTAAATTATACGTTCTCTACTGTTAAGCTAGTTTGTAACAATTCATGATCGGTCTTATTGACTCTTAATGTTGTTTGCTAGACTGTATCAGGTTACAATTTACTCTTTAAAAACAGAAACCCAAGATGGGCACAGTAAATCTTGCACCAAATGGCTCTGGGAGTAGGCCTGTTCAGCAGATGTTATCTCCCCACCACCAAGACCTAAAGTAAATCCTTGTTTTAACTGTTTTTTTTTTTTTTTCTTCTTTTTTTTTTTTTTTTACTCAAGTCCCATGTACCAGTAGCATGATTGATTGACCACATGTAAATATTCACATTCTTCATTCTGCATACAGTGGGCTAGTCACTGAACACCAACTTGTAGTGAACAAAGGTACTAATCATCTTAACGTGAATATCCAAGTTTTCTCTAATCTTTATTATGAGGCAAAGTAGGCCCTACTTTGATCTTATAATCTACTGGTATTTTGATTGTATTGACAATCATGTAGCGTAGTCCTTTGGTAAGACACCCAATGGTGTGTATATCTGCCTTCCATAAATCATAAGTTTATTTGAGCAGGGCTTTCCTCCCCTCTTTCTCTAATTGGAAAGTGCTGCTTAATTTGTTGGTACTATATACAGACTAATTAAATGTAAAAAATATTTTAGAAATCCATGAAATTCCCATGCAATCAATGAAGATTCTGTGTTTGTGAAAAACTCAAGTCCTGTCGCAGTGACACAGTTGTTTAATGTCTAGTATATTATGACTAGTGATGTCGCGAACTTGCCGCGAATGGTTCGCCACAAACCGTTCGTGGCGAACTCCGGTCAGCTGACACATCCCTGCCAATCTCCGGCAGACCCTCCTACTTCCTGGACAGCATCCATGTTGAAGCTGCCTTCAACATGGATGCTGTCCAGGAAGTAGGAGGGTCTGGGAGGGAGGGTCTGCCAGAGATTGGCAGGGATGTGTCAGCTGACCGGAGTTCGCCGCGAACGGTTCGTGGCAAGTTCGCGACATCACTAATTATGACTTCAAAAAGAAGCAAGGATCTGCGCAATAAAGATGTTCACTAAACGTAACTAGTGAATTAGTGACCAGTATATCTGATTTGGGGGCAAACAAAAAAAAAATCTTCAACTCCTCTATAGTCCCTGCTCGGTGTTGAAAACATGGGAATCCTAATGGAACACACAGCCTGGTCCCTCGCTTACTATATTGCTGGTGTGAAGCATACACTTCCGCAACATCGAAATAATGCAGATTTGGACAGCAGTGATAGGCTGAGAACATCCAGTGAAATATTCATGAGTTAGTGCACAGTATATTGGAAGTTGCCCAGTTGTCCATTAATTGTATGACCACTCGGGCCCTTTTTACCTATAATCTGTGTATTGCACTTTTGAAATCTCCAGCAAAGGATTAATAAAAAAATAAATAATAAAATTTTATTGACCGTTCCAACAAGGTATCAATTTGATAAAGCAGCAGTGTTTCCCCCAAGTGATTGACTGTCTGTTCCTTGCTCTTCTTTTCTGTTTTTTTAATTTATTAGATTTTCATTCCATTTGATCAGACACAGTTTTGTAATCGTGTAAAAAAAAAAAAACAATACCAGAGGTCTTCCAGTTCGTACTGTTATAGAAATAGGCAGCAGTAAAATGTAATTTAATTTTGTTTAAACGTGGAATGCAAGAATAATGTAGCGTGCATTGAAAAGCACACATGATCTGATATTTTTATCTTTTTACTTTGCACTTTATCTCAGTGTATACATTGCTCTCTCAGGGTAGAGCCTTAGCCGTTCTAAGAATTGAGGGACTCTCCTTATTCTAACCCTGTGGGTTTTACGTTTCTGTGCTGTCGACACAATTCCTGATAATTCCTTCCTTGTTTTGCTCGGTTCTCGCATGGATCTCGCACCTTTTCGTTCCTTTTGTTTTAATTTCCCTTCCTGTTGAACTGCGCTATGGTGTCTCACTTTTTTTGTTTTGATAAACTCCGTCAACCCTATCTTTCTTATTATAGTGTATTTATTGTTTTTTTTTTTTTTTGTTTGTTTGTTTTTTTTTAAAAAGGGAAGTGGGGAAAAAAAAATCTCTTTTCCAAGAATGTCCTGTCTTAAATATCCCTTTAAACACTGTCTTATGTTCTTTGTTTCGTAACAGCCTTGCATGGTTAACATGCATTTGTTTGTGATGGAATTTAAAATCCTTATCTCTTCAGACATTCAAACACTGTTTTGCTGTGTTGGCAAATAACGGGCTTTCTCTAATGTGGAATTCATGGGTGAAGTGGATCGGATTCATTCGAATTCTCTGTTAAATTTGGGTTACACTATTGCAGTATTTATGAATAAACATGTGTTCTTAACGCTTTAGTATTCCCCAAACTATATAGATGTACCCCTCCTCCACCAGTGCGGGTTTAAAAGGTGAGATTATCTTGCCTTTCTTCCCTCCCCATGATGGTGTCGCTGCGGCCCCTTTGCCTCCCACACTTAGATCATTAAAGGATCACTAAAGTGTCAGGAAAACAAACCAGTTTTCCTGACTCTATATAGTGCCCTAAAGGCGCCCCCACCCTCAGGGGCACCCTCCCGTGGCGGGAGGAAGGGGTTAAAAAAAAAAACCTTCAGCAGCTTACCTTAATGCAGCCCGGCGCTGGTGACCACTCCTCCCCTGCCGACGTCTGCTCCCGAGTGGAGTGTAATGCGCGGCAAGTGCCGCGTGCACATTCAAACAGTCCATAGGAAAACATTTCTCAATGCTTTCCTATGGACGTTCTGCACGCTGGATGCGAATTTCACATCCAGCGTCGCAGATGCACCTCTATTGGCTGTCTGGAAGACAGCCACTAGAGGCTGGATTAACCCTGCAATGTAAACATAGCAGTTTCTCTGAACCTGCTATATTTACATCTGGAGGGTTAAAACCTGAGGGACCTGGCACCCGTACCACTTCATTGAGTTAAAGTGGTCTGGGTGACTATAGTGTCCCTTTTAATATTGGTGATCCACAGAGAAGCATTGGGAGGCTAGTGTTGAAAAACACGCTACAAATGTGCTACAAATTGTTGTGCTGGGTACAACCAGGTACCTCTCTAGGAGCAGTGTTCGATTGAGAACAATCCGGCTTGGTTCTTGCTGGAGAGGCAATTGTCAGAAAGACGGGCACTAGCAGTGTGTTTTACTCTGCAATAGAAATACTGCAGTTCCTACAAAGCCGTTTCTTCTAAAAGGCTGCTACACCCAGACTAAGCTATTGAGGTGAAGTCATCCTTTTTAATGGAAAACTGGTAATCAAAAAAACACTGAGCTAAGAACTAAGCTGCAAGGCGTAATAGATGCAGCACTTGATTGCTGATCTACAGGAACACCTAAAGAGCGTATTCCAGGATATCCTGTAATCCCCCTATTTTCACTCTCACATGAGAATGAAGATATGTCCTGGCTAATTCAGCCCTGATTGCAAAGGTGGAGGGAGAGTGTTGAAGTATGTGTTCCATTACCGTCTCCCCCTAGGTGCCACCATGATAAAATGGAGATCTCAGCCTGCACGTTTGTGAGAAATCTACTGTTTGTTACCATAAGACATTGAGGTAACCTATCTCGTAGTAACGTTGCGGAAAGACTTTAGTGAGAAGGAGAACATTCTTCTCTGCCACATAAATCCGTTGATTACAGGTCTCCGAATCCTATAATTGCAATGCTCATTGACATCCATGTCATTTACATTAAACTACTTGCAAATGTGTCTAAACATAAATAAGAATGTCCCCTCTAATTCTATAGACCAGGGGTAGGCAACCTATGGCACTAGTGCCATGCACGGCACTCGAGGCTGCTAGAGCCAAACAGGCTCTGGCCTATCAGGAGTCCCAGTAAAACATCAGATATTTGCTAATACGAAGAGGTGGTGAAGGACAATCCTCAATTTAGGCATTGCAGCACGTAGAGGAAGTGATCTCAGAGCACTTCATTCCAGCACTTGTGAATGGGAATCCACACCGTATTAGAGCAGCTCGCAGTTGTTGTTGCAGCTCCTGTCCTTGACCTGTACCTGGCTGGCCTGGTCCCCACTGGAACCCAAGGAAGCCACCCACACTGCTAGATATACACAGAAATGCAGAATAACCCTCCCCTCATACAAATAACACGGACAGCCCGCACACAGTCCGCACAAACGCAACACCACTAACAATCCACATACATGCACACAACCTCACATGCAGCCTCTCACATGCAATACCCCAAACATCCCCCACACACTACCAAACACACAATGTGACATATCCATCCACACACACAATTCCACAAGCAGCCCTCATACACAGCCCTCATTCATATTATCATACACGATACCATAAACTACTAATGAACATATACAATATAATAGCTCATATACGCACAAATACAACGATACAAAGCAATTACAGTAAAAGTAACAAGCAGAATACGGCAGCATACACACCTCAATTTAAAAAAAAAAAATTTTTAAAAAAAATAAGGACCGGCACGCTACGGGATATCACAATCCTATATCGGCACAGTGCTGCTAAAAGGTTGCCTACCCCTGCTATAGACTAATGACCTGGTGTTTTAAGTACAGCATATAACTGCATTTTAATGAAGTTTCTCTAGATTATGATGGCTTATATTGACAACCTTGAATTAGTAGTGACTCCGAGCATGTATTTGGATATCAAAGGTATTAGAAACTTTTATTCCACATTGGTTGTATGTTAAAGGGGAATTTAAAATAAAGAATGAGATTATTTTAGTCTAGGCTGTTGGTGTGAGTTTAAAAATGGAGTGAAGGGCATTGGTAAAGAGTATTGTATAATAACTATAAATAAAATTTCTGCGAACTCTCCATCCTCTTATCCTTGGCTATTCCTATCACTTAATAAGCATATGGACTGCTGCTTAGTGCCGGTGTTAATTAACAGGTCGTTTGACTATTGAGAAGGGAAGTATGCTTAGTTATGTTTTCAAGGATTCAGGTTTTAGTTCTAAGTTGCAATACATGTGGTTTCTTATCACGTCTAATGAAATGCATTGCTTCCTGAATTACCTCTCTATCTATATGTATATTTATTTACAGCTTGTTCCCGGCTGTACACTGGATAAGCACTGCGTGCCTCCATTCCCACATCTCTTGCAAAGCTTCCACATGTTTTTGTGAACTTAAAGGAACACTCCCAAAGTATATCCACCACTACGATTCACTGTAGTTGTTATGGTGCCAAGAATGTCCTGTTTCTAACCTTCTACCCAATAGAATATACAGATGCTGAATTTAATCAGTGCTTCTCTATGAGGAGATGCTGTTTGGAACAGCACACAGCTTTGTTGGGCATGCACACTAGCTTCCCAATGCTTTCCTAAGCGGATGCATTGGGTTGGATGAGATCATCAATCTTGATGGTGTCAGCAGTGTGGCAAGGGAGTGGATGTAAATACATTTTTTTTTTTTTTTTTATAAATACATGGTGCAGGTTGTAACACAAATGGTGACTAGGGCACTATAGCATTACGAATACATGTTTATCTATAGTGTTCCCTTTATGGCCAAAATAGAATAATAGCCGACTGAATTTTTTTTCAGGGTGGTGGTTTTTGGCCTTATATTTGAACTTCTTAATTTACTTAAAGGGAAACTCCGGGCACCCAGACCACTTCTGCACATTGGAGTGGTCTGGGTGCCTTGCCCCTCTCCCCTTAGCCCTGTTATTTAAAACACTGCGGTTTTGGAGAAAAGTGTTTTGATTACAGAGCTAATCCCACCTCTAGTTGCTGTCGGTTTCTGGATTCTTACTGGACCAAAAGTGGTTTTAAATGATGTTCGATGTCCTCACGCTCCCCTCTTGGGGATGCGCACATCACACCACGCGCAGTTGCGATGTCGTTTTACCTCTACACAGATTGGCGGGGCGCTGTGCTTGATGCGAATGCGCTCTAAGTTTTCAATGCCTCCCAATGAGAATAAGCTGATTGGAGGAGTGAAGCAAGGAAGATCAGCTGACCAGATGACGCGGTAGGGGGAGTAGACAACGGAGGCTCGATGTGTGATGCGGTGCTAGAAATAAGGTAAGAAAGGGGATATTTGGGTAATTTATTTATTTTTATAGGTTAAAAGGGGGGTCACAAGGGTCCAAGGGAAGGGAAGAATTGCGTTTAGGATAACAAATGGCTATCTTTTCGGCCAGTAGAGTTTCTTTTTAATTACCTTAATAATGTTAGAACTCCTAGGAACTGATGGTTTCCTCCTCCACAATTCTTTTTGTAAAAAAAAATTAAGAAAATGACAGTAGCCATATTTGTTACTAGTGAGGATGTTTTGAGGTGGGGTCCCCCAACACACGCTTTTTGGGAGAGGGCTTTGGGGAAACAGAACTTTGCTGCACACACCTCTATTAGTTCGGAGTGTAGAGAGATTGCATTGAATATCTAACTGTGCAGCTTGTGCTCGTTATAGGCTATACATTCTTTGAGATCCCGGAGAGAATTAGTAGCACATTCTTCATAAGTGTAAAAAAAGGGGGGCGACCTGATCTAGAGAGACAGGGGACATGTCTTGGCATATTCCCACATTTCTATTACTATAGGGGTCATTAAGTGGTTTTTTTTGTTTTAGGCTCAGAAGAAGAAAAAAAGTCAGCTATTTAAAATCTAGCTGAAATGTCATCCATCATTATCCGTCGTCCTGTTTTCAACGTGAGAAATTGGGGGATACATTTCAAACATTCTGTCTTTACCATTCTACAAACAAGATGTGCATCAAATTGACATTGTTGACTTGTTTCCAGCTTGTCCCCAACACAAAGAACCCATTATTTTGAGGCTTCAGTTTCCATTTACTAAAGGTCAGACTTGACGGTGCAGAGATTTTTTGCTTTTGAAGAGAGCATTGCGAGAAATAATGCATTAGGGAAGGGATATGAAATAAAATGTGTACTAAATGTGCATCTATTATGCAAAGATTGATCTTAAAATATGCAATATCTGGTGTGGCAGCCAAATTGCTGTCGAATAATATATAGAATAATTTCTGTTTAGAATTAAAAATATAGTCTACTAAACCATGTGTGTGTGTGTTAATAAAAAAAATATATTTCTATTCCTGTTTCACTAACCACCCTTATCCCATAAACCCCTCCGCCCATCAGCAATGTATTTGCACTGGGTTGGTCTTAAGCTGCAGTGTATATTGCAAATTGCAACTTCTTTGAGCAACTGAGTGCAGGGAGGGTATTTTCCAGGATGTTTGGGGTGTCCCTTTTATTGCATAAAATCATTAATTTGTGCAGTTGTTCTACCTGTTTAAGTGCAAACTGCGCTGTGAACAGTGCTAGACAAATAATAATAATAATAATAATAATAATAATCTGCACTTGAGAAATTGAAAAGTGTGCATATAGGTGCTGCTGTCTGACAACTGCAAGTCAGGTTTCACAATTGTAACTTTTTAATCTTGCCTTTTACTAAATCTGCATTGTACATGCATTTTGACTAGCATTAATTAACTAATCAAGAATGCTTGTTCAGAGGAACTGGCAATCTAGTGGATTTTATTCATATAATTACAGCAGGTGCCAAATAGCTTACATTGCATTTTAGGCACCCCTTTGAAGTGATGATACATGGAAAAAGAACAGGCTTTCTGTGTTAAAGAAGGCTATGGGTTTACAAATGTAGCTTCTGTTCCTAAAATAACCAATGTACACACTGAATGAAGATCTGCCTGATATTGGCTTTTTTTTTCCCCCCCCCCAGTGTGATGTTTAACATTGATTTATCAGTGCTCTATAAAAACTTGCTTTTTGTTTTACACGGCTTATTAATTGGGTTTTATTGCTCAGATGTTATAACCAATGTTTTGTATAGGTGCATGGTGCGCCTTTTTAAAACAGAAATCTGTATTTGCATTTCTCTCTTTGATGTGCTTTGTTGAAGTTGTCAACAATCCGCTTGTTATACAACTTCGAGCAGACTAGGTGTCCAGAGTGTTGACTAAACTCAACTAAATTGTCATATCATTGGGATATGTGTTTTATGCAACACTTTATCAGTAATAATGCAAGTGGGTTTAATGCGCATGCATCGTGAGCCTATTGGCACCTGCTGGATGTCAGTTGGCTTTCTGACAGCCACTACAGGTAGTCTTAGTCCTGCAATGTAATCATTGCAGTTTCTTTAAAACTGCAATAAATTACATTGCAGGACTAAGGAGGACAAGGATACTGCATATAGTGTCCCTTTAAAGGTTTACTTCAAGCATTATAACCACTCAAGCCAGCTGTAGTGATTATCATACTAAGAGTACGCTAGCACTGTTTCCCAGTAATGGGGCAGCCTATTTTCTATTTTATTTTTTTGCAGTGGCCTGCATCTTACCTGGGTCCCACCAGTTGTGGAGCTTTAAATGATCATGGTTGAACCAATGGGGACAACATTTATATTGCTAAAGCAGAATGGTAACTACTACCTTGATATCCAGAAGGTATGAAATACTGGAGGACCCAAGAAAGTGTCAAGTCATTTGAAGACAATTTGACTTTTGTGGGGTGCTCCTGGAACCATAACCACTACTGCATGCTGTATTGGTTATGGTGCTTAGATTGCTGCTTTAAAGGACCACTATAGTGCCAGGAAAACATACTCGTTTTCCTGGCACTATAGTGCCCTGAGGGTGCCCCCACGCTCAGGGACCCCCTCCCGCCCGGCTCTGGGGAGAGGAAAGGGTTAAAAACTTACCTTTTTCCAGCGCTGGGCGGAGAGCTCTCCTCCTCCGATCCTGCTCCTGGGCTGAATGCGCACGCGCGGCAAGAGCTGCGCGCGCATTCAGCCCGTCGCATAGGAAAGCATTTACAATGCTTTCCTATGGACTCTTGCGTGCTCTCACTGTGAAAATCACAGTGAGAAGCACGCAAGCGCCTCTAGTGGCTGTCAATGAGACAGCCACTAGAGGCTTTGGGGGAGGGCTTAACCCATTCATAAACATAGTAGTTTCTCTGAAACTGCTATGTTTATAAAAAAATGGGTTAACCCTAGAAGGACCTGGCACCCAGACCACTTCATTAAGCTGAAGTGGTCTGGGTGCCTAGAGTGGTCCTTTAATTGTGGTTGTAACACGTCCTGTTCTTTAGCATCTCTGTGCGTACAGAACTGGCTGCTCATTGTAAAAGGCTACTATTGTTGTAGATATTTGCAGGGAACAAAAAGTACCCACTGTGCAAACACTCTAATGCCACATGCATCATAACAAGTATTTTATGGCTTGCTGCAGCTTTTACATGATATGAGAAGAAAGTTACAGGATTTGAAAATAAAAATCAGATTTTTTTTTTTTTTTCCTATTCAGATTTTGTTGTGTAAAATCAGTTTAGTGCATTGGCGCCACCCCCAATTGTAAGTAGTCAAACCTTTTTGGCTTTTTATGTGGGGTCTGCTGCTCCTAAGGGTTTTTAAGGATTAATCTAAATCTCTTAGACTGTAAGATAATTTCAGCAGAGCCTTTTTACTTGTAGTCAGTCAGCTTTCTTTGTCATTTACTTGTTATTAAATAACCCCATTGTATAATTAAGCGTTGTACTATATAAATATCTGTAATCATTTACCAGACATATGTTACCAGTTTAGATTTTAAAATGAATAAACAGACACTGGGTGTACTAGTCTTGTAGTCTGTGTATAGATAACCTTCTATGATCCTTTGACCCCTAACCTATGGCCTCAATCAGTTATATTCGAGCTTGACCAAACGGTGTCAGGAGTGAATTTGCAGATGTTGGTCCAAGGTGGTAGTTTGAATCCCATTACAAATACTGTTTCCGGTCTATTCTCATACGTAAAATTTGATTTTGTGCCTTGTTCTTTTATGCAATATCTGTGCGGAGAATGTAATGAGTACTGTGTATTATTAGAAATCAAAAGGGCATTTGCGGCTGTACAGCAGACAGGCTGCTTTTAACGCAATACACATGTTTCATACCAAGCCACCAAAAATACCTCTTTTATTCTCAAGAGAACCCTATAAATAGCTTTAATAAGAAACATTACATCAGGTTCTATATAAGATAATATAATGGGCCTGACCATTCCATGTATCCATTGTGGCTTAAATTCAATCTCTGTAATTGTGCTCCACTAGAATGGGGAAGATTTGACCATGAACTGTTTTTATGTCTAACATTGTGTCTGTGATCTGGTGAATCCCAGAGGAAGGGTGGAGGGGCAGAGCATACTGGCATTGATCAATCACTTTGTTTGACTCTCTGATAAGGGATGGGGGTAGGAAGCATATTATTTTAAGCAGTGTGTAATGTAATCCGATAACCTTTTTCGCAAGTGTGCAATGAAGGCATTATTGCATATCAATGGATGCATTTTGATCGAAAATAGTTTTTTGTTTGTAATTTTTATATTTTTGAATGAGTTATTGTATATTCATCATGTTTTGCTTGGTGGCGGGAGTATTTTAAATGGTTACTGCCAGCGTCATGGCTGCCTCACTGATTTGAAGTAGTCATGGTGCCTAGAGTCTGTGTAGCACGTCTTAATAAAAAAAAAAATATATATATATATATATATTTTTATTTTTATTTTATTTTATTTATTTATTTATTTATTTATTTTTATCGTGCAGACCACCACAGCAAGAGTTTCCCTAACAAAGACATGTTGTAATTAAATCTTTTTTTTTTTTTTTTTTAAAACAGTTATTTAGTAAAAGTCCCCTGAAATAACAGTGAAGGGTAACTTTAAACACCATGAATCCTTCAGCTTATTGTATTGGTTATAGTGGGGGCCATCTCCCAGTTGGGGAAGAGTTGGTTAGAGAACAAAGTAGTGATTTGTCTTGTTTTAAATTTGTTACTCAAACTATTTTCTGGGCTGATTTCATTGCTGTTGAAAGCACATCACCCAGAGTTTTAACTTAAGTTTATTTACTAGGGATCTCTTATGCCTTCATGCATACCACACATTGCTATGAGATTTATTGTTGTGGATGCAATCTTTGAGTTGTCAGATAAGAGAGAAAGGGAAAATGGGGCATGTCAAGTCTGTATATAGATTCTTTGACATTGATGAGTGGCTGTGTGGAGAATATATATGATCTATTATGGTTATCTATGCTGCCTCCTTACACAGAACATGATGTATTTTAACGGTTGCAATGTAATCATGCGAATAGTTACAGTCGAAAATATACATATTTGCACTTGTCTGTTCTGGTTGTTGGTGTATTTAATTTTTTCTTTGTCATTAAGACATTTTGAAAAAATTTAGTCTAACTGTGTAAACAATGATCTTTATAACTTGTTAATTATGTAACAGCTCGGTAACGTAGCTGGGGAAAACCAAATTTACACACAGAGCCTGAGTGCATGTTGAGACCTGGGGATTGCGTAGTTAGGCAGGGTTGTGTCAACTTTCTGTCTTGCTAAGTATTGGAGGCTTTGCTAATAGAATTGAGCTATGTTCGGATATTTGAGAGCTTTAACCCCTTAAGGACACATGACGGAAATATTCCGTAATGATTCCATGTTATTCCAGAAGTTGTGTCTTTAAGGGGTTAATTTCTTCTTTCATTATTGTTTTGGAGGGTATTGTACAGAAGGAGTCCACTGTGCTCATCTGCAACAGAGTGTATACTGAAACTTGGCACGGAATGCTTTATAGATTGTTTACTTTATCTTACATAATTTACTTCTGTCATACCAAAAACAATACACACACTTGAAAATGTACTTTTGGCTCACCAGTCATATTGAGTGCATTTGTTACATTAATTTGTTTTAAAGCTCTTAATACCATCAAACCGTTTAACTACAAAGTGGTTTCCAAGGAAAAAGTACGGGTTATGTTTTGGAAAGTAAGTTTATTAATTTTTTGGGTGTGCATGCAGTTGGCATAGGTAGCGCATGAAATGGCACAAACAACAACAACAACAACATAACAAGAAACCGTTTTGCTGTGGATTGCAGTTCGGTGACATCCAAAAATAAAATAAATTAATTTCCTCTCCTCGATGTTAAATTGGTTGTCTGCCCACAATCTCACCACAGCAGCACGTGCTATTCCATTACTGGGGCTGTAAACCCTTACTAAACCACCTTGTGACCATCACCTGTTCCACTGCCTAGACATTTTATAGACACTAGTCATCTTCTGTCTATACATTGTTTTAAAAATCTAGTTACTAGCACCTCAACCCCGGTCAGTACTTCCATATAATATTTAGAGTGCAGTTTCAAATCCTGAATCTGCCCTACATTTGTATCTGCTTACCACAAGCTGTATACCTAAAAGTCTCACATGCAACCCATTCATGTTCCCCTGCTATGCCAACAACCTTGATTTGTCCTCCACGGACATACTCGCCTCCAACTCTCAGCTGCATGACTTTTTTTGGCTGTCCGAGTGGTGCCCTACCCTAATTTGTCTTCCCTTCTGGATACATTATACGTTTTGTATGTCTATAACCCACTTCCAATAGACAAAGCTTGTTTTTATAAGAGTCCTCTATGCCTAAATTAGTCTCATTGATTACAATTGTTCTTTGTTTACCCATTGTGTAACGCTGCACAATATGCTGCCACTTACATTTAAAAAAAAAAATAATAATAATCTACAGAAAGCATTTATTTAGTTACAAGTCCCCTGAAATAACAGTGAAGGGTAACTTTAAACACCATAAATCCTTCAGCTTATTGTATTGGCTATAGTGGGGGGGGCTATCTCCCAGTTGTGGGGGATGCAGTGGATCCAATTTAAATGTTACCCAGGGACCAGCCTGCTTTGTATTGACAGATCTAAGAGGTGAAGCTTACAGTCTAAGCTCGTTGCAAATCTATCCACACTTGGATTGCACCAATGGTTTATAAGTGCTCGAGACTCCATCTCACAGCCTCATGTCATTGCAGTACAAGGTTGTACAGCGGTGTATGTATGATGCAGAAGTAAAGACTTTAAATTCTGTTTTGTCAAACCACTCAAAAATGGTTTATCAAAAAACAGGGTGTTTGACCCCTAGATGCTTTGTGTCGTAATAACAAGAAGTTGCAGTGTTTTTTCTGTTGCTTGGTGTCCCTTATTATATTTACTGATGGGTTTTAAATATCTGCTCCCAATCAAGAGATGATTAAGCAGACCTATTACTTCTGAACTGTGTATAAGTTTGTAACTCCAATGAAATTCTAGCACAATCAAAGGATATCCATATCATAAACTAGAGAGTACTAGACATGGTCAAAGCAGACAGACCATTTATTTCTGACTGCCTTGACAGCCATTGTGACTGTCCAGTGGAAGAAATTGTATCTTATTGCGCAATGTGCATGTTATCCATTTGCAACTAGTTGTGCACGCATGAAAATATCTGTGCAAAGTTTGCAAAGTTGAACCCGTACCTGACATGCCAGGAAGAAGGAAGATGTGGCATTGAGCAGTTAGACTCTGCAGGGTTTCTTTCTGTAATTAGAATTCAAAGTGAATTTCATATTTAAAGGGACACTCCAGGCGCCAAAACCGTTTAATCTAAATGATGTTATGGTGCCAGAAGGTCGCTGGAGGCACTCTAATCACTAGCAGTTTTACCCTATGTTGCCACCAGAGGCAATCCGGCTTCTGACTTTTCTGATTCAAGAAGCATGAAGTGTGCCGATGGGCAGGGGCGCTGCGTTTTGGCTGTGACCATTTAACCTATTGAGGTATGAGGGCCTCCTGGCACCATAACAACTTAATTTTGATGAAGTTGTTTTGGTGCTTTGAGTATCTCTTTAAAGCCAGAGAAGCTGAATGGAAAGCCTAGCTGACTTAAAAAATGTTTCCAGTTCTGCATTTTAGACCTTTAATTTTGAGATTCATGTTGCATTTGCACATTATTGTACACCCCTGCTAGTAGTGTTCCTTATCCCTGTAGGATCTTTGCAAATAAAATATAACATGACCTTTACAGGTGAGAGGGCCTCTTTCAAATTCAAAATTACACACTTTACAAGTAAAATGGCATTAATATCAATATTCGTTTAATACAAAAAGGACACAATGTAAAGTTTGTGAGAGGTAGATCTATGTAATTGGTTTAATGTCTTGTTTTACCTCTTGTACAGCACTGAGGTATATGTTTTTGCGATTGACTTATAGATCACCCCCCTCTCCTCTTCTAACAAACTGTAGTAACAGTTGCAGTAGTAGTCTGAGCATGATATGTTATTGTGCATGTTTGCAGATACGTACTGTTCTACGCTTACGCCACCTTAGAAGCAAAGCGAACTATACCTTTTTTTTATTTATTTTTTTAAATCTATACTATGTGCAATGAATTGTGGAATTGTTTTCTTGGCAATGCAATGTGGCTCTATATTCGATAATTCTGAGCTTCATACCATTTGAATACTCCCATAGACACTCCTTGGCAAACTTAAATTGTTGGATATGTTTCCCAGTTATGTAGCACTCCCCCGTGTCATACCAAAAAGAAAATCTAAAATCTGGAATGTACTTGCACCAATTGTAAACTATCCTTCTCACACTGCATTGTAGATCACGTAAAGTGAGTTTATGACCTAAAAACTAAATGCATTTATTTTTTCCTTTTAAAGAGCTCTTAGAAAGAGTAGCCATTAGCTAAGCAAACCTTTTGGGAGAATTCTAACCTCTGACATTGTTAAAGATGACTATTTATTATTTTTTAGAATCTACAATATGCATGAGTGCATAGCAAAGCCTTAATTCATTAAAGGAGAATTGTCATCACTTACTATTCCTAATAAACCATAACCACTTTCCTTTAATGGATGACTACTTCTAAAAAAATCAGCCACCAGTCTGTCCTCAGAGGGAGAGCATTCAGCTGCTGAGCTTTTGAGGAATTTTCCTTCTATATTGTCCAAGTATTTGGACATCAGGAGCGTGCATTACATGCTCACACAGTGCAGTGATAGACTTTTGAGAACTAGACTATGTAAGAATTGTTCCCCCAGAATCACTTTAGACATTTCAAGAGCTTTTGAAGTGCAGAAAATGCTGCAGTGATTAGGCCCTGACAACTGTTTGAAAGCCTATCATTGCAATTCATGCTGATTTTTTCCAAAATATGTGGGCACGTTATAAGGAAAGGGAATTGGTTACCATTTCTTTTAATTCTACGACCCCAGCCCACCACATGACCATATTTGTCTGTGACCAACAATATCTACAATGTTTCTAAATTTCCTGACTATGTCAAAAACGATGTGACTAAAGCTTTGTATACTTATTTATTTTATTCAGAAATATGTATTTCTTATGCTTATTGTTTTAAGTTTGTTACATATAACTTTTCAATCGCTGTAATATTTGCCAACAGATGTCCTTGTCAAATCTGACGTGATACACCCACTCTTGTGTTACTGTTTTGACATGTACCCTTTTGTACGCTTCATTTTGTTTAAGATGACATACCTGGGGATGTGCGTGATTCATTATAATTTTTTTTTACAATAAGTTAATAAAATAAAAAACAAAACGTGAAATAGCTGATCATGGCAGCTGGTAAGAAGGGGAGTTCGAGGTGCACCTATAGTCTGATAGCAGTATTACACCTTCAATAAGCTGCAGTGCTTATGGTGCTTTGTTACCCTTTTAATTTAGGGCCTACATCTATTTGTAACTAATGTTGCATGCATACATTTAGAATTGTGTATAAATGAATCTGTAAAACAATTCTGGAATGAAATAGGAAACTGGTTAACAGAAGTTTGGCGACTGTAAAATTTGATTTTGTTGGGTGCATAAAGGAACACTCAAAGCATTCTATTTTATGATAGTGGCTATTATGCAGAACGTTTTGAGCAGGCTTGCTAGTTAATGTCTGTTTCGAGAAGTTGAACTAAACCAAGTGATCTCTCAACGTCATTCTCTCCTACTAAGCCAATTGTTTACAAAAATGTGCGTGCCAAGGGCAGGTTAGTCAAATGCTCTCCGCCTATTGCTGCTGCTTGTAATTGGACAGATTTAATCCAAAATGTTTAATTTTTTGTTTGTTTGTTTTTTACTACTCACAAACTGACAGCTTCTGAAGACTGTTTTCTTACTACTACACTGAGCTGCGGTAAGCTGGTAAGCCCGCACTGAACGTGTCCTCTCTTGGCCTTTCAAAGGGTTCTGGCCTGGGTTTTGATGGGCCAGTCTGGTTTTAGCGGTGTGCCCAGAAAGATTGTGTTAAGATGGTTCAAGACTTTTATTAAAACAAACTTGGTTGTGCACCATATTTGTTTCTGAACAAGAGCCTGTCCATGCAGAATTTCAGGGTACACCTAACCACCAGACCTCCGATGGTCAGAAATCTTCGTCACTCCAGATGCTGTGGACTGCATTATCGCTGCAAGAGCATCATGTGAGATGTAGTCCATAACATTTGGAGTGCCGAGGGTTGCCTATCTCTACTCTAGATCATGGTTGTTGGTGTCTAAGTTTAAAGGGTTACTATTACCAACATGACCACTTTCAGTAGTCCTGGTGCTTGACATTTGTATGTGTAGCATTACATTGTGAAACACTGCACAAACCGAAACCATTAAAGGGACACTATAGTCACCAGAACTACAGCTTATTGAATTTGTTCTGGTGAGTAGAATCATTACCTTCAGGCTTTTTGCTGTAAACACTGTCTTTTCAGAGAAAATGCAGTGTTTACATTACAGCCTAGTGATAACTTCACTGGCCACTCCTCAGATGGCTGTTAGAGATCCTTCCTGGGTCATGGCTGCCTAAAATGCATCCAAACATTCAGTATCTCTTCCCTCTGCATGCAGACACTGAACTTTCCTCATAGAGATTCATTGATTCAATTAATCTCTATGAGGAGATTCTGATTGGCCAGTTCTGTGTTTGAATCATGCTGGCTCTGACCCTGATCTGCCTCTTTGTCAGTCTCAGCCAATCCTATGGGGAAGCACTGTGATTGGATCAGGCTACCACTTCTGATGATGTCAACAGACTGCTGTTTTTTTTTTTTGGTTTTGTTTTTAGGCAAACAGCATGCTTGAATACAGTAAGATTTTGCTATATTTATGGAGGCATGAGGTGTCCAGGGGGGCTAGATGGTGGTTTTAGCACTGTAGTGTAAGGAATACATGTTTGTGTTCCTGACCCTATAGTGATGCTTTAATAATGTTATTCCCAGTGGCGTACATACCAGGGTCGCAGGGGTCGCGGCTGCGACCGGGCCCGGCCCGGCCGCCCCTGCGACCCGGTGTGTACCCACTGGGCCAGCCTCTTCCCCTGGGGGGCCCAGGAGCTGACCACCCCAGGGCCCCCCCGAGGCTGGCCCTGCTGACACCCGGAAGGCGGGTGGCCGGTCGGGCGGGCGTGCGAGGGAGCACTCAGTGCTTCCTCTTCAGCTCCTTCGCGCACCGCACTGATACCGGAGCCGGATGATGACGTCATCTTCCGGCGCCGGCATCCCTACGCGGCGCGCGAGGGAGCTGAAGAGGAAGCACTGAGTGCTCCCTCACGCGCCCGCATGCCTGCCTGACCGGCCACCCGCCCAGCAGCCCCACTGGACCCCAGGAAATCCCCCCCAGCACTCCAAAAGGTAAGGAGGCTGGGGGGGATTACATTTCAAAAAAAACAAACGAGTGTTTGAGTGTTTGAGTGTGTGAGTGTGTGAGTGTGTGAGTGTGTGAGTGTGTGAGTGTGTGAGTGTGTGAGTGTGTGAGTGTGTGAGTGTGTGAGTGTCTGTGTGTGAGTGTCTGTGTGTGAGTGTTTGAGTGTGTCTGCTAGTGTGAGTGTTTGAGTGTGTCTGCTAGTGTGCGTGTTTGAGTGTGTCTGCTAGTGTGCGTGTTTGAGTGTGTCTGCTAGTGTGCGTGTTTGAGTGTGTCTGCTAGTGTGCGTGTTTGAGTGTGTCTGCTAGTGTGCGTGTTTGAGTGTGTCTGCTAGTGTGCGTGTTTGTCAATGAGAGTGTATGTATGTCTGTCGCTGACTGTGTCTCTGTCAGTAAATGTGTGTGTCTGTTAGCTAGTGTGTATGCGTGTGTGTGTGTGTGTCTTCAGCACTTACCTTTCTCCAGCGCCGGACTCCCTTGGCGCTGAGGATCCCTCAGCTCCGAATGCGACCGCGCACGCATTCAAACCGCCCATAGGAAAGCATTACTCAATGCTTTCCTATGGACGTTCAGTGTGCTCCTCTAGCGGCTGTCAGTGAGACAGCCACTAGAGGCTGGATTAACCCTCAGTGAAACATAGCAGTTTCTCTGAAACTGCTATGTTTTCAGCTGCAGGGTTAAAACTAGAGGGACCTGACACCCAGACAACTTCATTGAGCTGATGTGATCTGGGTGTCTGTAGTGGTCCTTTAAAGGACCACTATAGTGCCAGGAAAACATACTCGTTTTCCTGGCACTATAGTGCCCTGAGGGTGCCCCCACCCTCAGGGGCCCCCTCCCGCCCGGCTCTGGAAAGGGGAAAAGGGGTAAAACTTACCTTTTTCCAGCGCTGGGCGGAGAGCTCTCCTCCTCCCTCCTCTTCTCTCCCCCCGGCTGTATGCGCGCGCGGCAAGAGCTGCGCGCGCATTCAGCCGGTCACATAGGAAAGCATTCATAATGCTTTCCTATGGTGGCGTGCTCTCACTGTGAAAATCACAGTGAGAAGCACGCAAGCGCCTCTAGTGGCTGTCAATGAGACAGCCACTAGAGGAATAGGGGAAGGCTTAACCCATTCATAAACATAGCAGTTTCTCTGAAACTGCTATGTTTATGAAAAAAATGGGTTAACCCTAGCTGGACCTGGCACCCAGACCACTTCATTAAGCTGAAGTGGTCTGGGTGCCTAGAGTGGTTCTTTAAGTGTGTGTGCATCTGCATGCACTGGCGTACATACCGCGGTCGCAGGGGTCGCAGCCCTGTAACCCCTGTGACCAGGTGCCCACCGCCATGTGTTGCGGCCCGGCCCGCACGCGGGGGGGGGGGGCACGGATCAGTTTTCGCACCGGGGCCCCATGGGTCATGTGTATGCCACTGGTTACTCCACCAACTGCAGCATTATAAGCCAGCCTGACATTGCTAATGTCAATTCTGTGCATAATTTATGTACCCATTTTCTCCTTTGGGTAAGTCCTTGAGGTTTTTTCATCTAGGATTTTGTATGAGAAATTTTCTTTTTATAAAATCGTAAGCAAACTTTTTCCTTATTGCAAATGCTATCTTTGTGCTGGGACCTTGCATTGAGATCCCAATCAATGTGAGATCCTGTCCTATACCAGCTCACATGAGAAACTTCAATTTCAAACATAATTCTTATTTTATTTTGTGACCTTTTGATGCCTCATTTCCCAATTTGTTTTTGTTTTACTTTTTAAAATGCATTTTAAATATAATTTTCTGTGAATGGCTTGTAGGAGTCGACATAACATGTTTTTATGTTGTGGCTACATAATTTGATTAGAATTTACGTGTCTTCAGCTGGCTGCAGATGTTCTTTTTAAAAATATGTTTTAGAACATTTTTTTTGTTTGTTTTTAATAACCAACTTGACTGTGCTTTAACTGAAAACAAAGTTATTAGATCTTATTTTCTGACACCCTTTTCCTTATAAAAAAGTATCCTTTGGCAATAATTTGGTTTAATTGATTAAAAACAAATGAATAAAGTTACATACAAGTTGTTGTTTTTTGTTTTGTTTTTCCTATTAACTTCTATACCTGTTTGAGTTTCCTTGAATAAAGACCATTTTGTCTGGATCTCCCCATACAAACACCATCAGTTTGTAAACATACTCTGTAATAGCTTTAACCCCTTAAGGACTTGACTGTTTTTGCGATGTTGTATATTTGCGACCAGGCATATTTTTACACTTTTGTGGTGTTTGTTTGGCTGTAATTTTCTGCTCTCTCATTTACTGTTCCCATACAAATTATATATTTTTTTTTCAGGACAAAAGGGGCTTTCTTTACATACCATTATTTATATAATCTCATGTATTTTAATTTAAAAAAAATATGATGAAAAATTTTAAAAAATACATGTTTTTTTGACTTTTACTTGAAAAATCTTTTACTCATCTACAAAAGCGAATGAAAAAAACTGCTAAATAGATTCAAAATTTTGTCCTGAGTTTAAAAATACCCAGTGTTTACGGGCTTTTTTTTTTGCATGTTATAGGGCTATAGGTACAAGTAGGATATTGCGGTTTCAAAACATACATTTTTAAAATGTATCAATAGTGACATTGTAACACTATCTGTCATAAATCTCTGAATAACACCCCACATGTACATATTTTTTTTTAAAGTAGACAACCCAGGGTATTCAATATGGGGTATGTCCAGTCTTTTTTAGTAGCCACTTAGTCGAAAACACTGGCCAAAGTAAGCATTCATATTTGTTTGTGTGTGGGGAAAAAAGTAAAAAAACAAAATTGAACGCTAATTTTGGCCAGTGTTTGTGACTAAGTGGTTACTAAAAATGACTGGACATACCCCATTTGCAATACCTTGGGTTGTCTTCTTTTGCAAATGGTATGCCATCATGGGGGTAATTCTCATTCCTGGGCTACCATACGCTCTCAAAGGCAATGTAACCAACCTGGCCATTTTCAATGTAAAAATATTTGACCCATATATTTGACCCTGTAACTTTCAAAAATGCTATAAAACGTGTACATGGGGGGTACTGTTTTACTCGGGAGACATCGATGAACACAAATATTAGTGTTTAAAAACTGGAAAACTTATCACAACAATTATATCATCGGTAAAAGTGCTGTTTGTGTGTGAAAAATGCAAAAAAAAGTCACTTTCACTGACTATATCATCGCTGTGATATGTTTTACTGTTTTGAATCTCTAATATTTGTGTTCAGCGAAGTCTCCCGAGTAAAACAGTACCCCCCATGTACAGGTTTTAGGGTGTCGTAGAACGTTACAGGGTAAAATACAGTGCTAGCAAATTAAATTCTCTGGACTTTCGGCCTGGGTTGGCAGGCAGGTCCCTCAAATTGCAATCAATAAAATGACTTAATTATGTAAAAATATTACATAAATACGCACGTAGAATTTAAATATATAGGCATATTTATATATTTGAAATCTACGTGTATATTTATATAATTTATGTAATTTTGTATATGGACATATGTATATTTCGTATTTTTATTTATATATATATATACATAGATATATATACAAATTCATTCTAAGTGTATTTTGATATAAATATATATATATATTAATTTTAAAATAGACTAAAATTTCATATAGATATATAATTTTTTTCAATTTTTATTTAAAAAAAATTAATTTAATTTAAATTACTTATTATTTATATTTTATTATAATATATACAATATATAGTTATAATTAAATTACACACGTGTATATAAGTATTTTTATATTAATAAGTACATATTAATATAAAAATACACTTAGTATGACATATATGATATATAGACATATATTATATAAATATAATATGTCTATATATTATATTTTTTTTATATATATATACACACACACACACATATAATTTTTTTTTACTTTTAATTAACATTAACTTTATTTTTTTTATTTTTTTTATTTTACACATGCAGGAAAACTGCCTGTCAGTACAGACAGTCCCCCTGCAGGCAGACACATGGACACCTATTGTGACCATGTGATCGCTCTGAGCGATCACATGTCCACAGGGGTCCTAATTCAGTGTGGGGAGACTGTCTGTCTGGGCTGCAGGCAGTCTCCCCACAACGGGAGCACCGCTGATCGCCGCCAGGGGAACGACGGAGGTCAGGTAAGTAACTAGGACGGTTCAGGACCGTCATCGGTCGGCAATGGGAAAATGCCGATGACGGTCCTGAACTGTCCTCGGTCCTTAAGGGGTTAAATTAGTCCCATTGTTTCAACTGTGCAAGCCAATCATGTAAAACATACATATCCTATAAACCCACACCGTGCTGATCCTGGCACTACCATGGAAAACTGTGAGAGTGCAAGGATTGACTTCCAGCTTCCAGCTACTTTCTAATGTGATGAGGTTTCTTTATTTCACCATGTCTTATATATGTAAAGTATTATTTGTGATCGTCAAACAATCTGTCTGCCAGTGCTCCCATTAAACCTGTGAGGTGAATGAATCCCCATGTAAACCGTTAAAGCAACTTTATCACTTCTGAGTATTTTGTACCTATATAATCTTTATGAAATACTCATGTTGCCTGTGGTGGAATTTCAGTGAAATTTACAGGCAATCCAAAAATACCACTGGACAAAGTAGGAACTGATTTATCTTACGGTAAAATCTAAGGTTGACAAAAGATGCAGCCCTGCCGGTACATGGAGACTCCGTGGTTTCCTAAACCTCAGTGTTGCATTCTCACACCTGTGTGAAGATTGGAAAAGCGTGGCAGTAGCGAGTATGCATACCTTCCATTGGACCTGAAGCAAACGCCCCTAAAAGTGACAGATCTGCTTTAAGGACCTCCACTGTCTTAAAGGAACACAAACCTGTATTCCTGACACTATAGTGCTGAAGTGGCTGTTTAGGTGACTGCCCTCTCTGTCTGTGTAGTGGAACTGGTGATTTTAGTCACATTTTCTCCCCCGCCCCGTCGGTCTTGCTGCGCATGGCTCGGCCTCCGCCTCTTTAGTTTAAGAAGTGCCTTAAAACTCATTTCTTTAGGAAAGCCTATGGCCTCCTAGACTAACCACTACCCCACATACCTGCCTCTTGTCCTCTCCTAAAGGGCAGCGCTCTGCTCCACTCCCACCTAATTTGACTTTTATTCCCTGTCCTAATGTGTCTTATACCCCACCTCCTATAGACTGTAAGCTTGTTTGAGCAGGGCCCTCTTCAACCCTTCGTTTCTGTGAGTTTTCTGTTGGCGCTATATAAATCGTAATAATAAATATGGCTGAGATATCAGTCTTGATTATCTTAGCCAGTCCAATGCTTTCCCATTGAAAGGCAAAATGCCACTCGGCACTAATCCACATCCCCTTATAGAGATGCACTGAATACATGCATGTCTATGAGGAATGTTCAGTGTCTCCTTTCAGGGTGTGGATACTCTAAATGCCACTTTGCAGCATGGACTAAGAAGCACCTCTAGTGACCATCTGAATGACAACCACTAAAGGTGTTAATAGGCAGTAATACAAACACTGCCTTTTCCCTGAAAAGCTAACATTGCAGGGACAGTGTGTCCAGGGACCAGTGGTTTTAGACTATAGTATGTTCAATAACCATTCATTCCATAATCATCATCTTTTCAGTTTCTAAACCACTAAGGGAAATCATAATTATTCATAATCCGTAGTTGTAGAAAACCCAGTTACAAATTAATCAAGCTGATATTCTGGGCCAGAGGAAATGTCTCTAAGATTATGATATTGTTTTTTGCATAACTCAGTCTTCCTTATTAAAATGTTTGGAAAATCAAACTTTTTTATTTTGGCAGCGATTGCTTTATATTTACTTTTTATCCTGTCCTAGGGAACAGAATAACACACCCTGCTATTTTGGAATAACACTAGATAATTGGTTATTTCCAGTTGTTTTTCTTTCTTTTTCCTGAAAAGCATTGTGTTGGCAAAAAGCCACCTAAAAAAAACAAAAACAACCAAAAAACAACAACCCAGAGAGAAAGTTATTTAACCTGTTAGACAAAATACTTCTATTGAAAAAAGAATGTTACAAAAATAAAATGTATCAAGCTGGCGCGGTCCTTCTAGCCTTGAACTGGTTAATGAACAGCTGTTTTGGAGTTCTGTTAAACCTCGTGTGATGTCATTTCCAGCCTGGCCAGCTCTATGATTTGTCATGGTGGGGGGGGTGTTAAGAGTAGTCCATGTGCTGTCCCAGGACCCTGTTTACTTAATACTCTGTGCCAATAAAGGCCTGGTTTAAATAGGACCTCGATGAGACTTCCCAGCCCACATGAGAAAACGATTGCTGTCGAATTTCTTTGTCTGATGAAAGTCTGTCGTGGAGAATGAGACTGCATTATGCCTTTCCTTTTAGGTCTGAGACAGGTACAGTCCTTTAGCCATATGGTCTTAAACCCTGCTAGGGGGAAGGGTGGCGTTGAGGATTTTTTACCTTTTCAAAAAAAAAAAAAAATTTATTTAGGAATTTTTGTTTGTACTTAACTGGATTTATTTTAACAGCAAATATTAACAGCTTCAGAGATGTGTTTTGCTTAGTTTTAACTCTGTGTGTAACAGATCAGTGTCCAGCATATTTTCTTACAGGCTTTATTGGAATGAAAAAAAAATAAAAAAATTCTCACCTCTTGCAGTTAAGGTGGGTGACCTTTTCCCTTTGGATTTCAGGGAGTTAATTTCTTGTCTTTTTTGAATACCCTCTACTATACATTACAGATCTTTACGATCTTTCTTGTTTGACCTTTAAGTTGCACTTCATTAATCTGTTTTGTGTCCCATCTGTGTAAATACCTAAAGTAAGGCCATGCATTTTGCTTGCTGAGCTGAAAACTGACTTGCAGTTCTTAAAAAATAAATAAATTAAAAATAATAAAAAAATATATATTTTACTGTATATGCCCCATAAGGGCGATAGGTAAGGCAAACCCAGTGTATCATGCCTATCCTGGCAAATCCCGCCATGATGGGATCAATGATGTATTCCAATATTGTTATAGATTTTCAGCTTGTGATGCAGTGGTGTCGTTTGCTATCCTCTATTTGTACTTTTTACGCTGATGCAATTCATGTACAGTGAATCTTATTTGTATTTGTCATATTATGCAATATTACCATTCACTGTATGTATATGTATTCAATTAAAGAGAGTCCATAGAACGGTGTCTTGTAAACGTTGTAAAATATACTAAAGTATATTTCCATAAAGAAGTTACCTGTGGTTTTGAGAGATTTTTATTTAATTTTTGCTTTTCATTTTCACATTTTAATTCTAGTTGTTTGTTCTTTGCATCCTGCAGTTTAAAGAACCATTTTACCAATTGAATGATGTTTGGACGTGGTTTTATTTATTTATTTATACTGCAAAAACCTGTACCCTAAAGGATTGAATGCACAAGTCTGCAAACTTTTGATCATTGGTGCTGAAAGGAGCACGTCACAAGATTTTATGTATTTTTTAAAATTTGCAATTTAGTAAATCTAACCCCAGTGAAACATGCATTTATTTATAGGGGTGTATCTAAAAAAGCTGTGCATTTTCTGCCTGCAACCTTTGCATGCCCTCCCCTTGTTTCCCAGCACAGATTTGTCTGATCTGGGAAAATGACAAATCAGAAGCCTCTGATTCTCTGCCGCGCTCTTTTAGCCACATGGTGTGTGGGGGAGGAACAGCAGAGGATGGAGGACCAGAGGTGCAATGAGTTCTGTGGATGCACGCGCATGTGTGCTTGGACTCACGATGACTTGTGGAAAGAGGCACTTTTATAAAGTGCAATTAAGATAGAATACTCCTCTTAAATAAAGCATTCCCGCAAGCGGACATGCTTTGTGTGCAGAGTGTCCCTTTAAGGTGCTAGTTCACCCTTTAAACCATTAATTATGACTAATATCTGCATTTATATAGCACCATTTTATTTCAGAGCACTTGACAATATTAAGGGGACTTTAACAGCAAATGATACAAACTTATTACAACAGGAACGATCGGTTGATGCTGTAAGGGGACTCTTAAATTATCTGAACTGTTTGGTACAATAAAAAAAAACTGCCTTTCATTATACTGAATGTTAATTTGTTTTCATAGATTTTAAATAGAAAATCAGTTAAAGGTAAATGACATGTTTTCCCAAAATAAGACTTTGTGGGGTTTTTTGTGTTCTCTTAAGGCTTACACAGATGACCTGTTTTTGTTATATATTTGTGTGTGTGTGTGTTCAACATTAAATATTTTAAGCAAAACTATATTTTTATTTTATTTTAGTGTGATAAGAGGCCACTATCCAAACATGAAAGTAAACTATTTAAAATCTGTCGCCTCAAAGGCAAAACAGTAGCATATGAACCCTGCTAGTTCCCAATTGGGAATAGGAGCCATGCCAAGTATTTGTCCCGAACCTTCCGTGAACTGCACATCGAGCATGGGGATCCGTTCAAGTCGTACAAGTCTTGTACGTTCAAAACAGCGGCACATCCCATAAAATGCACTTTTCACAATTTACAACACGGAAAAGTGACAGCTAGATTGGGGTGGGTGACTGTATGTGCTCCTTCACACACACCTTTTCAGCGAAAATATGGCAGATTGACAGATATAAGAGAACTTTTCAATGACATTTCTGGATTTGCAGGAAAGCACTTCTTTTGTGGATATAATTTGACTCTGCATTTAGTTTTCTTTTCTTTTCCCAGAAGCTAATGGAATAGGGACAGTGAGATTATGTTTAAATGTGTAATGTGAGTGATCCCAACTCCTGTAAAAATAATCTATAAACAGGGCTAACAGAATACAGGCACAGAACAATCTGTTCCAATGAATTTCCCGTGTTCTAAACCTAGAACATCTTTGTAATGTTATTGGGTTTTTTTTTTTTTTTTACTTTTTACATCCTCCTGTACAGTTTGTGATGGATAGTAAAAAGAAAACACCAGTTGACTAATCCAGAACTTCCAGAGTATAATACTGTGTAAAGCACTATTACAGAAGTAGAGATCTAAATAGAAACAATGCTTGAAAAGCTCTGGAAATCAAAAAAACAAATAAACCTAGACATAACTTAAATTCACCACCTGCTCTGTACAATAAGTCACTCTATGACAGTGTCATCGCAGAAATCCCTGCTAGGGGATTGTGAAACAACCTAAATATGGACATTAAAATACGATAAGTGACTTGTCATTTGCTGTGTGTAAATACCATGTTGCATAAATATAGAATTTTTGTGGTTTTTGGTTTCTTAAAGGAACACTATAGTCACCTAAACAACTTTAGCTTAAAGGACCACTATAGTGCCATGAAAACATACTCGTTTTCTTGGCACTATAGTGCCCTCAGGGTCCCCCTCCCGCCCGGCTCTGGAAGGTGGAAAGGGGTTAAAACGTACCTTTTTCCAGCGCTGGGCGGAGAGCTCGCTGCCTCCGATCCGCCCCGTCAGCTGAATGCACACGCGCGGCAAGAGCTGCGCGCGCATTCAGCCGGTCGCATAGGAAAGCATTCATAATGCTTTCCTATGGACGCTTGCGTGCTTTCACTGTGATTTTTCACAGTGAGAAGCACGCAAGCGCCTCTAGCGGCTGTCAATGAGACAGCCGCTAGAGGAAATTTGGGAAGGCTTAACCCATTCATAAACATAGCAGTTTCTCTGAAACTGCTATGTTTATAAAAAAAATGGGTTAACCCTAGCTGGACCTGGCACCCAGACCACTTCATTAAGCTGAAGTGGTCTGGGTGCCTAGAGTGGTCCTTTAATGAAGCAGGTTTGGTGTGTATAGATCATACCTCTCAGGTTTTACTGCTCAATTCACTGCCAGTTAGGAGTTAAATCACTTTTTTTCTGTTTATGCAGCCATTGTCACACCTCCCTTGGCTCAGATTGACACAGCCTGCATGAAAAAAAAAAACTGGTTTCACTTTCAATCAGATGTAATTTACCTTAAACAATTTAATCACATACAGGAGGCTCTTGCAGGGTATAGCAAGCTATTAACATAGGGGACAAGGAAAACTAAATTAAACAGAACTTGCAATAAAGGAAGGATAAATTGTAGATGACTCTTTACAGGAAGTATTTAGGGAGGTGTCACTAGGGTTCATAAACAAAGTGATTTAACTCCTAAATGGCAGAGAATTGAGAAGTAAAAATGCAGGGGCATGTTCTATATACCAAAACTGCTTCATTATGCTAAAGTTGTTTTGGTGACTAATGTCCCTTTAAGGCATTCATTGTTTGTACCCCTTTGTCCAGCTTCTCATTTATTGTGTTCTTAATGAGCACTGCCTCCTAATTCTCAGCATTTAAAGAGCACCAACATAGATGAAGCTAATTCAGAAACAAACTATTACAAATGTAGACGGGCACCTCTCATGGTACTTATAACCTATTCTTGTTTTAAAGAGCATTTAAAAAAAAAAAAAATCGACATTATGCGAGCAGAAGTGCTAGCAAATATATATATTTTTAAAGAAGATGTAGTTAACAGCACCTGGAATGACGAAGGTTTCTTAACCCTGCGCTAAGCTATGTTGGGGAACACATAAACATAAACCTTTTCAATGCTTTACTGTCGACCAACTTAGGATCATACACCCAAGCGCTTCATGTGATTCTGGTGGGCCAGTAATGTGAAGAGCATCACTGGCTGCACCGAAAGGGGACAGGAAACTCCAAAGGGTTGGCTGGTCAGTCTGGAGTCAGTGTACGCAAGACTGCATGTCAGTCATTCATGCCAGCCCCTATTTCAGTGTTCAGTGCTGTCTTCAGACCTCATAGTGCCCTGAGCATAGTGTGATTGCAGCTAAGGATGTGCTCATGCTATGATTTTTGGGGACGGTTCCCGTGTGTCCCTAAAAGTGGGACCACAGGGAATAAAGTCGGGATGGCTGGACAGGGCTCTAAAGTCTCTTGGCAGCAAACTAAATGTGGAAGTTTCACTAACTGTATCTTCTCAATCAATGACTTGGTTCACATGTATATTATCTATATAAAATATATCAATTGTATACATTAGTTTTGGCATACGTGGCCAAATTACCGTTTATCACCAAACTATGCTGAATCTTTTTTTTTTTTTTGCAGTAATCTTTAAGTTCCTGTAGTGCTTTTTCATCACACACTAACCAAATCATGTCCAGTTCAAATCGTTATTTATTCTAGGATTTTGAAACCTTATTTGAGATTTAGATGCTATGATGAAAGATTTATAACTGTGTTGCTTAATGTCTAAACCAACAGAAACCATCTGATCCATCCACCTTTTCCAATGCCAAAATGAAATATTCTACATTGATTGAAGTTAGAATCTAAACATTGAGTTTGAAATATTTATTTATTTTTTCTCCAGTTTAATTGACTTTTTTTCTTTTTTTTTTTTTTCATTCTCTTTTTCCAGGCTAAGGAAACATGCATGGGGATCAATAATCAAAGCTACATTTGTGAAACCGGTCATTGCTGTGGACAATCTCAGTGCTGTAACTACTACTATGAGCTATGGTGTAAGTAATGAGCATCTCCATACAATACATAAATATCAAAGACTGGGAATATTGTTCACTAAAATATATATACACAATCTGTGAAGCTGACCCTCTGTCATCCTCCCTTTTCTAAATCTTTTAAATTTCCCTTTATCTTGTATTCCTATTACTGTTGGACAAACTCCTAAACTCGCATTTAAAATATCTTCTTTGAATCTCCTCTTTAATGGTCACTTTCTTTAAAGTGAACATGTCATCGGTATAATCCGGTGTGTGTATAGTTACAGCTACTGTCACCAGCAAATTTATATGACTCTTGCTTCCACCTCAACTAATTGGGGGTGGGGGGGTGTGATGTGCACATGATTGCTTCTTGTTTTTTTCTACTTAACCACTACAGTAATGTCATGTAAAAAAAAAAATTAAAAAAAATGAAGCCTTTTCGCTACGTCTGTGTCATGGTAGTTGAACCTCCAATCAATCTATCTCTCTCCTTCTATCAATATCTTAGTGGCGTCAGCTCTGTTACTTTTTCCGGATGGTGCCAGATCATTAAAGTCCTCCTTTCAGCCTTGAATGGGTGCCCATTTCCTAAACCATTGTTCTCTGCACACCTGCTGGCTCTGTTTCCTCACTGCGTCCTTTTCTGAACAATCAAATAGCGTTTCCAGTGGCCTTGGACGCCTTAATGTTAAATTGGCAGAGTTTACCAATGAGTTGACAAAGTAAATAGGTGGAATTGTTTTTTTCATTTCATCTCCTTCTTTATGTAATGGAAATGATAAAGTATTCTTCTGTTGACTGCCCCTCCTTTTTATAGGTTATGGGACGTACAACTTCTGGTCTTCCTTAATTTTATTAAAGGACCTCTCTAGGCACCCAGACCACTTCAGCTTAATGAAGTGGTCTGGGTGCCAGGTCCTTCTAGGGTTAACCCATTTTTTCATAAACATAGCAGTTTCAGAGAAACTGCTATGTTTATGAATGGGTTAAGCCTTTCCCTATTTCCTCTAGTGGCTGTCTCATTGACAGCCACTAGAGGCGCTTGCGTGCTTCTCACTGTGATTTTCACAGTGAGAGCACGCAAGCGTCCATAGGAAAGCATTATGAATGCTTTCCTATGTGACCGGCTGAATGCGCGCACAGCTCTTGCCGCGCGTGCGCATACAGCCGACGGGGAGGAGAAGAGGAGGAGAGCTCTCTGCCCAGCGGTGGAAAAAGGTAAGTTTTACCCCTTTCCAGAGCCGGGCGGGAGGGGGTCCCTGAGGGTGGGGGCACCCTCAGGGCACTATAGTGCCAGGAAAACGAGTATGTTTTCCTGGCACTATAGTAGTCCTTTAATTAGTGTAACCATTATATAGCCAGCTCCCACCTACTTTCGTTCCCTTTCCACCTGTATTTCAACACCATGCATTCATTCCAAGGTTAGTGTATGTTAAAATTACCACTATATATTATATTATAATAATGGTTTATTTGCCCCCCAAAAAATTGAGAGAGCTACAAGTGTTCTTTTAGGGGAGCAATTTGAATATTGTCCAAAATTGGCATTTTTCAACACAACAATTGGTGCTTGCGGCATTTAAGAGGGCAGTTATGTCTTTGGCATTTGCTCAAATTGTACTTTTACGATAACCTTTTTGTCTGAAACATTCGGGCTTCCTTAGACATAAACAAGCTTGACTCCCACTGTTTACAGGTGAACACTGAAGCAGAGGCTGCAGAAAATCGCTGCCTTCAGTTTGGGAGGGCGAAGGAATTTTATTTTTGAAGTTCTATCCTAAGGGAAATGAGGTTGCGCAAACCACATTTTATTTAACTGGATTATTCTGATAAAGCAAAACCTTTTATTGTGGCAGATTCTGCGACTACCAGCTGTTAAAGGACCACTATAGTGCAAGAGCGCGCTCATTCAGCCAGTCCACAGGAAAGCATTATCAATGCTTTCCTATGGACGCAAGCGTCTTCTCACTGTGAAGCGCCTCTATCGGCTGCCAATGAGACAGCCACTAGAGGCTGGATTAACCCATAGGTAAACCTAGCAGTTTCTCTGAAACTATGTTTACAGCAAAAAGGGTTAAACCTAGCTGGACCTGGCACCCAGACCACTTCATTAAGCTGTAGTGGTCTGGGTGCCTATAGTGGTCCTTTAAGTCCACAGTAGGACAATGTCCAAACATCCAATGCTAAATATGTAGCTAGACTTGGTAATGTGTTACGCATTTTTTTTCTTTTACCAAAGCCGCTAAGTTTCATGTTACAGAGATAACATTACGTGCTGCGGAAATGTTGCTTTTACAGGTGCTTTGCAAATACGAAGTGACTCGCCTGCTTTTCTTCCTTACTCTCTGTCCATACAGAGAATCCTTTATTGTGGCCCATTACAGTTCTAATCCTTTCCTTAAGAATATGTGGCAAACAAAAGGCTCTTTGTTTAGCCTCGTAGGCAATGAAATATTAGCTATTTCTCTGAAAATCCAAGAGGTAATGGAAACTACATAAAGCACTAAATTCTTTAAAATGCAAAATGTAGGAAAACACTCTGCATTTACGGTTTATTTTTGCAGCCATTTCAAGTCACTATTTTTTATTTTTAAAAACTGCTAATGTTTTACTTTACTTTTTAACATGTATAATGAGGCAATAAGCCATTGCACGTGCCGCCACCCTCACCGGAGGGGATACTAGGTTACCCTTTTCGGACTGGCAACCGCCTATAAGGCAACAGCAATCTATTCAGCTGCAATGATTTAAGTTTTTATTGTTTGATTTGTTAATTATCACTTTTATGCTTCACATGCCCTCAGACAGCTGACTTTGAGCCCATGCACCTCAACAGAGGACCACTGGGGCTTGAACTCAGTCCCTCAAACTTTTTTTTTTTTTTTGTTTGACAACTTATTTTGGAGACAAGTACAGGTTTGGTAAGATACATAATGCATAATGTTTGTGCAATACAACACATGTGAGTCATCCGTGAGTTTTGAGCCATTGGTTAATCCGTTTTATACAGGGTATAGCTGTTACCACCATAATGTGGATTCTCGTTAAGCATAGTTGATACACTGATCGTGTGTGGTTCAGTCCCTATTCATATTTGGCTCGCTATCGTGTCTGGGTGCGCTGTTTTTGTTTTTTTGGGGGGGAGGACACAATAATGAGAAATTATGGTTAATGCCACAATGTATGAGAGAGTTTAGTAGCGTTTGCTTGTTACCAGATAAGTTGATGATGAAGAAACATGGAGAATGGGGAGTAGGATGAGCTGTGTAGATGAGGAGGAAGAATAAGCGAGAGGAATGTGATGCTGTGGATGGGATGGTATGCACCTGGTCGGTCCCATGTATCTTGTGGTCCGGGCTTTCTACGCCATGCGTCCCCACACCGCGCGATCAACCAGGGTCCCGTGAGTGCAAATGTAATACCGCCATGATATCCACATAATTTCATACTGGACAAGGCGGCCAATCCACATAGCTATGCTTTCTTCATATTTGTGGATCTCCTCGACTCTCTCCATCCAAGCCTGAAACAAAGGAGGTTCCGGTCTGTGCCAATTTGTCGGAATTGGGTAACGTGCTGCTGATAAGTGTTTACATAACATCTACTTGAATTTGGAGAGGGGAAGAATGGTGCAGTTTAAGAATATGTCTGCTGGATGAAAACGTATTCCTTCATCTGCTACTGCAGTTATTGTATCATGTATAATTTTCCAGTAAGGAACCAGAGAGGGGCAGTCCCAAGAGATGTGGAAGATCGACACCCTTGGCCAACCACATCTCCATCAGAGATCTGGTACATTTGGGAGGAATCTATGCAATTTTTGTGGTGCATCATACCACTGTGTTAGAATCTTGTAGTTTCCTGGAATCTTATGCTTTGAGAGCCCTGTCATTGTCTTCTGCCACTTTGAGTCTAAATAAGTTTCCTGAAGAGCCTCATCCCAATGTTCCTTAAACTTGAGTGCAGCTATATGATCAGATGAGGTTGGCAACTGGTATGTGGACATGCCACAAAATAGTGATTCTCCTTTTGAGCAGAGTTCCTCAAAAGGTTGAGGTGGTTGCTGTAAAGTTCAGTTGGTATAAATGGTTGTAAAGTGGTTGCTTCAGTGTGAGATGGTGGTATAGAAATGTTGAAGCTGATGAAATGTGAATCGTTTCATTGGTGTTGGGCATCTGTCTGGCAGTAGTTCTTGCAGTGGAGATAGCTGCCCATCTTGACCCAGTCTTGCAATCTGGATAAATGGGTTGCTCCCTAATTATGCAAAGTTATGTTTTTAAAGACATTGTGGGAACTTTGGGTTATCTGTTACCTGGAACTAGTATTTTTTTTGTTTTTTGTTATGTTTGTTTTTTTGCTGCTTTCAACAAACTTTCCTCTTTTACAGTGGAATGCTCGGAGATGCTCTGTAAATCTGTTTTTCATTGGTTGCTGAAAGAACAGTCTCTGATGCTCCTTTTATTATTTACATCTACGTTTGTTGTTGAAGGTCTGAACATTGTGATGTCATTCCAAGATGGTCATCTCAGCACTGAAATGCTTATTGGTCTTTTGTCTAACCGAGCTATAGTTATATTTCTAATTTAGCTGTAATTGTCACTTGATGTCATTTTGGTCTTATGGGAGTAGTCTTAAACTGGCTAATTGAAGGAACGATCACTTCTCTGGAATTTACACCACTAAGTAAAACATTGAAATTTTGCCTATAACTTGAGCTCCCACCCCCATTTCGCAAAGAAAGGGTTTAAAACTTTTTTTTTTTTTTTTGCTCACCTTGTTCCAGCGCTTACGTCTCTTCCCCAAGTGACGTCACGGAGGAGGCAAGGCCTCCTTTACCAATGTCCAATCCAACTCTTCTTGTAGAGGAGCATTGAGGACCTAATGCGCATGTGCACACATTTAAACTCCCATAAGAAAGCTTTTGAGTTCCGATTGGGTTCTGTGTCATGTGACTGAGTTTTACTCGGTTTGTGCAGCGAAAGCGCCTCTGGTGGCTGTCATATTGACAGCCACCAGAGGATGACTTAAAGGACCACTATAGTGCCAGGAAAACATACTCGTTTTCCTGGCACTATAGTGCCCTGAGGGTGCCCCCACCCTCAGGGACCCCCTCCCGCCCGGCTCTGGAAGGCTCTCCTTGATGTGCCTACTTGGCTGACATCAGAAGTGGTGTTCTGAGCCAAAAGGAAAACATTGGATTGGCTGAGACTGTCAAGGAAGCAGATCAGGGGCAGAGCCAGCACAAGCCAAACACAGCCCTGGCCAATCTGCATATCCTCATAGAGATGAATTGAATCAATGTATCTCTATGAGGAAAGTTCAGTGTCTGCATGCAGAGGGTGGAGACACTGAATGGCAGTGCTGCTCACTGTGCAGCACTGTCCTAGGAAGCACTTCTAGCAGGCATCTGAGGGGAGTGGCCAGTGAAGGGATCCCTCGGTTGTAATGTAAACACTGCATTTTTTTTCTGAAATAAATGTGTTTACTGCAAAAGGCCTGAAGGGAATGATTCTACTAACCGGAACGAATACAATTAGCTGTAGTTGTTCTGGTGACTATACTGTCCCCTTTAAGTTTCTCAAAAACTGCAATGTTTTACATAATGCCCGTGTAATGCTTACATTTTTCTTTACGGTCTCACTGTTTCTAAGTTGTTTGTAAAAGACCGATTCACATTCACCATTTGGTGCGCTTTTTATTTTTTATTTTTTTTAATTCAAACGTTTTAAGAAACCGAACGCACGCGGAAGGGATTCCTGGACCTGATGTGTGTGGCGGTGTCTTTTCTCTTACATCATATGGTTTCTCGTCTCATGACTCACTTCAAAGTGCTTTCTGTAACAACAACGACTGGGTTTTATTAAAACAAGATTAAATATCATTCAACGTTTTCACAGCCCAACAGAGGATTTTCCTACTTTGCTGTTTATTATTTCAGCTTATTTAGGTCTTTACTTGTCCTGGCTTACTGGAAAAGTGCAGATTTCAGAGGAAATTTTAATTTAAATGGACTCCCGGATTTAGACACTTAAAAAAAAAAAAAAAAAATTAAAAAAAAAAAAAAAATTTTTTTTTTTAATTCTATACATGAAAATATGCTTTAATTGATTTTAAACAACAAGCAAACTAGGGGTCTCCCTAAACAACAAGCCAGTAAACATGCAAATCTATACACAAGGGGTCAACTCCAGCCAAAATTAGCTTTTGATTTTTTTCTTCCTCTCCCTCCATCTCCTCCCCCCCCCTCTTTCTTAGTGTTACCAGCCAGTCAGATCTGCCAAACCCAATGAGTTCTTTAAAGCAGCTTTGCCACATCTCTCCCCCTAACAAAAAACCAAATGATTATTTGATAAAGATAAAATCTTCACCATTATCTGATTGAAAAAAAAATCCTCTTAGCCGCATTCCAAATCTCCTTCACATGTCCATACAACTCTCCAAACATAGGCTCTTTGGATGACCATAGCATGGAAAGGGGTTAAAATGCTTTGGTAGGGACATGAGAATAAAAGTTGAGGGTTATAGACATTCTCACCATAGCATTCTAACAGTTGTCTTTATATCAAGGGGATCTGATAGTAGGCTGGCGCTCAGAACCAGGCATCTACTTGAAAACCATGATGCATAAGAAAATATAACCAGTAGGTTGGAGCTTTAAGCTACACCACGGACGTTCCTGTTTTGCTCATAACAGGAAAGCTAGGTGATTGTGCATGTGTTTTATAAATAGAGTAGAAATACAAGTAAATGATCATTAACCAAACAAGTCTATTAAAGGGAAACTGTAACCACTCAACTTGGCCTCTGCTCCCCCTGCCAAAATCTCACTAGAGAGGTCAGTCTAAGACAGAAGCATGGCTTCCGAACAAGCCCTTTCTAGTTATGTTTGAATTGGTTTTTTTTTGTTTTGTTTTTATGGCTCACCTTTCAGTTGCCTTATGCCAATATCCTGCTTTTAAAAATTAAATTTAAAAAAAAAACAAAAAAAACAGGACCAAGCATTCCAGTTCTTCTATTCTTGCTTTTGCTTTTGCTTCCACGACTCTAAAGGTCATTAGGTATTTGTTTATTTACAGGGGCCATAATTGTGGCGAATCAAAGAAATGGCAAATATTGGTCCTAAAGAACGGATCTGTAAAAGTAGCTAAATTTGAAGGATTTTTGTAGCAGGGCTATTTTGACCAGAGCTTTATGATTCTCTGGTCAATACCATGCTTTGTTGAGCAACCTTGTAAGTGTATACTATGTATATCTATATAGGGAACATAGAAACAAAATCCTTTCAGAATTCTATACTCTATTTTCTCCTTGGTTTTTCCTTTTTTTTTTTTTTTATAAAGGTCAATGCTGAAGCATGGCAAAGCCTTTTTTGAATAGGCAGAAAGTTCCGATCTTGGCAGACCATTTTATTTTTCTCTCTTTTTTTTTTTTTTTTTTTCCCCTTGTAACACAATCTGTCCTTAAAGTCGTGGGAGTGGCTCCTTTAAGCACTGGGATCTTTATCCCCCCTCTATGGTGGGTGGGGAAGGTATTTTAGATGAACCGTCCTTGTAAACAAGGCTTTGACTGTTCCAGATGTCTCCTAAAAGTCAGCAAAATATTTCCACTGACTATAAACACGTCGCTCTGGATTACATATATTTTCTTGTTTTTTAATGTGATCAGCAAGAATTAAAGTCCCTTTCATGTGGCAGGGATTAAAGAATATGATATGCCAGCAGGTGGGCAGTCTGCGGGTAAAAGTAGATGCAGTGCTTAATACGGAAGACATTTCTCCTCCTCCTCTAGGAATAAAAATCTTCTAAGGACACGATGTAGAAAAGGAATGCCACATATTTAGGTGAAATGTTAGCTCTGGCTCTTTGGGGCCCAAGCACTGTACTTCTGCATTAATGGGGAATTTTCACTTACCAGGATTTTGAATATTGTGTTTACTTGTCCCTATAGTTCACACCTCTCAAAATTCTAAAATAAAGCTAATTACTCCATTTTATTTCCCCCGAGCGCACCAGTCTCACTACAGCCACCTTTCTTCCTCTGGTTGAGGTCATTAATACTGATATCAGCCAATCCAATGCTTCCCAGTGGTGCGGGGGCTAGTTCGCAATGAGCCAATGGGTATCCTCTCCTACAGATACATTGTCTCGGTGAAGAGCATAGTGACTGAAAAACCGTGGGAACTAGGGAGCTATCTACTACATGGATTGGAATTTCATTCATTTGAATGAAATTAGAAAAACCGACCTAAAAGTACAGTGTGTCGTCTTTACATGAATGAACAAACTGTTCTCATTCTGTTGGACGAAATTTGGTAGTTTCGCCGTCTTTCTGTCTAAAATAACAGGACGTTCGGGAAAAGTGAAAGGAGGCATCGCGAGATCATGGAGGAAAGGTGTGAATTGTGGGAAATTGCTCTGACCACAGGAAATGGAGCACACTTTGCTCCTCCGCTGAGCATAGCTGGTCAGGCATAGGAAATCGACATAAAAAACAGTCCCTACTTTTGTCTTATCTTTTAAAGACAGCTGGAGCAGACAGTAAGAAATGAACAGATCCTGGGAGAGGGAGAGAAGAGGAAGCGATTAGGGAAAGGTAAGTTTGGCATGACCGTGCCGCTTTAACGGTGACTTGGTGTAAAATCCAGAGAAGTGACTGCTCCCCTGCTAATTGTGCATACCTCTTCTCGGCTATTAAAGGCCAAGTTCATGTTTTCATATCATTGAACTTAATAATCCACTAATTAACTAGTATGTTAACTGTACCTCTTTTTTTTTTTTTTTCTTTTTTTTTTTAAACTTTGGCCTGTAATTGTGTTTTACCCCTTTGTAGCGTGTATCTAATGCATTAACCACATAGAATGTGACGGCAGATAGGAACCATTCGGCCCATCTAGTCTGCCCAATTTTCTAAATACTTTCATTAGTCCCTAGTCTTATTTTATAGTTAGGATAGCCTTATGCCTATCCCACGCATGCTTAAACTCCTCTACTGTGTTAGCACCTACCACTTCAGCTGGAAGGCTATTCCATGCATCCACTACCCTCTCAGTAAAGTAATACTTCCTAATAATAGAAACATAGAATGGGACTGCTGGTCTGGGTGTAGGCAGGGTTTTCTGGTCAAGACACTTTTAGATATTTTTTACGGCTGCATGTCATGAATTAAAGCTAATGGTAAGTGAAACTGGCAAACGGCCATCGTTGCAAACCACACCAAATGTATCTAGTGCTCGCGTTGTACACACACAATTTATAATTGACAAGTATACATGTGTGTGCATACATAACGCCTGCTGTTATCTAGCCTTCAAACATTCAGGGTGAAATGGTTTGGGGGAGTGGGGGTGAGGGCGGGTGGGAGTCACATATTATGTAACGTTCACTGTGTAACTTTCTCATATGACCAGGCTGCCAAACACTTTACCATTGAGTGCCGGGTAGAACTTCTTGGCAAACTACTTTAAATGGCTTGAGGAAAAAAAAAACGGGAACGGCATCTAAAGCCTCAATGCACTAGAACCACTTCAATGAATCTCTATGAGGAAAGTTCTGTGTCTGCATGCAGAGGGAGGAGATACTGAATCACAGGATGCTGTGCACAGTGCTGCCATGTGCTCTGCTGACAGCAGATTTGAGTGGATGGAGGCATATTATGCCTCCATCAACTCCGAAGTCCCTCTGGTTCACTCTGAGTGACTGCAACTGAAGGTGTTCCTAGCTTTCAATGTAAACACTGTATTTTCTAAGAAAATACAGTGTTTACATGAGAGGCTGCAGGGAGCTATAGTTCTCACCTGAACAACCTCATTAAGCTGAAGTTGTTCAGGTGACTATAGTGTCTCTTTAAATAAGTAGGTTTGAATGGCTGTTACTTTGCATAAATCTTAAAGGACCACTCTAGGCACCCAGACCACTTCAGCTTAATGAAGTGGTCTGGGTGCCTGGTCCTTCTAGGGTTAACCCATTTTTTTATAAACATAGCAGTTTCAGAGAAACTGCTATGCTTATGAATGGGTTAAGCCTTCCCCCTAATCCTCTAGTGGCTGTCTCATTGACAGCCACTAGAGGCGCTTGCGTGCTTCTCACTGTGATTTTCACAGTGAGAGCACGCAAGCGTCCATAGGAAAGCATTGTAAATGCTTTCCTATGCGACGGGCTGAATGCGCGTGCAGCTCTTGCTGTGCGTGCGCATTCAACCCAGGAGGAGGATCGGAGGCGGAGAGGAGGAGGAGAGCTCCCCGCCCAGCGCTGGAAAAAGGTAAGTTTTTACCCCTTTCCCCCTTCCAGAGCCGGGCGGGAGGGGGTCCCTGAGGGTGGGGGCACCGTCAGGGCACCATAGTGCCAGGAAAACGAGTATGTTTTCCTGGCACTATAGTGGTCCTTTAAATACTTATTCCAGCAAACCTTTGTTTCCATATGTCTGTCTCTGAGTTCTTTACTCTACGCGCAGTAGCCATCTCATGTTTTTAGTGGGTTTTTAATGAGTAGTGTTTTAATGCTGTACCTCATATTTTTGTTAAAGCATTTTCAAGTGGTTTGACAGAAAAGGAGACTGTCTTGGTACCCATAACACCCTCTGTTGCTCCAAAGATAATGAGGAAATCAATGATCTTCAGAATTCACAACCTGGCACTTTCTTAAAGATCATACAGTTAAAAGAAAATAAACTCTGCAATATCTCTACTGCAGCACAGGTTCTGTGAGAGCCCTGGGTTTTGTCAAATCATTAGACAAAACAGAGGGAGTGACATCAAAAACTCATTATACCATAACCACTACAATATGCAGTCGTTGGTGGTGGTAGTAGTATGGTGCTTTAGTGCCCCTTTTTAAAGGGACAATATAGGTGCCAAAACAACTTTTACTAAATGAATCAGTTGAGGTATAGATCATGGCCCTGCAGTTTCACTGCTCAATTCTCAGCCATTTAGGAGTTGACTTGCTTTCGTGTCTGTTTATGCAGCCATAGCCACACCTCCCCTGACTGACTGAAACAGCCTGCATGAAAACCAAATGGGTTCATTTTCAATCAGATTTTAACTTACTTTAGACTTTTTTATATCATTGACCGTAGATTGACACCCAGGAGGCTCCTGTAAGGTCTATCAAGCCATTAACTGTGCAGGAGATTAGAAATTCTAAATTAAATAGAATGTGCAGTAAAGGAAGTCTTAAACTTTGGCTATCACTTTACAGGAAGTGTTTAGGAAGGCTGTGCAACACAGATGCAGGGAGGTGTGACTAGGGCTGCATAAACAAAGTGAATTGTTTTGGTGCCCATATTGTTCCTTTAAGTAAATTTGAATAGATGGATATTCACTCATTTTATATTCTTAATACGCTATCCTGAGAGATATCGGTCAGATATATCTCTGTAAAGTAAATAAATTAAACCCTTTTGCATTGGTAGGATTATATATCTAATTTTCCCCCCCTTTTTCATAGGGTTTTGGCTGGTCTGGACAATAATTATAATCCTGAGCTGCTGCTGTGTGTGCCATCACCGCCGTGCCAAGCACCGCCTACAAGCGCAACAGAGGCAGCATGAGATTAACTTGATTGCATACCGCGAAGCACACAGTTACTCATCGGTGCCGTTTTATTTCCGTAAGTTATCCGCAGCAGCTCGTACCTTTTATTTGCTATAAATAAAGAAACAAAATTCGAATTCTTAGAGCAACACTTGCTTTCTGTCAAATGCTAGTAAGGCATCATGGTAGGAGCTGCTTGAAAAACTGCTAGGTGGGAATCTTGTTTGGTCACCACTAATCCAAAAATGTATCCGTATTGCTTTGATTTTAGTTAACCTGTGTCGGTAGCTGAAATTCCTGGCCGAATCTGGTCATCTTGAGACCGAATTCAGAATACACAATTTACAGGACAGGTCCTGGTTTTGTTCATTCTGTGTTATGAGTTTAAATGCTCACTTATGGTTTCTCTTGAGTTGGGTGCTTCTCTTCTCTGTCCTTTACAACTCTCTAACATCCTGACTGAGCTTTCAGGACGAAGAGCCATAAGACAGAGTAGTCCGCACCCTACTACCATAACCTTAAAACAGGGTGTATTGGAAAACAAAAATGGACAGAACTAGGACAATAATTTTAATATAGAAAAACTCTTATCGTTTTTGTTTGTTTTTTTTGTGTTTTTTTTACACTTTCTAAAATGTGTTCCTGTTTATTGTGCTTTACATATAAGGAACGCTAGTGTCACGTACAGAAACATGTATTCTTGACACTATAGTGTTATACTAACTATTAAGGTCTCTGGCTTCCCTTAGATCGCATAGAAAAGGTGTTTAAACTCGCCTTTTTTTATTTTATTTTTTTGCATCAGCTAGCTCTCTCAGTAGTTGAGATCACACTTGATAATCTCAGCCAACCCAATGCTTTCCCATAGGAAACCATTGGGAGGCTTTTTTACGCATGCATGGTAAAACACTCTGCTGCCAATCAGTATCTTAACAAAGACATGCAACTCTATGGGGAACGTTCACTGCCTATATGCTGAGTGTGGGTATGCTAAATGCCATTGCTGCACACTATGCATCACTGACACAGGAAGCACCTCTAGTGGCCATGTGAGTGTCTGCCAGTAGAGGTTTTCCTAGGCAGCAATGTTAACACTGCCTTTTCTCTGAAATGGCAGTGTTTACATTAAAATGCCTATTGAGGCAGGCTTTAGACACCAGAACCACTACATTAAGCTGTAGTGGTGTGGTGAATATAGTGTCCCGTTAAGCATAATTTGATCTCTTTTCTTGAATATATTGTAAGGGGAAATCAGAAACCTAACTAATACTCAGGGCTTAAGGCATTTTTTTGTGCTGACTGTCTTATCGACCCAGTTCCACAAACACTTGGAAACCTCTTAATACTTCAATCGTGTTAGTAAAAGGGAAAACTATAAAATAATTGTTCCTCTGTTGTGAGGTCTGCATTATAATAGTCTTACTAACCTGTGTATTAATGGTGCTGCAATGACGACGCACTATTATAGCGTTGCACAAATGATACTAGATGGAACAGTTTTGATGGTGCTATATTTAATGCATGCATAAAACCCTGCCTGTGGTTCATGGAAAGATATTTAAAAAAATATATATTCCAAACCTTCTCATACACCAACCCTCGCTTCTTCTTCTTTTTTTAATTTATTTATTCTCTTTGGTTCTATAGGATTTTTGCCAAACTACTTGCTACCTCCTTATGAAGAAGTGGTGAACCGACCACCAACACCACCCCCACCGTACACGGTCTTGCATCAACAATGTGTTATTGCGTGTTCCAGCACAGTAGCCGCAGAGCCTTCACTTGGTGTCCAGCACAGTCAGCCCAGTTCTCCAGCAGCGTCGAGTGCAAGCAGAACAAGACCGCCCAGTGTTGTAGATTGTGAGCCTGCAACAGCATGTCTAGAACGAGCATCAAACAAGAACAGTTTTGGCTCAGGTGACCCGGTCACTGGTGCCGAGTTAGAAGAGTTGGAAGATCAAGTGTCCTTTCTAGAGAAAGAATCCAAAGAACTTTTCAAAGACTATAGCTCCGAAAGCTTAGATCAGAATGGCTTTTCTGATGGTATGGACAAAACTCCTGGACGACATCGGAGGTTCACTGGAGATTCTGGCATTGAGGTTTGTGTTTGCAGTAGAGGTCACCATGATGACTTAAAAGAGCTTGATGGTTTAATTGATGATGATGCGATGGACAGCTTCTGTGACAGCTGTACTTCGTATGAAGCCCAGCCTCGTAGAGATGAAGAAGAAAGTATTTTTGACCACTCAGAGCGGTCAAGAGATCCTGAGCACCATCCTTTGCCACGTCAACCCATAAGCTTGTTAAATACCATCAATGAACAAGACTCTCCAAACTCTCACAGCAGCAACAGTTCCCGTGGCTAAATTAAGCCCAATAATGCTGAACAAATATTCATTAATGACTGTTCCACCTGTCTGTCTAATTTTTTTTTTCCGATGTTATGTACATTTAAAGAAAACAAAATAACAACTTGGGAAATGCTCTACCAAAGCTGAAGGGAGCTGCTGCCAATACGGTGTCCAATGCTTCAAATAAAGCCTTTATCCTTGGGCTTTTGCCAACCGGGACTATGGCGGTGGACTAGAAAGTCTAAAGGGAGAGTGGTAATGACTTAAGAGCAAAGGAGGAGACTGCAGACTACTGCATGACTAGGGTTTGTGGTCTGCAGATTTCAGTCTTGTGATGTGAGACGTCAGTTTCTAGAGGCACTGGATTTCTATATATAGATCTAGATGTATGGAGCCTTGTATCTAGATATATCTATATATTTAAGTCGGTGTTGGCGAAACTGAGCCAACTCAATGGGGGCACCTGTCGTTCATATTCTACAAAGCTCACTTAAGAGTTTGCTTGCTCTTAGGAACAGCTGATACGTAGGAAAAAAAAAAAAGAGAATACTTGTGTGTTATTTACAAACTGTTGGCTGTGTTAACAGCTAACGTGTTTGTGGAAGAGCTCAGTGTAGGGACAGAAGCTCTTCTGGTTGTGAATGTGGTATGCTTAATTGTAAACAACATTAACATGTAGTACAAAAAATATATTATTTTAAAAGTGGACAACCCCAAATGGGGAACAGACTCCTCAGTTTCATTTATTTTGCAAACATTGGCAAATTCCTCCCCTTTTTTAAATTTTTTTAATTTTATTTATAATTTACCCCCCTTGCTCGTACCAGAGCAATCATAATGGGGGCATTTAAACGAGTCCCCACTTGCAGCTGGCCTGCTTGTACCATTGTACGCAATTGGAAAATTGCGATTTAATTATTTTAATTTTTTTTCTGGACAAGCTTTTAATCCAGAATAATAACCATGAGATTTTTTATTTTTATTTTTTTTTGGTGGGCGGGGGGTTTCCAATAAAATAATCTTGTGCCCCTTTATGTCTTGTGCAAACAAGCTTCTACTTTCATGGACTTTTTGTAATCGAGATCTTGAAACATTTTGAGCAGTATTTGTTTGTTTATAGTTACATAAAAAAAAGTACTTCAATGCAATTTTTTTACACTGACCACTTGAAGATAAAGAAATATATATATCTGAATAAAAGTGAAACTTGTGGTCATATGGTAATCATGCTTATAGGAATGCATGCATGTAAGAGTGTGTATTTCATAAGCTCACCGAAATGTTACTTCCTGATTGCATTCATTAGTTTTTGGGGTTTTATGTTTTTGGTTTTTTTTTGTATGTGTTGAACATTCCCTTAACTGATGTGGGAATTATTTGTTTGTTGTAAATTTCCAGAAAGTATGTACATTCTGTCAACCAAAAAGTAGAAATTTGGGAAACTAGGTAAACCTTGAGATTGGCTCAAGCAGAGTCACATGTGGAATGTTAGAAACTGTGCAACACAGAGTGCATCATGTATAGAGCAAGGATTGCTCTTTCCACAGGAATTTTTTTTCTGAATATTTTTTTTTTTTTTTTATACAACAAATGTGCACTTCTGATATGCAACCGAAATGTCTTTGTGGCAACTTTGATCTTGACAATTATCTTGCACTGGATTTTGTCATTTGTTTGCTAATTAAAAAAAACCTTAATTGCATTGCTGTTCTGTGTGGTTGAAACTCTACTCCCAAGTGTGTACTGTGTTCCTAAAGCCTATGTTTTGAAGTTACTTGCAACTCCATTCAGTGGAGCCTATTTGGGTTATTCACTTAAGTGTGCATTGTTGCAAAGTTCACAGTAAATTTTATTTAAATTTTAGCAAGGAATGAATTACTATTTTAACACTAAACATTTTCAAAAATGTCTTATTTGGGTACTATACATTTAAAGGGGCATACTATGGTGTCGTCCAATTGTAAGGAGTTAAATGATTTCACACTTACCAGGATCCCTCATGCACCGGATGTCCTTCCAGTCTTCCAGTGATATCATCAAAGCAAACGTTAAAGCACTACTTTAGCAATATCAATTTTTCCCTTCCAGGATTTAAAGTTTGCTTGTGTTGGCATCCAACACATTTTCAACCATTGATTGGCCAACATCAATGTTGCTAAATATAGACATTGCCTTGGTTGAGGGTTTTATCCTGCAACTATGGCCGGGGCTGTTCACTAATAATTCGATGTCTAGGGCATCACAAGGAAAACTCAGTCGTCCTGTTACCAGTGAGACCTGTGATTATTGATAATTGACAATATGATTATAAAGAGCCCATTGTAGACTAGATAAACTGGACTGAGAACATAAACGAGTAGTTTTATGATATCCTGAATTAAGCTGAGCTGCTATCCTGTGCAGTAATAGCTCTATTTGTCCATGTACACCAGCAACTGCCCTAAAAGCTACAGCCATAAATACAGAGTTCTGTGCATAAAGCTTCCCGAAATCACAGGTCTCACTAGTACCAAGGCAATGCCAATATTTAGAAACATTGATTTTGGCCAATGCTGGATATCATTTACTGGTTGAAAATTTATTGGATGCCAACATAAGCAAACTTAAAAGTAAATCTCTTTAATTTGGAAAAAAATTTAGCTTTGTAACTAAAATGCTTTGTTCCTTTTATCAATTTTGTAGCTCATCTCTGCATTTTTTCTAGCGCCACGATATCCTTCTTTAGATCAGGTGCCCAAAATCGCACAGCATATTCATGGTGTGGTCTTACCAGCGATTTATAAAGAGGCAAAATTATATTTTCATCCCGAGAATTTATGCCTTTATTTTTATTTAGTTTGTATTTTTGCAGTGCATAAGGTTATAACATACAGGCTTGAGGTACCCCAACGGCAATCCTCAGGCATAGCATCCCGTAGTAAATTCAGGTTAATAAAGAAGACATTCACAATATTTATAATAGAAACAGGTGTGAATAACATGCACTACACAGGTTAACTCAAACATATCCAGCTGTTAGTTATAACTATGGCAGAGTATAGAGGCATTAACCTGACTTGACATGCTGGTTACTACAATTCGTCGAGTGTATGGAACACGCTTATGTATGACGGGAATGCAGACATGTAGCACAGTAGGAGAGTTTGAAAATGATAAATAGCTCGCTAGCTTCACTGTATAACTTCTTAATTCAAGATATAAAACAGTGAAAAAGAGTAAGAGCTAAATAACAATTGGGGCAGCAACCCTATAAGGGAATCCCTCAAAGACCCTTAAAGGGACACTGCAGGCACCCAGACCACTTCTGCCCATTGGAGTGGTCTGGGTGCCAACTCCCACTACCCTTAACCCCGCAAGTGTAATTATTGCAGTTTTTATAAACTGCAATAATTACCTTGTAGGGTTAACTCCTCCTCTAGTGGCTGTTTACTAGACAGCCACTAGAGGGCACTTCCTGGTCTTATAGCACATGTTTTGAGGACCTCCAGCGTCGCTAAAATCCCCATAGGAAACCATTGAAAAGCATTTTCAATACTTTCCTATGGAGAGGTCTAATGCGCCTGCGTGGCATTGCCGCGCATGCGCATTGGGTCTCCCCCGCCGGCAGGCGGGATCAGTCTCCCCCGCCAGCTGACGTGATGAAGGGGAGGAGCGTGAGCGGAGGAAGAAGCAGCGACGTGGGACATGTCGCTGCCTCTGGTAAATCACTGAAGGGCTTTTCACTCCTTCAGCAACCGGGGATGGTAGGTGGGAGGGAGAGGGGACCTTCAGTGCCAGGAAAATGGATTGTTTTCCTGGCACTGGAGAGTCCCTTTAAAAAAACAAGAGAAATATAGGAGATAAGGGCTGTGCCAGAGAGACTTTATATCAAACAGTAATAAAAGATAGTCCAAATAAGATTCTTATCTGAAAAGCTCTTATTGGGATCACAGTCTATAAGGTGCTTGGTCAGGAACAATGTCCTCATCCATGTGGATCCAATCATATGCAAGAGATAAAACAAATAGAGAACCAAATAGTGCAATATGTCCTGTAATACACCAAAATAAACATAAAAAGCTGGTATAAAACTCACATGTACAAGAGCTATAGCTAGCTCTAGTATGAAAGGCGTACAGCTGTATAATCCCCGCTTATTATAATGGGATATGGGGTAAACTTCCTCATGTTAAGACAAGTAAGAGAAACCGGCATCAACATAATATTTAGTCAATGGTTGCTGGGAGCCTGGGTGATACTTCACCGTGAAGTAAGGAGGCCTACAGCTTTATTTTGCCAAGTCTGCAGCTTGTGTCTGAAACCTCTCTGACCAGCTGTCACCCGATACGTTTGCTGACTATCCAAGTTTTTTATGGAGACGTCCTGGAAAGTCCACGCTTGGTCGCTCCTCCAGCCCTGGGCCGTCTCTAGAGCCTCTGTGCGAACCCCACTGCTCCAGTTTCTAACGCCACCGTAAGCATGGTCTTGGTGAGATGCTGTTGCTGCTTGCGCTCGTTGTTGCTCCTGCTGAGGGTGTAGGTCATGCACCAGGGTTGTCTCCCTTCGAGTTCTCTATCCTGAGAGCCAGTAGCGAGCGTTGGGCAATTCAGGGCAGGATGTGGCTTTCAGGCGTACCTCCTTCTTCTCCCCCGGCCTCTTTGGTCTGGGGGCTGATCCGGTGCTCCGAGGACTGCTAGCCACGTGGTGTGGGCGGCAAGGGTCTATGCCCCTCAGTCTATGCCATAGCTTTCACCAATAGACGCTGAAGACTGTGTCCCGCGGCTGGTCGAAACCTTCCAGCATGCCTTGTCGTCATGGTCAACGCCACCTCTTGGCTCAAGCCGTGGTATAGTGCAATGTTTCAGGATCAGGCGAGTTCCCTGGTTTCACTTGTTGGTAATATACCTCACCGGGAGAGGTGACGGGGGTCACAGGCGACACAGCGTATTCCCGCAAGATCTGCCGCCATTCCTGTGCTTGAAGCGGTCCCAAAACAGAAGCCTGAGGGACACCACTTACCACTTTTGTCCAGCTTGAAAATTTACCATTAATGACAACTCGTTGTACTCTATCCTTATGCCAATGTTCTACCCAAGAACAAGAATATTCATCTAGACCAATTTCTTTTAGTTTGAAGACTAACCTATTGTGAGGAACCCTATCAAATGCTTTGGCAAAATCCAAGTAGATCACATCCACTGCAACACCCTAATCTATACTTCTACCTACTTCTTCGTAGAATGCAATTAGGTTAGTTTGACATGACCTATGTTTCATAAAACCATGCTGATTATTGCGAATAACAAAGTTCTTCCCTATGAATTCCTGAATATTATCCCTTAATAGCCCTTCAAATATTTCCCCAGTCACAGAAGTAAAGCTCAGGATGTGTTACTCCTTGCTCTAAATTACATTTTCAGTTCCAAAAATGGTTTTCAGGCTCTCATGAAGTTTTCTAAAATGTCCTGTAATAACCCCCCTGAACACACCTTCTAAAGTGAAAGTGTAACTTTTTGGATATATGTAGTTTTGATGGGAGGTATGCTTACAGTATTTCATGGAATGGATCACAGTGCTACAAATACACCCTCAATGTTCTAAAATTCTGGAAGAGATTAACAGGTTAAAAAGGAACGGTTTCTCCAAAGAAGGGTGACTAGGCTGTTGACAAGCAGTTAATAGTCCAAACGCGCTTTCTGCAGTTTAATTGAAATGTAGTGGTAATGGTGTCTAGACTGCTTCTTGACTCGTATCTGTTCACCGTTAGTAGGCCTTTGTCAATTAATCTGTCACCAAGTGTCAAACTTATTCAGTCATCTGTAGCAAGTTATCAAAGAAGTAAATGACAGTCTTTACAGTGACACACAATTATTTTTAAACATCAATAATTAAATATTTTCACTTTAATTATTCCATTATTAATATTGGGACATAATAAATACTTTCCTTTAAATTAATCCCTAGTGAATAATTTTCTGCCAATATAGGGATACTTTTGACTTTAGAAAATCATTTGACAGACAGCTGCGTACTAATGAACGTTGTGTGACCTACAGAGTTGTTTTTCTGACCTTTGTACCACAGATTTCAGTTCTCCGAACGGTCAACTAACTTTGATTGGGGTAAAGATACTGGACAAGAACATAACTGCATTTTAAGGAACTATTTAAAGCTCCAGCTTTTCTTAAATATTTGCAAATATAAATGAAAAATTTTGTTTTAATAGGCTTATTAAATATAAATCTAAAACACAAATTTAAAAACTAATTGCAGATGTTCTTGTGTGTGAATGTGAGATCATAAAAAAATCATGTATTTTAAGTTGACTTACACCACTATGGCTGCCCTACTCCGAAATTTTGTTTAATTTAAACAAACTCCGTTTAGAGATAAGAAACCAGCAAACTTTAATGAAACGAAAATCTTTGACATTTCGACATTAAAGGGACATTGTAGTCACTAACTGATTTCTCATTAAAATGGTTATATTGCCTGGAGTCCCTTGAGGCTTTCCTTCCAATCTGTGTTAAATGTTTTTAATGTTTTATGGCTAAACGAGAATCCCAGCAGCCCACCTCCTCTGTGCTGCGTGGGATAATGAGTAAGCACTTCAGGCACTATAAACAATTCAGTGAGTCGAAATGCTTATAGTGCCTACAGTGTCCCTTTTAAGAATTTTTTTATTTTAACCCCTTAAGGACCAAACTTCTGGAATAAAAGGGAATCATGACATGTCAGACATGTCATGTGTCCTTAAGGGGTTAAAGGATTGTGAAACGCGTTGGTCATTTGGTTTACATGCCAAAGAGATTAATTTATGTTTATATTTATGCTGAAGAC